TTTATAAAGAAAAAAAAAATTCAAATAATGTAGAGAAAAGATTTTAAGCATTTAAGGAAAATAGGAGAAACAGCATAACCCAGAATATTGAATTAAAAGTTAATGTTGGAAAAAAAAAATTAAAATATAATATAATATAATATAATGAAATGAAATGAAATGGTAAACTATCCGGTTATTGAAATTGATAAAAAAAAAAAGTCAAAGGGACCAAGTGTTTTAAGACAAAAAAAATATGAATAAATGAATACTACGATTTATTAAAAACATTTAGTTTAAAATGCTTTCATTTTTAGTTTGTTAATATTCTAATTTAAAATATAATGGCAAAAATTCCACTTCATTTTAAAGCTTGTTTTTTTTTTTAATGAAAGAAAAAAATATATATATATATGCAGCAAAAGTTGGACCTAAGTTCACATGGGTAAATGTTTTGAAGAAGCGGGTTTTCATACAGAAATGAAAGAAAGCTTTTAATCATAATCTTATTTTTTTTTAAAAAAAAAAAAAAAGAATAATCTAGGTTATTTATTTTTTTTTACTTTTTTTTTCTTGTAATCATTAAAGTATTTTATCTTCCTGTGATTTCCCCAAAAAAAAAAATTAAAGTTATTTGACTTCTGTCCTTGTTTGTTTTCTTTTTGTTTTTAGTTTTTAGTTTTTTTTTTTTTACACAGTCAATATATATACTATTCACACTGGTAAAAAATACCAGAAGAACGGGGTAAGGCAGGGCCAGCTGTGCAATGACCGATGATGATGGTGATGATATTGTAAACAGTTATGCCGGTGATTAATGTGGTGATGATGAATGCATATTACAACTTTTTTTTTTAATATTAATAAAGGCTGATTGATATTCCTAGGTGATAAAATCCGGCAATTAGCCTTAAAAGAAAGAGAAAGAAGAAAATTATTTAACAAACAAACAAACAAAATAATAATAATAATAATAATAATAATAATAATAATAATAATAATAATAATAATAATAATAATAATAATAAATAATAATAATAATCAAATGGATATATTTCCTGATTGTCTTGTTATTTACAAATACATATTTCTGTAAAAAAAAAAAAAAAAAAAAAAACTCCCCCAAAGAGAATTAGTTATTTATAGACTGATTTTGTTTGTTAGTTGAAATAACATCACGATAGGCATCTCTTTTTTATTTTATTTTTATCTTATTTTTTTTCAATAGCTAATAGACTACTACACTCAGCCTGGCATGGTGGAGAAGAACTTATTTCAATGCTTTAGCCCCATAATGATGTATCCCTCTTTTTTTTTCATCCTTGTATTTTCTTCATCATTTTTCTTTTCAATTCTATTTTTTTTTTATATATATATCATCCAATTCACCTGATTATTCTTAAAAAAAAATTAAAAATAAATAATTGAATATCATCATCGAGTGATTTTTTATTCAGATTGCTATATACAATTATATTATCTTTATTTCATTTTTGCAAGAGTTGCAAAAAAAAAAGACTTCGATCCATGATATTATGACTCTCTTTTTTACTTTTTTTTTTTAAAGAAAAACAAAGAAATAAAACAAAATGAATTGTTTTATATATATAGATATTGATTAAAAATTACATAAAGAAATTTCGACTTATAACCGATTATTATGTTTAATAGCTGAAATTCTTTTAGCGAGACAAGAGTAGTATTTGTCTTTTTTTTTTTTGTTTTTTTTCAAAATAGATAAGATACCAAATCAAATCAAATCAAATAAAAAAAATAAAATAAAATAAACCTCCTCTCTGAGTTTCTAAAACTAAGGGGGTGAAAAAAAAAAATAAAAAAAAAAGCAGAAGATCGGATTTATCGTACTAAGGATTCATGTTATCTGAATGGCGGCGGCAAATTCCAATGATTTGTTGAGTGCATGAATATCGAGTAAAGATGAAATGTAAATAATCTCATTGATGGAAATATGATAATATATATGACTTAAGAGAAAAGCATTATGAAAAGGAATAAATAAATAAATAAAAATTTTTTTTTTTTTTTGAAAAAGAGGAATGAGAGAAAGTAAAGTTTTTTTTTTTTTTTTAGAAAGGGAAGGATCATGGACAAAAGGAACAAATTTACATGTATTAAGTGCTATGTACGATAGTTGCTTTTAAAAGATCAAAGACAAAAGGTTTAAAGTAATGAATTTAAAAAAGAAATAACAGGCAATAGAGTAAATTGGGTTATTGGTAATGGATTGAAAATATTAGTTAATGTATGTGTTGTATGTATATATTTCTTTTCAATTCTTTTCTTTTTAAGAATTTAACACTATGGGAAAAGAATATAAAAAAAATAAAAAAAGAGAAATTGAGAAATATAAAGTAATTTTGATATTGTTTTTTTTTTTTTTTATTATTTTTTTTTGTTTTTTCAAAGAAATGAATTTTTTTTTCCGAGTATCATTAATGATTATTGATAAAAAATAACTTGCTATTCATTTCTTATTTGAATTCTAATCATTATTATTTTTAAATTGTATTTAGTACTAAGTATTTGAAAAGAAGAGGAATATGAGGAAAGAAGATGAAGAAAAAGAAGAAACAAAAAACTTTGATTTTTCATATAACGTACGTAGTATTGGCATGATGATGAGGAATGAATTGGGAGAGTGTTGTATGGAAACCTTCAAGAAAGTGCATAAAAATATAATGGGACTTGTGACTTTAGGTTTAATGGTTATTATATATATATATATAAGGTTGGTTGACAGTATGACTTAAGAGCTAAGCCCTTTTGTTTTTTTTTTTTATTTTTAATATATATTTTAAATACAAGCTGCATATATGATGAGTGGGCAGATTAATTAACGTTTAAGAAAGAGAGAAAAAAAAAAAAAAAAAAAAATTTTTTTTTTTTTTTTTTGTAAGAGTCATAATATTTAAATAAATATATTCACGTGATCTCATGACTTTGATTTTTTTTTTTTGTGACTGGTAAATTGATGATGTATATATTATAAGTACAATAATTTGGAAAAAAAAAAAACCTTACCGCGGCAAAACCGACCGCCTTTCTTCTTTTTTTTTCTTCTTCGCCTCTCTCCTCTAGCGAGATCCATGCGGAGTTAACGTCGACATATTTAGTTTTTTTTTTTAAAAAAAATTAAAAAAAATTGGTTTTCATATATATAGATATTAAATAAAAAAATGAAAGAAATAAAGAGGGAAAAAAAAAAAAAAAAAAAAGGCAACTGATTTTGAAGTGGAGATTTTATATTTACTGGGCTTTTCTATTTCTATTTCTATTTTTTTAGTAGTAGTATTAGTAGTATTGGATATATATTAATGATGTAAGAAAAAAAAAAAGAAATAAAGAAAGAACGAGAGAAAGGCGTTTAATTTCTTTTGTTAGATTGAATGAAGAGATGATATATATATATATATATATATATATATTAAAGCTCAGATATCAGTCAATCATCTATATCTATAGTTTTACATATCGATAGTTAATTTTTTCAAAAAAAAAAAAAAAAAAACAACTTCATATATATATATTTCAAAAATAATAATATTTTTTATGATAGATTTTCAATATATAGATAAATATATATATATATATAGTTTTATTACTGATGTTTGTAAGTTAACAATAGAACGACGCCCTTTTTTTTTTTTTTTTCCAGCTTGACTACTACTGGCGGCTCCCTAACCGCAGGCCTTTTTTTTTTTCTGTTTTAATTAACTCTAACTTGATTGTGTTAAAATAAAATAAAATAATATAAAAATAAAAATAAAGTTCAATAAATGTTAATTATTAATAACACAAAGTTATAGATTATTTACGTTGTTGTTTTTTGTTGTGTGCACTGCGAGGTATTCTAACATGCACACACACAAGCCTTTTGGTGGAAAGTACGGATGTGCGGTACACACACTGGCACAATGGAGGAGGAGGAGGAGGAGGGGAGTAAAAAAAAATAAAAAAAACAAAAATAAATAAAAATAAATAAAAAAAAAGGAGCCATTCTGTCTTTGGTGGCGACAGTTATTATTATTATTATTATTATTATTATTATTATTATTATTATTATTATTATTATTATTATTATTATTATTATTATTATTTTTATACTAATAATATATTTATATATATATATACACACATAATAATATTTATTATTATAGACTCATAGTATATATATACCCGGGAACTTCCCCTTCTTAAAAAGATTTTTTTTTTCTTTCCCTTCTATTCTATTTTTTTTTTTATTTATATATAAAAATTTCCATCTTTCATTAAAATTCTCAATTTTTTTTGTTTTTTGTTTTTGTTTTTTGTTTTTTTTCTATATTCTTCATTCATATCATATATATATATATATTGATTTATATATATATATATTCGTCATCATTATAAAACATTCTGTAGAGATATATTCTTATATATATATATATCTTCAACCAATAATCTCCAACAAAACAAACAAACAAAATCATACAAACATTCACTCCAGTCTATTCAAACAAACAAACAACGCTGGAACATCAATATCTCTTTCAATATCTTTTTTTTCCAGATTGCTATTCATTTCTTATAAATGTTATTATAAAATTCCCATTTTCTCGATTCTTCTATCAGCTCTTTTTTTTTTTCTTCTTCTTCTTCTTCTCATTCCACAATCAACCACACACAACCTCACTACCCATTAAATATCTGATTTTTTTTTCTTTCAGCAAAACCTTTATTATCTCTTAAGATATCTCTTAGATATCTCTTCTTCTATTTTATTTGCCTCGCTTCGATCTCGATTTTTTTTCACGTTGTCGTCAATATCTCAGGACTTGTTTGGCCACATCTATTATAGGCTCACAGTATCTCTTCCCCAGTACATTGTTTTTTGTTTCATCCCTTGTTTGGTCTTCCTTGTCTGGGTTTCTAATACTACTACTACTACCACCACCACCACCACCACCAATTACAAAAAGTCATTTCTATTCTCTCCTCCTTTGAACTTGATCAAAAATAAAATGTCAAATATTCCATCTTCCTCTTCTGCTCCTTCTACTTCATCCTCACAGGGTCCAGCCTCTTCTACACAGGCCCCCCCATCAGGTTCAGCCGCTGCAGGACAGCAAGCTACATCTTCAACAACAACAACAACCACAACAACTTCTTCTTCTTCTTCTTCCTCCTCTTCTTCTATAGCTTCTAATGCTACTGCTGTCTCAGACTTGGGATCTTCCTCAACGGCTTCCGTCGTTGTCATCGGAGGCCCAACAACCACCTCAGGTCCTGTTCCTACTGCTGCCACCCCACAGACTGCTGGAGATTCTAGAAGAATCAGTTTGGCTTCTCTTTCATCCGTCTACACAAATGCAAGCTCAATCTCCACAAATTCATCATCATCATCATCATCTTCTTCTTCTTCTTCTTCTTCTTCAAACTTAGCACCATCAATGGAGCGTCTTGTTTATCCACAGATGATGCCTTCCTATGCTAATCCTTCTTCCACGTCTGTGGCATCTTCAGCTACTCTGATTGAACTATCACATTCAAATTCTTCCATTTCTTCCATTCATCATCACTTCCCCACAGCTCCTTCTATATATGGTTCTCCAAAGTTTTCAGCAGATGATGAAACAACTCACTTAAACTCAAATCTTTTACAACAGCAACAAAATAGACAGGAGTCACAGCAACAGCAACAACAACAGCAAACTCCTACCTTTGAGACTCCTGTGTCTTCTCCACAACCTTTTTCAAATTTGGAATCTACTTCAGTCACTCCTACAGCTACAATGATGAGATTAACACCTCCATCATCTCTTAGACCATCTATCCCTAATCAAAAACCAAACCAATATCAATACCCTTCACCTATTTACTTTTCTCGGGCTTCCACTCCTTCTCCTATGCAGCCCTCATCTCATCATCAATCACATAAACTTAACAAAAAAACAGTAGGCCATCACAACCATTTCCGCAACAACCTTAACGCATTTAGATCACGCCGTCATATTAATAACAAAAAGAAGGGTTCTCTTATTTACTCTTCTCCTAAACCTCATTTAGACTCTCAAAGCCCTGTTGCTGTTGTTGTTACACCCCTTACTAATGACACAAACCTTAACCAGCATAATCATAATCATAATAATAATAATGATAATGATAATAATAATAATAATAATAATAATAATAATAATAATAATAATAATAATAATAATAATAATAATAATAATAATGATAACACTCGTTCTACTACAGATATTACTACTACCACCACAATTAATAATTCTAATACTAATCATGCCTCTTCAACAATTAATACCCCTGTTGCATTATTCCCTAACTTTACTGCTCCTCAAATTACTGCATCTTCCTCGTTGGCCGGGCCCATGGAAATCTCTGCTATTACTACCAATACTACTACTTCTGCTTCCTCCTCTGTCACATCCTCTCCTTCCTCCTCTAATCTTTCCATAACATCTTCTGGAACTGCCACCCCTACTGCTCCACAACAATTACTTTACGACTTGCACAATATTCCAGTAGAAATGCTTCCTCCAGTTAATATCAATTCTCTCCGTGAGATTGAGCTTCAGGAAATTATCAAAAACCCTCAACTTAGACATGACATTGTCTTTGACCCCCAGCTTCAATTTCGTCCCAATCTCGACGGTGAACGTGGAAAGCGCAAAAAGGCTTCTACGGAATATTATTGGAACTCAGTCGTTGCTGAGTGCGAGTCACTTGCCGTTGCATCATCTCCAGAAGAAGTTTCAGTTATTGTCAACAGCCCCCAGTGCAAACTGCCATATCTTTTCATTACACTTCGTGATATTCTCAACTCTCTTCTTCCAGCACATGACCACCAAACTGTCGATGAGGTTCTTGACCTCGAGCTTTTAATGCAGCAGCTCCGCAAAAGTACTCTCGACTTTTCTGCTCTCGCAAACTGGCTGGCAGGAATCTTTAAAGCACATTGCGCCCCCATGCGCGACTATTGGGTCGACCAAATGGTGGCCCGTGTCGAGCAAGGTGTTGAAAACAGATCCCCCCGTCGCATTGTCGAGGGTTTACGCATGATGTTTGCTATCCTGGAGGCCATGAAACTTGACGTTGCTAACCATCAGATTCGTACCCTTCGATCGGTTATGGTGGAAAGCGCTATTGATTTTGAGCAGGATTACTATACTCAAATGGTTGAGAAGAACAAGTTTGACTTGCAAGACTCATTACAATGGTACACTAACAATCTCAACAAGTACCTGAGCTCAAAGGCTCGCCTAGCATCACCGGCTTCTGATGGCATTCTACGACGATCACCGGAAACTTATCGCTCGGCATTTGTCTATGGCACTACGATGCTCATGTCTTGTGCCTCTGACGAAGCTGTGACTGAATTCCCCTCAACGTTTGGGTTTGATTTCGCACGACTGGCTGGATTCCGCGCAGAGGTACGTCAAATTGTGTGTCTTCATTTGAGCATATCTCTGTTTCGTGAGCTGTTAATGTTGCAGCTTAACAAAAAGCAGGGTCTTACCAATATGATGCGTCGCCGGATGTTTAATCAAGCCACTACTGTTGGCGAGGTTGACAAGATGAAGCAACAAGTCTTGGCGATTGTTACAGACTCGTACGGCAATGCCAAGTGGACTAAAAACACTTCGATTTTGGCCCTTGAGATTGCCCGTTGCGTCGAAGTGGCCTGCACTCAGTCTACTGCTGAACGGGCTGCTCTGGCCACCATGATTCCTCCTGAAGATGTCATTGATATGGCAAGCAACTGGCTGTTTAAGCATCTACAGCCCAAGTCAATGGTGTACAAGCTGGTAGAGACCAAGGTTATCAATGCACTTGTTGAGGTTTGCTCCAAGTCGATGAGTACCTTTTCGACTCTGGACCAGGTCCCATCATTGACCAATCCAGAACTGTTTATTGTTCGACCTGGTGGAGGTTCAGCTGCTTCAACTATACCTCAAGGAAACATCAATGCACCAGCATCAATGTCGCCTGAGGTTTGTGGCCGCAAGGAGATTTTGGAGATGGGCTCCAAGGCACTAGTGTTGCTGCACTTTCACTGGGGCGTTTTTTCCAAGTTTTACGTGCACTATGCATCATTGGGTGAAAATGATGATTTACGGTCGCAGTACTCGTCAAGCTCACTTTCAGAAGACAGTAGCAGTGGTGGAGACGTGCCGCGCACCAAGCACAACAATGCCAACGCGTCAGCTGTGCTGGCAAACAAAAAGTCTGCAGACAATGAAATCACGCAGTCTTTATGAATATTTTTCTCTTTTTTTTTTATTTGAAATGAATGATTTAAAATTTATTTGATATGACTTTTTTTTTATGTTTTTTTATGTTTTTTTTTTTTTTTTCTTTTTGGTATAAAAACTTATGTATGTATGTATTTTGGGTCTTAATATTTTATATTATAATTATATATAACGATATTTTAAAGAAAAAAAAATCTTGTTATTTTATTCAATTGAATCTTTATTTTTTAATATATTTTTTTTTTAATTACCAAAAATGGAGTAGATAGTTTTGTCAAGACATTAAAAAAAAAAAATGAATCTTACTCATGTATGGGCACAGTGTAAAATTTGAAAAAAAAAAATACTATAGTACCAAGTAACTAACTAAATTTTACAATATATATATTTGGGTACACATAACGTTTTTAATTTTTTTTTTTTTCAAGTAGCTACACGAGCAATTTGATCTGCGACTCAGGGGCAAGGAGTTTTACCAGCAGAGCGGAAGAAGTTTTTTTTTTTTTTTATTTTATTTTATATCAAAGTTAAGTTTGATAGTTGTATACTTTTATGATGTTAATAGATATAATTGGAAAATAAAAAGGAAAATAAAAAGGAAAATAAAAAGGAAAAGAAAAAGGGGGGAAAGGTTAAAAAGAAAGAATTGAAGATCCACTTCTACGATAGGTTTTTATTTTATTTTATTATTTTTTTTTAAGTCTAAAACTAGATCATTTTCTTCTTGACTACCCTCAATTTTTCTAGATATCCACACTTCTAATAACTGGGTTACATATACCAAGGATAACAAAAAAAAAAGGTAAAAAAAAAAAAATTTGTTCCGATTGCTTGCTTGCTTGCTTGATGCAAATTTGAAATTATTTATTTATTTTAGTAAACTTATGAATATCAGGGGCAAGAGCAAGACGAGAGGGGGGAAAAAAAAGTAGTATTGTAGTAATATTTTTTTTTTTTTTTTTTGAGACCTGTCATTTTGTAGAATTTATATATATAAGTATATATACTTATATATTATTATATATTATTATAATTTTATTAAAATGTTTATATTTTTTATACAAGTTTTTCTAAATAAAAAAAAAACAAGAGACTTTTAGATTTTCTCAGTGTTAATTTAAAAAAAAAAGTAAAAGTATAGAATATTATGAATATTCTTATATTCTATCTAAAGGGGTTTTATTTTATTTTATTTTTTATTTAAATCAATTACTGGACAGTCCATTTTAACAGAGAAAATGAAAAAAAAACAACAAAAATGGAGATAGGTTTATAATAAGTATATATACATATGGAAATATTATCTGGACTATCTAATATAAATGCTACTAACCAGTATATACAAAATAGGAATAGTAAAGTAAAAACTTATTATAATTATTATAGGTACATACTTCTCTTGTGGATGATGATGATGATGATGTTGTTGTTGTTGTCGTTGTCTATGCCACCAAATTTGTTAACAATTTTTTTTTTTTTTCGTTTTTTGATTAAAATCAGGTATTTATCACTTAAGTAGATCATGATGGATGATAGATAATATTGTGGCAAAAAAAAAAAAAAAAAAAAGCATTGACAGTAGTTATAGATCCAATCTGAAAAGCTTTTTATCAAGAAGTTGTAGGAGTAAGGAAGTAAATTAAAGGAAATAAAAAAAAAAAAAAAGAGAAAAAAGTTTCCATCCTTCTTTTCTTCTTTTGTATGACCTCCTTTTGCAAAGAAAAAAAAAAAAAAAGCCTCCATCTCCCCCCCTTTTTTTTTTTTTTTTTTCTCTCTCTCTCTCTCTCTATCTCTATCTTTCTCTTATGGCCCGCCCCCTTGGCCCTCGTTCTTCCACCCCCCCTCTCCATTGTTGTTTGTTCCTGATCTAAATTAACATAAAGATCGTCAAGACACTAAGAGAGAAACGGGGAAGGGGGGTTTTTTTTATGTCGAGGAGACATATATGATATGTGTAGAGAATACAAATGGTTATTTAGGGTAATAATGTATTATATATGTTTAGAAACAATTACAAGAGGTACATTTTTTTTTTTTTAAGAATGATTCGTTACTGTTTACAATAAAGCAGAAGAGAAAAATAAAAGACATAGAGACAAAGAAATAAAGAAAGAATAATGATTGTGAGAAATGTAAAAAAAAAAATACCTCCAGTGTTTTTTTATAGTTATAACTAAGTTAGTTAAGAAATAAAACCGTTTTAATTTAGATTTGATTTTGGGTTTATTTAGAGACAGTCATTTATTAATAACAGATTATATTATATATATATTCCAACATGACAAAACACTAAAAGTAAGAAAAAAAAAACAACTTTATGGGTTTTAAGGTGGAGTTTATACTCTACAAGTCAAATGAGAATGTAAAAAAAATTATTTTATTTCATTTTTTCTTGATGAAAGTTTACAAATATTTCAAGATGAATTTATATATATAAAATCATTGTCAATATTGAAAAAAAAAGAGAGTATTTTATTTTATTTTTTTTTTTAATTTGAGGGTTTGTTAGATGTTGCGTGATTAAAAAACAAAAAAATTTATATATATAAAAAGTAGAATATGAAACAACAAAAAAAAAAAAGAGAACATGACTTTTATTATTATTATTATTTATTTAATTTTTTTTTCTCATCAATCAAGGGTATCGTTCATATATTCTAAATAATAATATATAATTTTAATAAAAAATATAAATGAAACAATTGGTGCTTTGTTTTGTGATATTGAAAAGTTTTTATTTTAATATTGTTGAAAGAAAAAAACAAAATTACGTAATAAATTTATGGGGGAAGGAAAAATGAATTATATTTTTTTTAAAAAAAAACAAAAAAAACAAAAAAAACAAAAAAATTACTAGTTACCCAATTTAAGGCAAATGCGGCTTAAATTAAAATAAGAAATTTATCACGAGACCATAAAATCCCTAGCCCATATAAATCATGTGATTGAACCGTTTAAATATATAAATTAGAAAAAAATAAAAAAAAAAAAAAATTCTCTCGCGTGTTGGTCGTAAACAATAACAACAACAACAACAACAAAAATTAACAAAACGCGACTTTTTTTTTTTATTTACATTTTGCAATTTTTATTTACATTTTTTTTTTTTTCTAACAACAAATACATACAAACCAATCAATAAAAAAAACTCGTCACGCGGGGAGCTTCCTAAGTCTCTTTTATTTCTTTTTTTCTTCTTGCTTTACAGCCTAATTTTTTTTTTTTTTTTTGTCTAATCTATCTACAAGATATATTGAAGAAAAGAAAAAAAAAGAAAGAAAGAAGAAAGAAGAAGAAGAAGAATAAGAAGAAGACTGATCAAAAAGTGTCTTCTCTTTGATTCTTTTCAAAATAAATACCTCTCTAATTCCTTTAATTTTCTCATAGGATAGACTGCTATATACCCAATAGACATCGACTTTCAACCAAGAGTTCACCTCCAATTGATTTAAGGATCTCTTATCTATCTTGTTAAAAATTACATTGCATAATACCCTCTCTAGCTACTACTACTACTACTACTACTACTACTACTACTACTACTACTACTACTACTACTACTACTACTACCACTCCTATAACAATGGTCTACCAACATCCTTCCGGTGCAAACAACGCTCTTTTACCATTTGCTCACAATGAATCTCGCCCACCAAACGAACTAGCTCTAAGCACTGTTGTTCCTCCTGCATCAACTTCTACCGTAAACATCAACCATCCTACGACAACCGCCACTAATAATATTATTACGACTTCAGAATCTTATTTTGGCCCGCCTTACTCTGTTTCTGGCTCATATACACGCAGCGGTGCATTGGGTCTTGGACTTAGTATGGGAATTGGTGGGTACTCTTCTTTAACTTCTGATTCACTGGACGGTCCTAGTCTACCAAGCTCTAGTATTGTGGACTCAGAAGACGGTAAAGGCATTTACTTTTTTGAAGAAAAACGAATGGCTGGAGGTAATATCCCAGGATATATGGAGTTTACCAGCGGTAATTCCATGTATAAAATGGAATACCATGGAATTTCAGGCACATCAAATGATACCCCAAAGAGTTTTGCACGACACCGTGAAAGATTTAGTGATAATATGCTGGATGATAATGATGAGGAAGAAGAAGAAGAAGATGGGGACAATGAAAGTTTTTGTCAAGAAGAAAATGATCAAGAAAATAGTGAAAAGTTAGGAAACGGTGGTGGCAAAAGACGTCGCAATTTTGGTACCCCTAGCGCTAAACGATTTCACGATATGACTTGTGACTTGCCTCCTAGTTCGCCACCGCCACCTGTCGACATGGATGAAGACGATGAAGTCAATGATTTTGGAGAGTTTAACTTGACTAAAGATACAAACGCACAGCGTCATGTCTTTGAAACTGAAGCTGATTCTTCTTTAATTATGGATCCCCATATTAACAACAGTACATATACTCCACCAAGCATCTCTTCCTCTTCTTCTTCATCTTCGCGCAAACACGAAAAGAGCACACTTAAAAGCGCAGCATCATTTTTTTCTAGCAGGAGAATACCTGCTCCGATGTCGTCTAATGGCGCATACAGTGCAAATAGCATCAGCATTGTTTCGCCTATTAAAAGCAAATCCGCTTACCGTTCGGCTTTTAAAAACCCTAAGGACAAGCAATCTATTTTATCTTTGCCGTTGTTATCTTCATCATCGTCGGCAGCATCATCCTCGTTTCCCTTGCATCATGCACACTCTGTAGAACACCATTATTACCAGCATCTTCCTCATCACGGACCTGAACCATGGGGGTACGCTCAGGCCCGAGAAATTATTAAAACTGCATGTAACGACAATGACCGGTCAATCCACCTCGACGATATGGGACTCACCGATGTACCACCAGAGATTGCGGATCTCAAGCATATGGTATGGACCGATAAAAACATGCAGACCATATGCTCAGATCTTCATTTGTATTTGGCCAACAATCAACTTACACGCGTCCCGCCGCCACTGTTGGCCTTGGACAATCTCACAGTGCTCTCCCTACGGGGAAACCAATTGACCGACTTGCCACCGGCTGTGGCTCGTTTTGGTAGGCTTCAGAATTTGTCGATCGGTATTAACTGCCTCAAGTACCTGCCAAGCGAACTGTTATTGCTCAAAAACCTGACGGTCCTTGCACCACATCCTAATCCTTATCAGCAGATCCCCGCGGAACATCGTGAGCTTGCAGAATCCATCAAACAGAAAAAGACTACAGGTGGCAGTGTGTCAACAACTGATGGCGATGGTTATTATTTCATTCAAAAAGAAGATACCTCTATTTCTCGACCTAAAGAATATACCGAAGGTGCTATACGATACTGGGTTGAGCCTCATGTTGATTTAAAAAAATACGGGAACCTTATTGCCTTTGCACGACCAGTTCCTAAAGAACATCAATTCCCTGAAGCCACTGAAAAGGCTATAGCATCTCAACCAGTCCATTTACCTTCACCTTTACCCTCTCCAAGTTCATCCTTCTCCGGAACTGATGCTCTGAAAACACCTATTACAGACACATTTGCTAGTACCACAAAACAACATGCCGCCGTCATTGCGTCTACCGATATACATCTACCATCACCGGCACGCACAATCAGCGATAAATCTCAAGAGACAATATCAACTCTTAGCATTGGGGAAGAAGCTGCGCGGTGTAATGCGCTGAAAACAGGCCTACCTCCGCATGTTCTTGTGGGCCCACCACATCTTAGCGATTACTGTGCACGCGTGGTTGCAGCACATGTACGACCTGAGAGCGCAGAACTTGATACATTATGCGATGCACGCACACAACCGGTTGTGCGCGGGCTTGTAGATGAGGCTGCCATTGCAGCACAGCGAGGAGCTAGGTGTGGGCAGTGCTATGGCGAATTGGCGGCGGAGTCAGCGGGCACAATGGGGGCTGGAGTCGGACATGCGTTTGAATGGTGGGACGGCATCAAGGGTCACCATGGACTGGTATTTGTGCGCGAATTTTGTAGCACTCGATGTGTTGTGGAGTGGGCCCAGGGAGTGAATTCGCAGCTGCCCGAGTGTCTTGATCTGTGGGCATCTTCTAATGTCCGTACTTTTAACTATTAAACGAAGTTTTTGTATTTTTTTTTTTTTTTTTGCTCAAATTTGTTATTTTTCATTTTTCATTTACTACTATTATTTTTCTACTATTTTTTCCCTTTTAGTTTATTATCATTGCATTTTATATATTTAACTTATTATTCTTATATATATTAATAAATAAAATAAAAAAAAATTACTTGTTTCACAGTAAAGAGGTGATATCCGGAGTCACGACCATCTTGCGAGTCACTTGGCCAATAAGAAAAGCCTGCTCTGCCGCTTGATCAAACACAACCACATCTTGAAGAAAGTTAGCGAGTGTACCTTGCGATACCTCCATGACCACAGGACCCATGGTCATTGTTAGTCGACCCGACTTGTGCACACGCAGCTTCCCCACCATTCCTTCAGGATACTGTCGACGTAAATCCTCGACGTTAGCGGAGGAAGCCGAAGAAGAAGAAGAAGAAGAAGAAGCAGCAGCAGCGGCTGCCGCGGCAGCTGCGCGGGACGCGTCCGATACAGAAGTACCAGGAGCGGAAGATGCAGAAGAAGCTTTTGCAGAACCACTAGAAGCGGGGGCATCGGGCATCTCCGCATCTTCACCATTCTTTGAAGGCGCGGCAAACATGGGCGCCACAACAGGCATTTGGAAAAAGTAGAGCTTATGTTCAATTTCTATGCGCTTGGCTTCAGCATTTGCTTCAGCAGTTGTTGATCCTTCTTCACTTCCTTCTTCTCCTGAAGTTTCTGGAGCAGGTGTATTTGATGATTCACGAGCAGCATCAGCAGCAGCCGCCGCAGCAGCCGCCGCCGCAGAAGAGCCCATAAACTCGTTAAGAATGGCTTTGTGATCTCGCGAAACACGTTTCAGTTCTGTCATTTCTTCAGGTGAAATGTAAGAAGCAGCACGCGTCGCAGGAATAAATGGTGTAGCCGACCGTGACCGAGCCTTGACTTCTTGGAGCCTTTGTTTGCGGGCAAGCATGGCCTGTAATCCGGTAGGTTTTTTGTCTTTATCTTCCAGCTTGACAGCCCCATCTTCGCCCATAATCACATCGCCAGATTCGTCCACTTTGGGAGACTCTGAGCGCGATGATTCACTACCACTATCATTATCTGCCAAATTAAGATTAGCCGATGGGTCCACAAGTACCTCGATATCATCTGCGTCAAACTCTCGCGCGTCGAACCTCACCACACCAGCTTCCTTATCTGCACCGCTGGATGCAGATTCACGCTCGCTATCACGAGCTGGACGAATAGGAAAGAATTCGTCAATATCAATACCGAGTGACCGGGTCATGTTGAATGCATTTTGGTCTGGATCATTTTCATCCTCATCCTCGTTTTCATCTTCGAGTTTACCTGGAGTTCCATCAGCCTTAAGTACGCTAGGAGAAGCTGACATGTAACGACCAGCCTGTGCAGGGTCCAAAGCTCCACCTCGGATCTCCATTGCAGGAGAAAACCGTCGTCCACGGAATTCGGCTGCATCCAGAGACGCAAATGCACCTACGGCTTGAGTTTGCATTGGCTCAAACCGTCCACGCCGACCACCACGGCCGCCACCACGGCTACCACCGCGACCTCCATTGGCACCTCCACGTGCACCTCCACGAGCACCTCCGCGAGCACCACCACGGCCGCCGGGTCCTGTGGCTGTGGGTGGAGGTGTAGGGGCTGATGTTTTGGATAATGCTGGGGCTGTTCGTTCACGTTCTTCTCGCGACCGACGAGCCACAATTTTAGGCATAAAGCCAGCTTTGCGAGCGGGACCACTGGAAGCAGAAGAAGAAGCAGTAGAAGAAGAAGTAGCCCCAGGGGTTACAGAGGCAGAGCCTGATACTGCTGGGGTATTATTATTATTATTATTATTATTATTATCAGAGGAAGAGCCCGTGAGTACATCTGATGGGGCAGGGGTATTAGCTGTAGAGCTTGCGGAGCCTGCCGAGGATGGTCTTACAGGAGTTCCACCAGGAGTGGAACGAGCGAGAGATGAAAGACGAGAAGTTCTTGGTGGAGGGGGTTTAGGAGGCATTGTGGTATATAAATAAGAGTTGATGCAAGAGCTGGTTGTTAAGATATTTCAGCTTTGAAATCAATTTTATATATATATATATATATTTTTTTTTTTTTTTTTGGTAATGATGATCTCTAAAGGCTTTGAGTATAATTTTTTTTCAAGAGTGCTTACATAATTTAATTTTTTATAAAAAAACGACATTACAAGTTTGTTACATTAAACATTGTAATAAACTTTAGCCACAAAGTGTGGCTTGTATTCATGTTAATTCACGTGATGTACTTTAAATTTTACTTTTAATTTTCCTTCACCACCACCATCACCACTACCACTACTATTTTTTTTTTTTTATTTCTTCCTACATTTCCAAATTTTCCCCCTCCCTCTCCCCCCTAAAAATATCAAAAATTTTCCCTTCTTTTTTTTTATTTTTTAATAAATAAATAATCCTCTTTAAATTTTAATTGAAAAAAAAAAAATTCCAATTCTATAATATCCAAAAGAATCTCGTACAACTGTTGTTCTAATAAATCTTTCTTAATTGACTTTTTTTTTTTTATTATTATTATTACTACTGCTATTACTTGCCACTATTGTTGTTGTTGTTGTTGTTATTGATATTATTACACCACGCCTGTGCGATCCTTTTTTATTTGGCGTGTTTCTCAAAGCCTTTGTGAATACAATTTTTTTTTTGCCTCCTTTCTCCAGACTTTTTGGTAACAAAAAAAAATCCTAAGCATTTTAAAAAAAAAAAAAATAATAATAATAATAAAAAAATTATACACCACCACCACCACTACTACAACCAAAAACTACTCTTCAAATTTTATAGCATTGATAACAGCAACAACAATTCTAACACCGCCACCACAAACTTTGACCTATCCTATATTGCTCAAACTAGATATTAAACTATCTTCATTTTTATTTTCATTTTCTTTTTCATTTTCATCATCATTATCATCATCTTCATTATCATCTCCATCTCCATCATCTAACCTACTATAATACCACCTACTACCATGACTGATAACGACAGCACAAACCCCAAGCAGACATGGAAGTTCTCACAGTGCTTTGGCGATAAGAGTGACATTGAAAATATCACGGAGGCAGACGTCATCTCAACAGTTGAATTTGACCATACAGGCGACTACCTGGCCACCGGAGATAGAGGCGGCCGCGTGGTACTATTTGAACGCAACCAGACCAAAAAGGGATGCGAATACAAATTCCACACGGAGTTCCAATCCCATGATGCAGAGTTTGATTATCTAAAATCACTTGAGATTGAAGAGAAAATCAATAAGATCAAGTGGTGCAAGCGTCAGAACCAAGCACATTTTTTGCTTTCCACAAATGACAAGACCATTAAGCTTTGGAAGATTTATGAAAAGAACCTCAAGGTCGTTGTGGAAAATAATCTTTCAGATATGGCTGCAGCCAATGGTGGATCCCTGCCTCTTAACTTGAGCAACCTCGGAGGAATCCCTGGATTTAATCCTGCAAACTCGCTTTTACCTAATAATGGACAAAACTCTGCTGCGGCGGCCGCGGCGGCTGCGGCAGCAGCGGCAGCAGCAGCAGGAGCATCGTCGGTTACAAATAATGGCACCAATCCAAACACTTTTAACAATGGGCCCGCTGGCGGGGCTGCTGGAGGTCGCTCCACTGGCGGACTCTTGTCTCTGAACAATCTCCGGCTCCCGCGGCTGTCTCTGCACGAGACAATTATAGCTGCAACTCCTCGCCGAATCTATGCCAATGCTCATACTTACCACATCAATTCGATAAGTGTTAATTCAGATGGTGAGACTTTTATTAGTGCTGATGATTTGAGAATAAACTTATGGAATCTAGGGATTGCAGACCAGAGTTTCAATATTGTGGACATTAAGCCGGCCAATATGGAAGAGCTGACGGAGGTGATTACTGCTGCAGAGTTTCATCCCACTAGCTGCAACCTGTTTATGTACTCGTCATCCAAGGGCACAATCAAGCTTGCGGATATGCGAGAAAATGCGCTATGCGACCACCATGCCAAAATTTATGAGGAATGGATGGATCCTGCGCAACACTCGTTTTTTACTGAAATTACGTCAAGCATTTCTGACGTGCGGTTTTCCTTTGATGGGCGGTATATTGTTTCTCGCGATTACATGACTGTAAAGATTTGGGATGTGAATATGGAGAGGGAGCCTGTCAAGACGATTAGCATTCATGAGCATATTCGTGACAAGCTGTGTGATACTTATGAGAATGATGCGATTTTTGATAAGTTTGAGGTTGTATTTTCTGGGGATGGCAAGTCTGTTATGACGGGATCTTACAATAACAATTTTATGATTTACCCGAATGCAGTGGATCCGAATGCTGAGGAGACGGAGATTGTGTTACAAGCTGATAAGAGTGCATTTAAGGCCAAGAAGGTTGGGATGCCCATGTCGATGAACAATGGTGGAATGATGAAGAATGGGGGTCGCAATAGTAATGGTCGTGGTCAAAGTCCTGGTCGGGGCACTATGAATATGATGCGCCGAGACTTGGATTATGAGACGATTGACTTTAAAAAGAATATATTGCACTTGAGTTGGCATCCACGCGAAAACTCTATAGCGATAGCTGCGACAAACAATTTGTTTGTATTTTCGACCTTGTAATAGTGGAGGGGGTTTCATATATACTATTAATTAATTAATAATAATAATAATAATAATCAACATCATTATAATTCTACGAATCGTAATAATTTATATATATATATATATAATAACTTTGTTAAGATGTGTATGTTTATATATATATAGTATATATGCTTACAAGGAAGATTTTAAAGTAGTTCAAAATATGGTTCAAAAACTCAAAAAATTTTTCTTTTTTTTTTGTGTGTGTTTGTTTGTTTAAAGGATAGTTTAGAATAAGAATCAAAGATACATTAAAGCGATAATATTGTTATAATTAAAAAAAATAAGATTTTTCTAGTCAGACTCTCTCTTGTGGTTGAAGTAATCGTTCCAGAAAAGAGTCTTGTCACCATTACCCCAGAAGAAACGGGTGGTTCTAACATTCTGGTAGTCAAACTCTGGGGGGAGTTCAGAGTCAGGGAGACGGGGGTGAGCAGCCAAGTGTTCAAAATGTTCCTTCTCAATGATATAAGTGTGAATAGCAGTGGCAGCAATGACGGGGACAACGACAAAGAGAGAGATCTTTCCCCAGAACTTAGCAGTAGCCTCAGAGTGGTGAGCAGTTTCCTCCTCAAGCTTGATAAACTCGGCACCGGCAGCAGCATCAGGCTTGTAAGTGAATGCTGAGCGGACCTCAGACTCGTGGCCGTGCTTGACGGAGGTGAAGTTGCGACGGAGAGTAGGAGCAATGGCTCTACGAGTGAAAGCGCGGGAAAGCATTGTTTGATATATGATGAGGAGAGTTGTGGTGATGATGATGATATATTAAAAAAAAAAAAAAAAAAAAAAAAAGAGAGAGAGAATGGATAAGAAGGAAAAGGGGTTTGGTATATAGAAAAAAAAAAAAATTGTGTGTGTGTGTGTGTGGATAAAGCAAAAATTTTATTGGGTCACTGGCTATTGGCAGTAACAGATGGGTGGGTAAATGGTGTTGATGGTGGTGGTGGTGGTGCCATTTTTTTTAATATTATTTTAAAAAAAAAAATGCAAAATTAATCACGTGAAAATCACGTGAAAATCTGACCATTTTTTTTTATTATTGTTGTTGCGCCAACTGAAAACCACAGTTTTTTTTTTTTTTTTATTTTTTCAAAAAATCTCAGCTGTTTTGTAAATCTCAATCTCAATCACAATCACAATCACAATCAATTCAAACCAAAATAATAATAATAAAAAAAAATATGTCTAACCTTAGCAAAGACCCGGCTCCGGCCATCGATGTCAATAATCTTACTTATATCTTCCCTAACGGTACAACAGGTATCTACCCAACATCACTCAAACTTCCTCGCGGTTCACGTACTCTACTCATTGGCGCAAATGGTGCAGGCAAATCTACACTCCTTCGTGTTCTGGCAGGCAAAACTCTGGCGCGACAAGGTGCCGTGCGTATCTATGGCCGTGACCCATTCCGCACCCACGGCTCAGCTGCACGGTCTGATGACGGTATTGATTTTGCACTAACATACTTGGGCACTGAGTGGGCTACTAACCCAATTGTTCGCTATGACCTAGGTGTTGTCGAGTTACTCGAATCCATGGGTGGCGGCACATCTGGAGCATATGCTGATCGACGTAAGCTGCTTGTGGATATCCTTGACATTGATTTGCGCTGGCGCATGCATCGTGCTAGTGACGGTGAGCGTCGTAGAGTTCAACTTGCTATGGGGTTGATGCGTCCTTGGACTGTGTTACTGTTAGATGAAGTTACTGTGGATTTGGATGTACTTGTACGTGCGCGGTTATTAGATTTCTTACGCACTGAAACAGAGACCCGTGATTGTGCTGTTATTTACGCAACCCATATTTTTGATGGTCTCGGTGAATGGCCCACCCATGCTGTCCATATGCATGCTGGTGCTATAACTCATTTTGGTGAATATGTTGTTGAGCTTGAAGAAAAGAAGGATGGTTCTGTTTCTAAAGTTTCAGTGGCTGGTGTTGCTCTTGACCATTTTGAGACAAACCGTATTGTACGTCATGGATCAACTGGTGAAACTGAAATTGTACCAGCAACTACAATTACAGCAGATGATGTGGCTGGAGCACTTGTAATTCCAAAGAATAGTGTATTGCTGGAATTGGCACTACAATGGCTGCGGCATGACTTGACAGAACGTGGGGAGCGAAGTGAACATTTGTCATGGGCTGAAATTCGTGAGAGGGTACTTGGACCAGAGAAGTCTTCATGATATATTATTATTATTATTATTATTATTATTATTATTATTATTATTATTATTATTATTATTATTATTATTATTATTATTATTATTATTATTATTATAGAAGATGGCTTAGTAAGCATATTACATTGTAAAATTAGCCGCATTAAATATCACGTGCGTAGAGAATTATTTTTTTGTAATGTCATAAAAAAAACAATTTTTTGTTAGAAGCGGTGCTTCTATTGTTGTTGTTGTAACAAGAGTGGCAAAAAAAAAAAATAAATATATAAAAGATCGCTGATTTGATTTCTGACATCATTTGTTTTTTTTTTTTTTTTTTTTTTGTTTATGAAAAATTTCTGTTGTTATTATTTATTTTTTTTTTTTTTTTTTAAATACACACACACATAAAAAAAAAAATAACGAAAACCCTTTACAATCAATAAAATCTTTAAAACCTTTACAACCACCACCAAAAAAAAAAAAAAATAAAACTCACATTTAAATCCATTTCAGTCCATTTCAGTACATTTCAATCTATTCCATTCTATCTTATTCTATTCTATATCATTCAACTTCTGATCATGTTTGGCCCTTGGCCTTCTCAATAATCTCTCTTAAATTTTTTTTTTTTATTTTATTTACTTCCATCTTCTTCTTTCGATCTATATTAACCATCTTTCTCTGGAATGTCAGCTAACCAAGACCACGCGTCGCTCGTTAATCAGCCATCATTGTCATCTTCTCCATCCTTTAATAAAATCAATAATAAACGCTCAAAGCGTACATCTATTTATTCTTCTATCCCTACATCTTCTTCTCTTGAGCGGCTGACCCCAGGACCTCCTCCTCTTCCTCCTCCGGGACTCGAGGGTGTTCCAACTGCTCCAGCTGCTTTGCTCAAGAAAAAACATCATCACTACAACTATTATACTAATAATAATTATAACAATAATAATAATAATAACAACAACAATAACAACCCCCATCATCATTATCATCATCATCATCATAGCATTTCCTCTTCATCTTCTTCTGATTTTTTTGATGAGTCTGGGTTTCAGCAAAAGTTTCGTAACCAAAACATACGCTACTCTTACAAGCCCCGATACCGTAATAATGCTGCCAATAATAATAATATTAACAATGGAAATAACAACAATAATAATGGCAACTATAAGAAAATTAATAACCACCATCTGCATCACTACCATTATAATAAACCACTCGACCTTGAAGACAATGACTACAACCAAGTCGAAGATGTTGCAGTTAACCAAGACTCCTTTGCTCTTTCTTCAACAAGCTTAACATCCCAGAATGACGCCCTGATACCCGCGCCATCATCCTGCGAAATGGATGACGAGCCATTGCATGTAATCGTGGGCACATCTGCTAACAATGAGCTTAACTCTAATACTGCAGAAACAGAAACAGCAACAGCAACAGCAACAACAACAATAACAACAACAGCACCATCAACCAGCAATATTTCAAACCGTATCTCAAATCCATCTGATACTATCTCCCTTAATAATGAATCGGAAGACGTTTTTCGTCAACCTAGATTTCGTGACAGCCGTAGATCAACAACAAGTACTACTCGCGTTAACGGAAACTATAAAAACAAGTATTATCGCAACAAACAAAACGGGTCTTACAAGCAAGAGCAGGCAACAATAACCACCACTACTATTACAACTGAAATCACCCAACCTGAACTGTCTCCACCTTCTCCATTCTCCATTTCGCCATCACCTTCTCGGTCTCCTGACCTTTATGTTTCTGGTGATGAGCAGATGGACACAGTTTTCCTGGATTCAAAAACTTCATCGTTTTCCTCCTCATGCCAAAAAAACCAAGGCTCTTTTACTACTGAAACACAACAACAACAACAACAACAACAGCGACTTTCACGTAGTCAAGCTTCCATCAAGAGTTCTCGAGAACGTGATTTATCAACAACTCCACCGCCACCTAAATCTTTGACTGAAGACTCTAAAGATACCAAACTTTCTGGCTCTACTGCAACTACACTTGTTTTGGAAAAGGCCGCGGCGACAGTTTCAAACACTTTACTCACTGACAATAAGAGACGCCTTAACAGCAACAACAATAAGCCTAAGCAAAAACAAAATACTAAAACAAATAGACCTGGTGGCGCCGTCATTGTTGACTCTTCGTCCTTTTCACGTAGACATACAACAAAAGCTCCAGCAAACAATAGACACAGCAGCTACCATCCTGGAAGTGGCAATAACAGTAGTAGTAGTAGCAGCAGTACTGGTAACACTGATAATATCAGCAACGGTAGCATATCTTCATCAACAACTGTACATGGTCATGCTCATCGTTTCTCTTTGTCTTATATTGATTCTCCGGCTGGAGCTCCAGAGTACCCTGACGATGGAACTACTTATTATCCTGTTCCAGGGCCTGGCCCCCTTGATTACCTTGCGGGATACGGCGCGTGGCCAACTGGTGCTCCAGTCCCTCCACCCCCAGGCTTGGCCATGATGCCTCCTCCTCCAATGTCGGGTCACCAATATGTGGGCGGGCCTACAGGTCCTGCATCAGGTCAACCACACCCCCACGCACCACCCCCACCACCACATCATCTTCAGAGCCAGGTCCCGCCTCCTCATCTTGCAGGTGGCCCTGGTCCTATGCCTCCAATGGGCTTCCCTGAAGACGGTGGCGAATACATGTATGCAGCAGCTGCTGCATTTTATGGTATGATGGCCCCTCCACCACCACCACCTCCTCACCAGTTACCCATGAACCCTCTCAATCATATGGGTGGGCATCCTCAATTCCCAGTTGTGCCTGTGCCCATGTACTTTGGCTATGATGAAGATGCAGATGACGATTTTGAAGGTATTAAGGATCGTGAAGGTGTTATTAATGCTGAAGATGATACCGTGGCTGCTACGATTTCGGAAAAGCCCGAGAGCGCTACTACCGAAGTGGGTTTAGATGGCGATGAAATTTCGGGTAATGAAATGTATGCACATTTACAACCACCACCACAACAGCTCCCACATATGAATCATATTGCCCATCATCCATCGCACATGTTTGGACCACCACCTGGGGCTCTCATGGGGCCACCACCACCTATGCATCACCATCATCCTCACCACCCCCACCATCCACCTCCTCTTCCTCACCATATGCCCATGTTTTTTGGTGGACTCGGTCCCACACCTCCACAACAACAACAACAACAGCAAGAGGGAATTGAAGAAAATGGAGAGAGCGAAGCTGTTCAAATGCCTTCTCAAGGGTTTTACTAAAAGAATAAAAAAAAAAGAAGAAAAAAGAAAATTTATGGAAAAAAAAGAAGAAAAATATATAAGAAAAAACGACTGAAAAAAAAAAGAATATTTTTTTTTTAAAAAAACAAAAAAACAGAAACAAAAAAAAAAAAAAGAAAAAAAAATCTTTAAAATAATTCAAACTATTTCATACAACTTAAATTCGTTCCTTTTATTTCTCACAAGTTTCTCCAAGTTTCTTTTTTTTTTGTTTTTATTCTTGCTGTTGCTGCTCGCTATTTATATATCACTATTTTTTCTTTTTTTTTCAAACACTCTCACATATATATATGCACCTTCGTTCTGTATTTTCAAATTATAATAAATAATGAATAATTATAAAAAAAAAAGAAAGAATACGGCTTGCTTGCTGTTCATGTAGAAATGAACCATAAAATGAATGAATGAATGAATAGCATTGAATATTTTGATTAAGCATATGTTTAGATGGAAGAAGCCAGACACTTGATTAGGAATTTTTTTTTTTTTTGGCTCCATCGATATCTCTGTCAATAAAGATTTTCACACTAGCCACACAATGATACTTACATTCACTTAGAGATAAATTGGTTTAAGGTCATTTTAAAAAACCCATTAATGAATTATTAAATTCAATTTATGTATAAATTCCTAAGGAACACCTTTATATGATAAATGATAAATGATTAATGTTGAATAAATGTTATTAATTTTATTTAAAAAAAATTTTTTTTTTGGCCTATACTTTTCAAAATCAACGCTGGGGTAAAATAGAAACAGAGGCTTGATAAGAGGCTCTATATCTTTCAACAACTCTTTGGATGCCATCCAAACCACGCTTCAGTGTTTCAATATCAGGACCATAAGACAAACGAATATAATGAAACATTGGTGAATCGTGAATTTCACGTCGAGCAAGAGGATTTAAATCAAAAAAGACACCAGGAACAACAATGACTTTTTCTTTAAGACATTCCTGGAAAAATCCCAAGGCTGTTTTAATTTTCCCTGGTAAGCTTGTCAAATCAAGCCACAAGTAAAATGTACTATCAGGAATTGACTTCATCTTAATTCCAATTTCTTCAAGACGTTGGATACAATAATCTCTCTTCATTTTGAAATGGGTTTGTAAAGCCTTCATTTCAGTAAGAACACGACCTGGCTCCAGCAATTGAACAGCTGCCTTTTGAAAGGGAACATTGGATCCACCATCAAGATAGGAACCAGCAGAAGCAAGAGCATTGATATATTCTTTAGGTCCAAGAATCCAGCAAATACGCCAACCAGGAAGACGGAAAGCTTTAGTGAGACCATCAAGAATAAGAACAGGATCAACATTCACATTCTGAACAAATTCTGCAGACGAGACAGCAGTACCGTCACAATTGGTCTTGTAGTTATATCTTGAGTAAAACTCATCCATAATAAGTAAACAGTGCTCACGACACATGTCATGGAGCTTTTTAAGGTCATCTTTTTCAATGCTATGACCAGTGGGATTTCTAGGATTCGAGGTAAGAAGAGCAGTGACACCACGTTTAAGTTCGTTACGAATTGTTTCCAAATGGACCTTGTAGCTATCACTTTCATCAAGAGGAACTGGAATAGGTGCAAAATTCTTGAAAAGTGCAAGCATTTCAGAATACGCAGTGTAATCGGGGAAAAAGAAAGACAGGTAGCAGTCACGCAAAATAGCAGCAATACGAATCAAACCAGCTCTACCTCCGGGGACTATACAAACGTTTTCCCAACTAAAAAAAAAAAATATACGTTAGAAATGAATGTAAAGGGTGCGGCTGAAGTTGATCCCAGCAAAAAAAAAAAAAAATAGCCTCTAATTCAAGATTACTTATCAAAGCATTGTAAAGCTCCTTGAGCCATGTTTAAGATAAGTTTACTGGGAATTCAATGATTTAAATAAAAAAAAATTACTCACGTATACTGACTGGATTTACCTTGACGATAACTGACATTGTAAAGGTTTGCAACTGCCTCACGCAAATCTCTTCTACCAGCAGTAGGTGCGTATTCCCGAGTATTCACGCTGATATCAATATTCTCTGGCTTGGGAGGGCATCCTTCAATTTCCCCAACTTCGGGGGCACCTTGACCCAGATTTGACCAGGCTGAATGATTATTGACATGTTAGAATATTTTTATACTCAATATATATATATATATATATATCACAATTACTTACTAGGGTCCTCATAGGTAAAACCAACTTCGGAAGCACGTTCAGTTGTCCAGATGACACCAGTAGACGATTGAGCAACATCAAGGCCTGGGTATTTGTGTGGAGGCTCTTTGTAGACATCAGGCAGACTGAGAGGGGTGCTCATACCACTCTCACTCTGAAACATTGGAGGCCCGTTACTAGGCCTTGAAACAGATGTCCGAGTATTTGATTTGAACCAACGGTTATTGTCTAAAGACATTGATATGATATATAAATTTTCTTTAATAAAAAAAAAAAATAAAGAAAAAAAAGAAAAAGAAAAAACTAAAAAGAATAGATTTATCGAAAAAGGTGGGGTTGGGTGGGGTTGAGTAAGAAGAAGAAGAAGAATACTAAATATGAGAGCAAGGGGAACTCCGAGCTTTTTATACTTTTTGGGAAATTTTTAACTTAAAGCTTAGAAGAGTCACCATCATATATATATATATATATATATATATATAATATATACACAATAAAAAGTTTTAGCTTGCTTAGGCCATACCAAAAAAAAAAAAAAAAAAAAAAAAAAGTTTGAAAACTTTCTAAACATTGAGCTTGCAGCCTTGCGTCCCGATTTTTTTTTTAAAAAAAAACAAAAAATACAATACCCGTGGCCTTTCAAATCTTTAACGACCCGACCGGTACATTTTTTTTCACTTTTTCAATGCATTTAGAGCCAAGTGATAGTAAATATGTCCGGTGTGTATAAGTTTTTTTTTTTTCATATTAAAAATTTTTGCGTGAGTTTTTTTTTTCTTTTTCTTATCCGAGTTTTTTTTATTTATTTTTCCCATTTAAAACCCGGAACAGAGCACCGTGATTTTTCGGGGCGGGCTGCATACGAAAAATAAAAATAAAAATAAATAAAATAAAAATAAAGTCTTAATTATTATCTAATTATTACATAATATTTACATAATTAGAAAATTACTTAACATTTGTTAGTCAGCATACATAATAAAAAAAATACCTGAAAATTCCACTTAGAAGGGTAATACTGTGTACGCGCGCGACTTTTTTTTTTTCCTGTTGAAAGATTTTACATCCTTGATCTAAAATTCTAGAGATCAAAGTCAAAATGCTTCAAGCTTCTTCCCGGAGAATCCTAGCACAGAAAAACATAGCATTTTGCTCAAATATTCAACGGCGTTATGCTTCAGTAAACACTGATTCTAAAAAGTTACTGGACTCTGCCCCTTTCCATGATGTGGTTGTCATTGGTGGCGGCCATGCTGGTGCTGAGGCCTGTGCTGCAGCAGCTCGTCTCGGAGCAAAGACTCTTCTTGTCACTCCTAAGCTTTCAAATTTAGGTGTCTGTTCCTGCAACCCAAGTTTTGGCGGCATAGGAAAAGGTATTTTGATTAAAGAAGTAGATGCTCTCGATGGCGTGGCTGGCCGCATCGTCGACAAGGCAGGAATTCATTTCCAAGTTCTCAACCGTTCCCGTGGCCCTGCTGTCTGGGGCCCCCGTGCACAAATTGACCGCAAAATCTATCAAAGGGAAATGGAACTCGAACTTAAAAACTATCCTAATCTCCAAATCAAAGAGGATGCTGTAGCTGATATTTTGATTGATCACGAAGCTACTTCGCCCAATGCTACTCATGGTAAAGTTAGTGGTGTGGTCCTTGAATCTGGTCAAATTATCTCAACAAACAACGTCGTCATCACAACTGGTACCTTTCTTTCAGGTGAACTTCATATCGGACTAGAAGTTTTCCCTGGTGGCCGTGTCGGTGAAAAGGCTACCTTTGGTCTTTCTCACACTCTTAAAACCGCCGGTTTCCAAATGGGTCGCCTTAAAACCGGAACCCCACCTCGTTTAGCAAGAGAATCCATAAACTTTGAGGGAATGATGGTTCAATACCCAGATAACCCAGCAACTCCCTTTTCTTATCTTAATGATACTATTTCACTTGCTGATGACCAGGTCAACTGCTACATGACTCGTACAAACCCCTCTTCACACAAAATTCTCATGGATAATTTTGATAAGTCCGTCCACATCCGTGAAACTGTTAAAGGTCCTCGCTACTGTCCTTCTATTGAAAGTAAAATTAAAAGATTTTCTCATAAGGACAATCATCAAATTTGGCTTGAACCTGAAGGTCTTGACACAAATATAATTTACCCCAATGGCATATCTATTTCAATGCCACCTGACATCCAACTTCAGTTTTTACAGACAATTAAAGGCCTTGAAAATGTAAACATGCTTCAACCAGGTTATGGCGTGGAATACGATTATGTCGACCCTCGTGAACTTCGACCTTCATTAGAAACAAAGCGCGTCACAGGTTTATTCCTTGCTGGCCAGATTAATGGTACAACTGGTTACGAAGAAGCTGCCTCTCAAGGTATTATTGCCGGTATTAATGCAGGCCGTGCTGCTCTTGGAAAGTTACCATTTATAATCAAACGCAGTCAGGGCTACATTGGTGTGTTGATTGACGATCTTGTCACTATGGGAGTTGAAGAGCCTTACAGAATGTTTACGTCACGCTCAGAGTTTCGATTTATTTTGCGATCTGATAATGCAGACCTGCGTTTAACTCAAATTGGCCGTGACCTTGGAGTTGTTAGCGATAAACGCTGGAATCGTTATCTTAAGGACACTTCTGAGTACGATAAAATTAAATCTATACTTTCTTCTGTTTCACTATCTTCTGCTGAATGGGCCCGCCGTTTACCAAACTACAAAATTGCGAACGATTCGCAACGTCGTTCTGCATATGATATTTTACGTCTTAAAGAAGTTTCACCTTCAGATCTTGCACTCCACATTCCTAATGGTGCTCTTGCACAATTTTCTTCTCGCGTTCTTCAAAAAGCTGATATTGATGCAAAATACGCACCTTATATTAAGCGCGAAGCTAACCTCATTCGAGCATTTGAATCTGATGAAAACCTTGCTATCCCTGAAAACTTTGACTATTCTGTACTGGGTAGTCTTTCCAATGAATCTAGAGCTCTACTTGAAAAGGTTAGGCCCGAAACTCTTGGTCAAGCCCGTCGTATCCAAGGTGTCACTCCAACTGCTTGTCTAGATATTTTCCGATATGTCAAGTCTTTAAATTCTGTTTAAGCCTTCCCCCCCCCCTCTTTTTTTTTCAATTTTTGTTTTTTAGCTGTTACTGTAAATAGTCTATTTATTGCATTTTTATTCATAACTTCATTATTCATATCATAGTTAAACACTTGCCTTTTTTGTGTGTTTTATTGTTACTGCGTCTACCAAGTCGTCGACAAGTTCTTGTGGAAAAAATTGTTGCGCAATAAGATCCACTGGAACAGTTTCATTAAGGCCGTTAGTTGCAGTTAAAGCTGAATTATTTCTGGAAGTTGCAGATAGCACTCTTTGCCGTTTCATTAAAGCAAGTACGTCATCAACATCAATTCTTTTACGACCTGCATGTTTAGAATATGCTGCTAGATCTAAGCCCATTTGTTTAAAAAACAAATCCTGTGCATCTACCAAGGCATCCATGGCATCTGGGGAAAGCTTTCGGCGCGATAACACAAAAGAACCGGCAAAATCTTTAATTGTTACTTTCGACACGGTCGGAGCTGTCCTCTTTTCCAGCTTATTTTTAATCCATGGTTTTTGAAAAACAAAAGATCCAGATGTAACTGGTGACAGCGCTTGCTCATTCCTAGGTTTTTCTTGATCAAAATCAACTTGGCGTCTATAAATTTCTTCGTCCTCTAAAGTATAATCTGGAAAAGGATCTTTGGATTTTGATAATGAATGGTCTTTCACTATACTCTCGTCGTTTTGATCAGTAAAGTCATTAGATGCTTCATAAAAATCAAAGCCTCCAATCGAGTTGTCGTCATCATCATCATTAACTTCCATGTCGTTTATATCACGCTTTCTAAGTTGAACTTTTGATCCATCTATAATATCCTCGTCGCTAGAATATTTTTTTTCACCTGAGTTAGGGTTTAGGGAAGATATACTAGATTCAAAACTAGTTGAAATATTTTCATTTATGATGGGAGAATTCTGGTTTTTGTTAGCATTAGTATCCTCGTTTAATTCAATTGGGGCAGAGGTTGGTTCTAATAAATCAATATTTATCACAAAAGATTCATTTAATGATCTCTTTTTGTCATCTCGGTCCAAAATAACTTCAGATCCTTCTCCTTCAAGCTCTATGGACGACTGGGAATTATCCATCGGAATGTCCACATTATTAATTTGAATTTTAAATGGCTCATTAAGACTGAGCTTTCGAGATTTTAACGGCTTTGAAGTATATTCAGACAAATTTGTCATCTTATCTTTAAACATATCTTCATTTCTTTCAAAACTTTCATCATCTTCTTCTATTTGAGTTGTGTTGAATTCAGGAAAAATTTCACTAAGACGTCTATCCGTAAGACTCAATCGATCTTGTGCTTTACGAGCAATTTCAACTTCTCTATCACTTCTTCCAAAAGATGAACGCAATCGATGTGCTTCATGAGTGGGTGTTGTATTAATTTTAATAACAAAATTAGATTTAGGTTGTGATAGTCTAGGTTCATCAATATTGTTACTAGTTATTTTATGGTTATAATCAGAATTTTTAACTTCAAGCTCATGGGTGGTATTTTTTATGTTAGTAGTAGATCTCCTTTTAGAAGTATTTATGGTTTCTAAGCTTTTTTGACGTTTTGCCGAATCCTGTCGTGATGGTTCCTCCTTGCTCTGTCTTTTATTATCTATAAAAAATTCAACTTCATCTGTATTGATTTCTTTTCCACTTATAGCAAGCTTCTGTAAATACTGCTGTTCTAATGTTTGATCATCCAAACTATTTGGTAGTTTCTTTGGAAGTATTTTGGAATGTTCAATAGTTTTTCGGCGTTCATTTTTTTGTTTATCGACACTTGAAAATACTTTGTCTTGGTTTTCTTCTTTAAATTCAATAACAAGCTGTCTACTTAACTGACGTAAAATTCCTATCAGCCCATTGTCAAGGTCAGAATGAACACTATTGTTTTGGGCATCAATTGAGTTCAGAGTTTCAAAAATCGTGCTGCGTCGTCCTAAAGAAGCACTTCGAAATTTTCTAATAAAAGGAGTGGTCACTATAGGATAATTTGACTTCGGGGTTGTATTCATTTGATATGGATTTGTGATACGTTTTGAAGGGGTAGCTCTATTATCTTTCAATCTAGAAGATGACACATTTGAGTTCTCACTAGAAGCACTGGTTTTAGAGGAATTAAATTTTGATTCTAAATTTAATGACATTAATCTTGATATTATGCTTATTATTTCATTAGCTGAATGATCTTGAAAATCCTTAAGATTAGGTGTTCCATGGACTGGAAATTTTCGTTTTTAAAGTTGGATAAAGAATATTGGTGGAAACGCGTAATGACTATTCTAAATCTTTTAAAACATTTTGTTAGTAAAACATACTTGTCACTGTAAATAAAATATGCTTAACTAAAAAAAAAAAAAAACTGTGCGGCTAGTACTCATAAAAATTATCACGTGAATTTAACCCGAGTGTTTTTCGTTAAAAACCACATGACTGACATTTCTTAGGAAAAAGTTCCACCCACTTTTATCCCCGCTTCTTTTCTCTGTAAAACTATTCGACCAAATCTAATTAATAATTTAAGAATACGGTAAAATGTCAAACATCGGTCAGGATTTTGCTCATGCCCTCCCTTCTCAGGGTAGATGGAAAGAAGATATTTCACGATGGCTGGCCGAGGATGTTCCATCTTTTGATATTGGTGGCTACGTTGTGGGCGAAGACATAAAGAGTGCTACATTGTGGTGCAAGCAATCTGTAAGTAGCTATTGGATTAAATGCTATTCAATCATAATATATTTATTTTTGACCATATTTTAGGGTGTTCTTGCAGGTGTTCCATTTGCTCAAGAAGTCTTTAATCAAGTAGGTGTTACTGCTGAGTGGAAAGTTAAAGAAGGTGAGTATATTAAGGCTGATGGATCAAATAAGGTTGCTGTCGCTATTATTACTGGACCTGTTCGTAAACTTTTACTGGCAGAACGCACTGCTCTCAATATTCTTGCTCGTGCTAGTGGTGTTGCCACTCAATCTTATGAAATTGTCACTCTTGCCAAAGAAGCTGGATTTTCCGGTGTTATTGCTGGTACGCGTAAGACAACACCAGGCTTACGTGCTGTGGAGAAATATGCAATGATTGTCGGGGGTGCTGATCCTCATCGTTATGATCTGTCTTCTATGGTGATGTTGAAAGACAACCATGTCTGGTCGACTGGCTCGATAACCAACGCTGTCAAGGCAGCTCGCAGAGTTGCTGGCTTCGCAACTAAAATTGAAGTTGAAGTTGGATCTGAAGATGAAGCTGATGAAGCTATTGCAGCTGGTGCCGACGTTATTATGTTAGACAATTTTAAAGGGACCGAACTTCAGGCTGCTGCATTGTCCATTAAGGAAAGATGGGCTGGTAAAAAGCACTTTCTTTTGGAATGTTCTGGTGGTCTTACTAAAAGTAACATCAAGGAATATTTGACAAATGAAATTGACATTTACTCTACTTCTTCTATTCATCAAGGTGTTTCTACTATTGATTTCTCTCTTAAAATTAATGTTTAAATATATTCTTCTAGTTATTTTGATTTAGAATAAATGTTGATAAAACCTTACTCAAAAAGTTGGAAATTTTTTTATTTTATTTTATTTTATTTATTTGTTGACATACTCCTAACCATATTATGATGTAAATGAAGTAAAATCTAAAGATTTTAATAGTTGAAAATCATCTCCTTCTTGAGCTTCCATTGTAAATTGGCCATTGGAATCTCGCTTATCTATTGACTCTCCACCCTCGCTAATTCCACCCAATCCACCAAATCCGGATCCTCCAGCTGTGAGTTGATCCAAAAAAGATTGTCCAACTTCAACATCTTTATTATCAATGGATTCACCTCTTTGGTGACCTTTGTTGTTCGCTTGTGCAGGCTGATTATGTGTCGATTTATTAAGATCATTAATAACTTTGTCTCTGAGAGTGTTGATTTGTTCCAATCTGTACTGCCAGTTTGATCGATATTCTCCAGCATTGTTCCATACTGTAGCAAACTTAGAAGAGATTAGCGCTAAATTACGGACAAATCCGGCAAGAGATTCTTCTGATACAATTTTCAGATGACAAGCTGCAAAGTTTGCTGGGACTCCAGGCTTGCAATAGGCTCTGACCTTATAATAAACCTTTGTTTTGACAGCATGCTCTTCGCCCGGACGAGGTCGAGATGGCTGAAGCCTTGGTGACACGGGGGTTTCATCTGATCTTGTGAAAACCTTGTGCTTAGAGAAATTCACTGATACAGGAGTAATAACAATGTTAATAAAGTTGAACTGACTTTTAATGATGTCGAATTTGAATGGGAGCTCAGATTCATCAAAATAGATATTGACAAAATCATTACCGATATGTCTTTTTTTGCTTGAACAGCTGGTGTCTAAAGGATTAGCTGGTGCCGGCATTAGTGTAGTAATATGAAATATCATTTGTGTAACTTTGTCAGCCCAAACATAAGCATATTCTCCATCGATGTCATTTGTTGTGTCCAATCCTCCTGTATAAACTTTTTTGTTGTCCTTTAGTCGAACAAGTTTTCCAAGACTTTCTAAAAATCGACGATAGCTTGGGGATCCAACAGAATTACTGAGAATTACTTTCTCTTCTTGTTGGTTAGGACCAATGTATAAAATACCTATTTTATGAAAATCAACCACGGGAGTTCTATCAAAAGAGCTAATAGCACGCGAAGTAGTTGCGTCGTTAGGTAGTTGTAGAGGTTTGAGAGATGTGGTTACATCTGTTGGATACATAACTTGAAGAAAAAAGTAATTCGGAGTGAAAGCAATGGGTATATCATCGGCTATTCTATCTATGTTGAGATTTTTGTCATTTCTTTTTAATACAGCCTCCTCCAGCCAGCTGGGAATTATTTTCTCGTCTGGTTTTAAAGTAAGCATAGTTGTTCCAGTTGGTCTCCTTATCACGATGTACGTGTCACCCGTTTGTTCATCTGTATCAATCGAAACAATGCTATTACCATAAATCCATTGTTTAGCCTTTCTGTTTGATGATTCTTCTAATGATGGTAATGAAATTGTTGTTTGAATTGTGAGATCAAGGTCGGAATAAGTAAATCGAGATATTAGATCAATGTATGCCATCCCTTGAGGATCAATATCCTTTTTGGTTCCCGCAGCTAAAATAAGATTACGAATTATAAATTTAGCAAGGTATTTTCTGTTGGTGATTCTAAGAGTCAAAAACCATGTCGCAACAACGTTATAGGCAAGTGACAATAAGTACACAGAAAGTTGCTTATTATTTGTTATAGTTGGTGCTAAAACAGGACCACCAATTGGACTAGAAACAGGACTTAGCGATCTTGGATCACTGTTGTTTGCTGATTCAGCTTGCTGAGACAGTGTGTAAGCATCTCGAATATATTGGAAAGCCATGCCAAAAACTCTTTTGTATTCATCCTGGGTAAAATTATCGACAAGTGTTGGGAGACGAGAAAGTGATAATAAAAACTCTAATATATGTGGACTGGTGTTGGTATTTGAAATTTTTGATTGAAATTTTGTGAATATCTGCCCAAGATATTTTTTTATTGGAAGAGGAAGTTCGTGACAGCAAACAACCAATGCATGAATGCATGAAACAGCTGTTTGCTCCCAAGATGATAAACCACTAACCAAGCATTTCACAATTTCTTCGCCATCTTGCTTTGTGAACATATCATGATATCCAATTAACGATGAAATAGTTCGAACTAAAGAAATTAATAGGTCAAATTTGGTAATATCTTTAGGATATGTAACACTAGGAAGTTTGTTGTTTATGAGCTGATCACAAACAATTTTCCGAAGCCGGTGGATGTCACTACCTGAAGTTCTAAACAGTTCTAAATTTGAGAGCTGAGGACCAAAATGGGCCCACACAAATGAATATATTTCCCAATGAGCCCCATTCTCAATAATTCCAATTATTTCATTAAACCACAAAGAAATGTCAATCTCATATTCATTAGCTTTAAGTCGTTGGATTTCAAAAGTTTCATCACTATGACGCTTCAATGTAGAAGAAGGCTTGTTTAAATGAAATTCTGAAATATATGAAGGAGTTTCTGGGTACCACCACATCATTGTTGACTTTTCTGCTTTAGGATTCAAAATAGTGTTTCGGCCAACACTAGCAGACAAACCATCCATGTTAGTTGGTGTGCTTAAGTAAATATATCCTTCCGTTGTAGATCTGATGCGACAGAGAAGCCGAGCTACTTCAAGGAAAGAAGCAGGGTCATTGCTTAATAAAGATTTCTGGCAAATGGTAATAAGATTGTAATAAACTCTCCGAGATTTTATAGATGAATATTGAAAGACAGAAAGAAATGCTTTGCAAAATCCAACTGCAACTATAGGCCGATAGCTTTCAAGTAACTCCTGAGATTGCAGAGTAGAAATTTCACCACGAATATTATCAGATACAGTAGGAAATTGTGGAGATGCATTATTATTTGGAACACTGTTTGCACTTGTCATTGACATTTTTTCATTTGCATAGGATGAACCAAGTGACGTTATGCTTTTCCTTCGAGTCTGACTGGTATCATCTGTTGAAAAAGAAAAAACATTTAAAAGAAATTTTGAAGCAATATCCATAGATTCCGGTGAAGCTTCTTCGGCAAGATCCACAAACTTATCAACTAAAGAACTAAATACAGTAATGTCTCCTTCAAAGTCAGATACTTTAAATATGTTCTCTATCAAAGTATGCTGAGTTTCTGTGTCGCAAATATCTCTAGCAATTTTAAAGATATCGCATAATAGATCAAGTGCTAATATTCTAATTTCAGAGCTCCATGAACGATCAAAATAAAAGCCATTTAACAATATTCTAATATTATTTCTCCAGTGTTCAGTAAACGGATGACAACAGCTGAATTCACGAAAGTGGTTGATAACTAAAACGGCACAGCGACCATTTATAAGATCAACCATATCAGCCAAAAAATTGACGATTATTTCTCTGGGACCCTTAAACCTGTTAGTTTCAAAAATATCGGCTAGGTAATCAAAAATTTCTTTGAATTTGTCATAAGCCCGGTTTTGTCGTGTCATTTTCGATTCTGATCTATTCAATAGGCTTTCTCTATCAGTGAAACTTTGCCTGTCAGAATAATTTGATTGTGGGAAAATATTGCGTTGCATTGGTCTACTATGAGCAACTGAATAAAAAATTTCAAATGGAGAAAGTTTTGGGGAAGTCCAAATCTCGAAGGTAAAAACCTTATCACGTAAAGAATCGTTTGACATTAAATCAAATAAGCATGTAATTACCTCCAAATTTTGTCTCATACTTTCAGCATCTATCGATGCTCGGTATGCAATCAAGACTTCATAAAGAGGAAATTCAAATTCACGACTTGTTTGAACAGACAATTCCACAATATGCCGAAGAGCAATGGTGGCACCTTGACGGGTATTCATAGTAGTTTTTACTGTACGGTTTTCGACAAATTGAACAAAATGATTGAACATATTGATAGCAAGTGGTCCATTATATATTGCTTCAATAATTTTCCAAGCTCTTTCTCGGCTTAAATTGATTGTAGTAGCACAGGCAATAATACCACATAATGTCTCTGATAAACCTAGGAGTGATTTCAACGGGATGTAAGAGCTCTCCTGAATTGTCAAAACTAAATCCAGACAGACCAAAATATCCTGTTCACTAGATGTTGACTGGCACGTTTTGTTGACACGATCAAGCAAATCTATTGTATTGCTGGTGGAAAATAAAAAAGGGTTATTTTGATAAATCATTATTGTGAACCGCACAAATTGATGAAAATTTTCTTCTGTAGATGCACCCCAAAGCTTGGTGCTATCGGTGTTGACTTTTTCTCGAATCTTTTGAGTTTCTTCTGAAAGAATGCGAAACCAACTATCTAAAACCTTCGGTAATGATTCCTTCGATTTAAAAAAGTCTTCAACCACAGTACCGTTATGTGTTAAATACATCATTGCTTCAAGTTGGAGTTCAAAGTCTTGAAGGTTGCATGAATTAACAATATCGTTATAAAAGCTAGAGTTAATTAGTCTGACATCGGTATCATCTGGAGTTTGTCTAATACAAGCAATCATTAGTTTAAGACCAGCCCTTCTGCACTCTGGTGAATTAGTTAATGAAAGCATATCTCGTGCACTTTCCCAAATTTCTTGTATAGAAGAAACAGAGTAATCTGTGATTGATTTACTGATTTCTTCAGCGGCAGTTATACGGTCAGGGGCATTGTTTAAAGGCCCAAGTTTTTCAAGAACATTGTGAAATGACCGATCGGGAGCACCTCCAACAATGTTTGGTCGCTCTTGAATTTGGGGACCAGTTTGTGACAAGCCATTCCTGACTTGCCTTGCAAATTTTATTACATTTCCAAGAACTGAGCTGGAATTACTTTCGTTTGTATGTAGATTGGCATTTGTTTTAAACGATCTTGACATAGCTACTATCGAAATTCTTTCCTAAAAATGTTAAATTTATATCCTTAATTTCAAAAGTAATACAGTTTAAAGCGTACTTAGTGGCGGCTTCTTGGTCAAGTTAATTATTTTTAAAGATAATAATTAATTAAATTAAATTAAATGAAAGTGGCAAAAATGGCCCCGCGCCAAAGGGCTTCAAAAAAATTAAAATAAATAAAAAAGCAGCTGGTTTTATAGTTGCAAATATTTGTAATAGTATACAGTGGAGTTAAGCAGAGATTTTATCATTAATGAGATCTTGGTGTGAAATTTTCAATGAACAGAAATATTAGGTGGTCTATCTAACATTTTTCGAAAAGTAAGGTAAAAGTTAAACATTTGTATTTCCCTAAGAGTAGATTGTATTTTGATGGGTTAGGGGTTTCCCCAATTCATGCATCAGTTAAATCATAACAACAGTGGTTTTCATATAAGATAGTATTACGCTTTAACAAATTGATGATGCTACTTTAACCTAACATTAACAAACTACCCTCAGTACTTTGGATTTTGGTTTTACAAATACGTTAAGAGAAATTTTAATTAAAAAAAATTAAAGCTAGAATTTGCTGTTTTATTTTCATTTTCAAATTATTTAAAGAATTACCATGGAACAAGTGGAAAAAGATTACAGATCTGGTACGTGACATTAATTACGTTGTAGTAAGATCAGTTTTTCTTTTCAATGAATATATTAAAATAGTTTCATTCCATTAAAAATATCTAATATTAATACCATGAATACATTTTGACATTCAGGGATTAGGAGGATGGAGGCCTTAGGATTTTCAGATATTGGAAATCTAGCAATGTGGTCTGTTTCTTCTTATAAAATTGGATTTGGCGTCGATGCATTACGAGCAGATGATGCATCGAAGCTGTGGCAAAGTGACGGACCACAGCCTCATTATGTTGATATCCATTTTTCAAAAAAGGTTTCCATTGTGAGAGTCAGTTTATTTTTCTGCTTTGGATTAGACGAATCTTACACTCCATCAAAAATCCGGATTCTTTCTGGAGATGGATATCACACATTACTCGAGGTAACAACAGTAGATTTTGCAGAACCTTCCGGCTGGTCGCACATTACTTTTGATTCAGTAAGATCAGAGTATGTTTCTTTTTTAAAAACATTTAAAGCACTCATATAAAATAGGCATCATTCTAATTCTGTTTAGCGGTATCATGAAATCCTTTTTAATAAGAGTGGAAGTTCTCACAAATCATCAAAATGGAAAGGATACCCGAATACGATCAATAAAGGTTTTTTCACCATCAAAGTAAGTGACCAAATGAAATTAAAATTCCTTGAGCACTTCTAACATCTATTCAAAAGACAAAACATTGCACTTGAAGACCAAGAAATTGGTTTTACATCCGTAAAAATGTTATCAGAATCAGTTATTAGATAGCCGCTTATATAATCTAAAGATTCCTGATCCATTAGTTGTATTCATAAAGTAATAAAAAGTTATCATCTCGATCGAATATATGAAATAAAGGATTAATTTTTGGTGCTTTTAAAAGTATATTTTAATTAATTACGTAATTAATTATAATTAAGGTAATTACCTTTAATTATAACTAAACAAAATTTTTAAAAAAGTTACATAAACTTAGTTTACATACAAACTAAAATTATTTCTTTATTTACGTAATTAATTATAATTAAGTTTTTATGTTGATGTATATGTTATGTATATATGTAAAATCCTGACTATTCAAAATAAATGTAACATATTACTTCATATTTACGTAAGGCTTTTAGTTTGTTACAATTTTTTACTGTTAATTTTTTTTTCCCACGCGTTCATTTTTTGTTTTATTTTTCAAAAATTTTTAAATCTCGAGTAGCCAGTTCAAATCAATTGTCTTTATCACAACAAAATACTTATAATCACCATAGCCGATTGAATATCACAACTGGATTTTCAATTATTTGACATGTCTATTAGCACATCAGAACTTGCATTTATATTTGATCAGTCTTTGGATCATAAGAAAGCCAAAGAAGGTACGTTAAATGATAATGGAATAACGTATTCCTGTACATTGCTGTAATACCAATTGGTTTTGAATCAATAAAAACATATACTAATAATACTATTATTAGCCGAGTTAACCTTAAGGCAAAAGGAAACGGAACCCGGGTTTTCAATTGCTATCTTATATGTTGTTGCCAATAATGAGATAAATATTTCAACCAGACTTGCGGCAGCCCTTTATTTCAAAAATCTTATTAAACGAAAATGGACTGTAAGTTATCCTATATTTTTATTAGTGGTTTTTAATTCTTTTAATTAATACATTTAATATTTAGGATGAAGACGGAAATTATCTTTTACCTTTAAAGGATGTAAACGAAATCAAATCTGCCATTGTAGATTTCATGATTCAGCTACCTCAAAACTTACAAGTTCAAATTGGCGAGTCGATTAGTGCCATTGCTGAGAGCGATTTTCCTAATCGCTGGGAAGATTTAATTCTTGTGAGTAAATTTATATTGTGTAATTGGAAGTTATTAACGTGTCTTAGAATCTGGTCTCAAAACTGACAGAAAATGCCGAAACCAATAATGGAGTCCTTCTTGTTGCACATTCGATTTTCAAACGTTGGAGGCCTCTATTTAGATCGGACGACCTTTTTATTGAGATAAAACTTGTTTTAAGCCAGTTTACAGTTCCATTTTACAGTTTACTAGAACTGGTTGACAAAAAAATTGAAGAAAACAAAAACAACAAATTGGAACTTGTTAATCAACTCAAGTCTTTAGATCTCTTGATGAAGATTTTTTATGATCTCAACTGTCAAGATCTTCCTGAATTTTTTGAAAACAATATCGTTTCGTTATTTGAAATTGTTTTTAAATATCTCACATACTCAAATTCTATTGTATCTTCTGATGATGAGGATGAAGCTGGCCCGTTAGAAAAAATGAAAGCATCTATTTGCGAAATACTTAAACTTTACACGGTTAAATATGAAGAGGAATTTCAAAATTTACTCCCCAAGTTTGTTGAAGCAACATGGACTTTATTGACAACAACTGGAACTCAACCCAAATATGATCTTCTTATTAGTAAGGCCCTTTCTTTCTTGACATCAGTCGCAGCAAACCCACGCCATTCTTCTATGTTTTCATCTGATGAAATTCTTCAGAACATTATTAGAAGTATTATTTTGCCAAATGTCACCCTGCAAGAATCAGATGAAGAAATGTTTGAAGACGATCCAATTGAATTTACTCGAAGAGATTTAGAAGGATCTGATAGTGATACAAAACGGAGAGCTGCAACTGACTTCCTTCGTGAGCTTAATGGAAAAAATGAGTCTCAGGTTACTAATGCCGTTATGACATATGTTAATGAATTTTTAAACAATTATAACACTAACCGTGAAGAATGGAAACGCAAAGATACTGCAATTTACCTCTTTTCCGCAATCGCTGTCAAAGGTGCAATTACAAGCTCGGGTGTGACCAATACAAACTCATTGATTGACGTTGTTGGGTTTTTCAATCAAAATATTCAGAACGATTTAATTGATCCAAGTGTTAATCCAATTCTCAAAGTTGACGCAATAAAGTACATTCACACATTTCGAAATCAAATTTCAAAAGAGCAACTTATTAGTTCCTTTGTTCAACTCTCAAATTTCTTACTTTCTGAGGAATACGTCGTGTATACATATGCCGCCATTACAATTGAAAAAATACTAATTATGCGAAACCCCGAGGACCAAAAAACATTCATGTTTGGAAAAACTGACATTGCACCGGCTGCTAAAGATCTTCTTTCTAATTTATTTAAACTCATTTTAAGAGGTACAACACCCGAAAAGCTTGCTGAGAACGAATTTTTAATGAAATGTGTGTTTAGAATTCTTATTACTGCTAAAGAATCCACGTCTTCTTATTCATTAGAACTTTTATCTCAAGTCATTGTAATTTTAGAAGAGATAAGCAAGAATCCCTCGAACCCACACTTTTCCCATTACACTTTTGAAGTCATTGGTGCTATTATCAAATATTCGGCACCCCTGATTGGAGCTTCTGCAATCGAAAGTTTAGTTTTTGCTCCATTTATGAGACTTCTATCCCAAGATATATCTGAATATGTCCCTTATACCTTTCAGCTTCTAGCACAGCTTCTTAATTTTTACCCTGAATCGCAAAGTCTTAGCCAGAACTATATTCATCTCATTAAGCCTCTTTTGTCACCTGCAGTTTGGGAATTAAGAGGTAATATTCCTGGCTTAGTAAGTTTATTACAGGCTATCCTTTGTCATGGTAGTAAAGATGTTATTGAAAGTGGAAATTTGGAAGCATTTTTAGGTGTATTTCAAAAGCTTATTGCATCTAAAGCAAACGAAGTCTATGCTTTTACATTACTTCAGTATATTATTTACAACATACCACCGAGCTACTTGGACCCTTATCTGAAACAAATTGGTATTCTTATAATGACGAGACTTAGCAAGTCAGTAACCGATAAACTTATTTCCCATATTGCTCTTACTGTATACTTCGTTGCAGCGGCAGAAAAGGAAGGTCTTGGGCCAGATTATATTATTAAAATGTTTGATATTGTTCAACCTAACGTTTTTGGATCAATTTTTGCCAAATTCATTTTGCCAACAACTACCAAAATACATCTCGTAAGAGACAGAAGAATTGCTGCTATAGGGCTGACAAAAATTATTACAGAATGCCAGGCTTTTATTACAGGGAGCTACAACAATATCTGGCCTAGTAGTTTGATTGTTTTAATTGATCTTCTCAAGACCGATCTTGCAGCACCTATGGATGAATCACCTGTTCTGGATATTAATTCAGACGAAAATCTTGCATTTGGGTCTACTTATTCTCAGTTAACCACTGCAGTCATTCCACCAATTAACCCTGCACCAAGTGTGACTAGTGACCCAAAAAGATTTTTCTTTTCCCAAGTAAAGAGATTTGATTCTTTGGTTAATGGGCAAATAACTGTTATGATTTCCAATCTTCCTAACAACGTTAGAACCGACCTTGCATCGATAGGTTTTGTTTAAATATTTCATATAGAAGCCTAATTGTTTTTCACAAGCATAATAAAAATATAAGTATTAACTTAATTATATATTTAAAAATATGTAAGCTTAGTACTAGTACAGTAAATACAAATAGAAAGCTTCACATATATGAGATATATGATTAATATATCTTTACCATATATGGAAATTGTTTTTTCAAAATGCAAGGGATTTTCAAAAGTTGTTGGGTAAGCATACAAATTATGAGGACAATTTGAATATCACATATTTACTTAATATTGAATATTAAAATAGTCTTAACAATAGTATAAGCAATTGTAGAGATTTAAATTAAACTTTTCTAAAAAAAATTATTACTTGACCGAAAAGAAGTTAAACCATTTTTTTCACAAACCAAATATGATTTTGTATATTTTCTTCTTTACATTTCACAAAAAAAAAAAAAAAAAGGGTTTTTTCTAAGCAGCCCTATTATGTTTATGTAATCTCTTAACCCGGTTCTTTCCTTTTTTTTTTTTGAACTGTACAGCTCTAGAGCCTAGATGTGAGCGTAGAGAGCCATCATTTTTTGAAAAAAAACAAAAAAACAAAAAACAAAATGTCAACACTAAGTCAATAGCAGTTACGAATAGCAGTAGCACAGGTAAATACTTAATTGCAAATTATAGTAGCAGGGGTATAACTTGTCCTCAAATATAATATAAATAAAACATGAATACTGGATAATTATAAGTAGACCTATATTTAAATGACCCCCACATGATCTTTCCCCACCTCCCTCTCTACCTATTCAAAGTGTTTTTTGAGTGACTGGGATAACCCTTGCATTTAATAGCTAAAAAACCTTAACACTAATGGGTAACTCTCATCCGATAATAATCAATTTCAACTTCAACTTTAACTTCAACTTCAACTCAAAGTAAAAGTAAAAGTAGACTAAAAATAGTATATTTAAAATTTCAAAAAACAAGAAAAAATAGGACAACGGTCAAATTAAACATATATATATATATATATATATATATATATATAAGGCCTGATATTTTCAAAAGTAATTTTTTAATTTTTTTTTATTTTAAAAAAGACTTGAAACCTTGAAATGAATGCTTATCGGCTACTTCTACCCCTCAATTTTTTTACTTTTTTTTTCACTTAGTTAGTATTCAAATAAATCCACTAATAAATATCAACTGAAATTAAAGCATCGATCTTAAAAGTTATAACAACATGGAAGATTAAATGATATCATAATTATGATATCATTTCATTATTATTATAATAATAATGAATAAATGCTACTAATGTCTATATTTTTTTCTACTGGTTAATAAATTTATCCATTTTTCAAGAGTAAAAATATATTAATTAAAATATTTTATAATGTGAGTTTTGAATATTATTAATATTTATAATTTTTCAGATATACTTTGTTAGCAAATTCAGTTCCAGTAAGTTTACTGATGATTCTAGCATGGCTTTCAGTTTTTTAATTCATATATAGGCTCTGAATTCAACAACAACAAAAGCTTAGAGAGTTACTGTATAATTATATATACGTATATATATAATTATAACACTTACTAAGTATAGTAGAAGACCACTTTTATTAATAGAGGGGAGATTTAATCCGGAAGTTTTTCCGAAGAAAATTTTTTAGAGAAAGATTTTTCCAAAGAGAAAACCTCCGGGAGTTTTTTTTTTTTTTTTTTTTTTTGAAATTTGTTTTTAGTGTTAAAAGATGAATTTGTTACGATCTCTCATTTTTTTTATTTTGTACGATACAACATGTTGTCAAGAATATTTTAGATATGCTAAGTTAAAAATTAAACCATTGAATAAAGTGTATACTTTATTCAATGGTTTAATACCTATGTAGGTACCTTCGGAACTACTTGTATGTATCGTACAATAAGTAACTTTAAAAAAGCCCAGTTTTCACCTCGTCAAGTTTGATAAATACTGGAAAAGTTTTGGCCTAAGATTACGTACATTATCATAGCATTTGACTGTTAATAAATGAAATATGTCATTTTTTATGTATGCATTATGATTAATCATGATTAAAAAAAAACCAAATTCTCCCAATTTAGAATGAACAAAGAATTTTGGTGCACTAATCATTAAAATACTTTTGCTTTAGATGATATTGCTTTATTGGTCAACAACCCTGGCAATACATGATCCATAGGAGGAAAAAAAATGAAATATGGCCTAGATATATAAATATTTTTTAAATATTATTAATTGAAGTCATTAATAATTTATTTACAAAAAAAAATCGAACTTTCAGTTATAATTGAAAGTTTTTATTAAAAACAATTGGTTCATCACATTTGTTTAAGACCCCCACGGGCAAAGTTTACAAAAAACGAACAAAAAATAGGAAGGATTTACAGTAATAAGATCAGACCTTTTTCATTTGATTTGTGCACGGATTTAATCGGATATAATTTTTTTGTCACTTTTTACCAAGCTTTTTTTGAATCTTAGCTTATATCTTAGCAACTTTTACTTACCACAAACTTTAATCATCATATTTATCTTGCTATTAATTTTTTTCTCAAGTCGTTCAAAACACAAGTTTTAGCTAGCAAAGTGTTTATTTTCAAATGAATCTTGTTTTCTCTTTTATTTTTGTAATGGAATCCCTAAGCAAAGTTTGCAAGGCGTTGGATTTACCAATTCTTTTTACTTGTCCCAACAGTTTTATTTTTCGAGTTACTTCAAGAACAAGAAATAATTTAGAGATTTTTTAAAAAAAATATCAAAAAAGAAAACATAATTCGGCAAAAACGGAATCTTTTATTTTACAATACTGTTAGAATTAATGCTTGAGTTGTACGGCAAGGGATAGTGACGCCGCATGACACGGAAAAAGTTCCTTTTGTTTAAAAACATTCAAAATGATTACATAAAAGTAACATGGGGCCATTTTGAAAAGATCCAAAAATTCAAGGAAATATTAACAAATTAATTGTCATTTCAATAGAAAATTTTATAAAAAAATACTTGATAAATCAGATTAAAAAATTCAACAATATATATTAAAATCAATAATTCCAGAGTTATAATATTTTGGTGTTACAAAAAAATAGAAGTGGTAGGCTTATTCTGAGTTTCTTTTGGTACAATTATTCAATTATTTTACAAATAGTATGAATTAAATGAACAAAAAACATATTAAATAAATTAAGTACACCATAGTTGAAATAAATCTACTAGCTTGAAATAAGTTTGGTAATATTCAATTACACAGTAAACTTTTCTATGAAAATTAAGCTTAAACAAAAAAATTGGCATAAACAAAAAGATGAGGGTTCTAAAATTAATGAATTCAAAGAAAAACAATAGACACCTGAAGTATATGATAATTATCACATTATTTATTAAAATCATACAGTAGAATTTTTTTCCCCAATGCTCTTCAAAAAGTTTTTTTGTATTTCTTTCGGTGTGTACTAATCAAAGGTATCCACTGGCCGTCGGCTAAGATATGAAGACTGTCCCCGCAAATTTGTTTTAAAAAAAGAAAATTTGTTAAAAAAACAAATAATTTACAGACTTCCTGCCAGTCAGCTCGAATCGACCATTTGTAGACCACCCAAAACTGTATTCTTTGTGGAGTAAGCGGTGGGGAATTAAAACTTGGTCCCCAAACATTTTGTGGAGTATAACAAAAAAGGAAAAAAAAAGACTATCTAAATAGAACATTTAAAAGTTATACATTCAATAGTTCTTTTTTATTAAAATAAATATTTAACTTACTAAATAATATAAAATCTGCTTGATTTCCTCTTTTTAATTTTTTTATTTTTTTATTTCTATATTCATTTAATTCTTTTCTACTTTATCCTCAATATTCACTATTCATTATTCAACTTTTGAAAAATTAAAAATGGGAAAATACGACTACCAAGGAAATCCTCCCAAATTAAATCTTAAATCTATATGGAAATATGTTTCGAGAAGACCTATTACATTAGTACCAGACTCTATTCCTGCTGGAGTTTTGCTTTCAGATGGAACCTTTGCCAGCCGATGGACACTTATTTTCAATCCATTTTTCACTCTTGGTTTAATGACAATGAAAAATTGGTTGTTTTTTATTATTGCATTTCTAACTTGGACATGGGATGCTTTCGATTTTTTTTCTGTTTCTCTCACAACAACTGAAATTGCTGCTGCTCTAGATAGACCTGTTAAAGACATTACTTGGGGCATCACTTTGGTCCTAATGTTTCGTGCAGCTGGTGGTGTTCTGTTTGGAATCCCCGCCGATAAGTATGGACGAAAATGGCCTTTTGTTGTTAACTGTATTTGCTTTATTGCTCTTCAACTTGGTACTGGCTTTGTTCAAACATATAAGCAGTTTTTAGCTGTTCGTGCCCTCCTAGGAGTCGCTATGGGTGGTATTTATGGCAACGTTGCTGCGACTGCTTTAGATGATTGTCCTCCTGAATGCAGAGGTATCATCTCTGGTATGTTTCAGCTAGGTTATTCATTTGGCTATCTTTTGTGTGTAGTTTTCAACCAAATAATTACTTATAATAGTCCTCACGGTTGGAGAGCTTTGTTTTGGTTTGGATCTGGTCCCACTCTCCTACTTATTATTTTCAGATTGTGTCTTCCTGAAACAGATACATTTATTGCCCAACAGAAGCTCAAGCGTGAAAATGCTGGTCTTAGATTTATTCATCAAGCTAAAGCTGCATCGAAGATTTACTGGCCTAACTTTATCTATTTGGTTTTGTTCTTGGCAGGTATGAATTTTATGTCTCACGGCTCTCAAGATTTGTATCCTACTTTTCTCAAGGTTCAGCTTGGGTTTAGTAACAATGCCACTACTGTTACAAATTGTGTTGCCAATCTTGGTGCTATAGCCGGATCGTTCTTTATGGGTCACGTTTCTCAGTTTTTGGGAAGAAGATTGACTATTATTTTTTGCTGCATTTTAGGAGGAGCCTTGTGCTATCCTTGGGTCTATATTAGAGGCACGGGAATTAATGCGGCTGTTTTCTTTTTTCAATTTGCTGTTCAGGGTGGTTGGGCTACTGTTCCAATTTATGCTTCCGAGCTTTCTGCTCCTGAATTTAGGGCTGCGATTGTGGGAACAGCATACCAGCTTGGTAACTTGGCATCATCAGCCAGTAGCACCATTGAAGCTAAAATTGGTGCTCAATTTCCTTTGAAAGACGATAACGGCAACTATATCAAAGGAAAGTACGACTATGGGAAAGTTATGGCTATTTTATTGGGAGCAGTTTTTGCCTATGTTCTTTTAGTGGTTTTCATGGGTCCAGAAAGAAAAAATGTTGACTTTGTCAGCGATGACAGTAATGCAGTGGGCATTACTCCAGCTCCCAATAAAGAAGATTTCGAAAAGGGTGACTTCGATTCGCATATTGAGAAAGAAGAAAACACTCATATTGAAAAGGAAGAAAACACTCATATTGAATCTTCTACAGAAGACAAAAATTCTTAAACCTTTATGTAGCCATGTTTGTTTTGATTTTGATAAAAGTTTATTAAATATTTGAAAATGGTAATGTTAATAATGCACCAATATTTTCTAATTAAGTTACTTTAACCATATATAATGCTTTAATTCTATCCGCTCATAAACAGACTGCTTGTAAACCTCTTCCAGCAGTCAGCCCAATCCAGGATCCATCACGACTCCAGGTTACCCCATTGATTTCATGGTTATGAGTGTAGGCCGCAATAATGGAATAGTTTTCCTTATTATTTCCAGAATTCAAAACAGAGCCATTACTAGATGTTGATGATCCTGCCCCTCCAGATGTATGGTTTAATGGAGTAGCAGAAATAGGGAATTGTACAGTTGTGCTGGCATCCCAAACAATAGCTTGGCAATCATCAGATCCAGATACAATGACGTGCCTAAAACTTTTTATTGTAGGGGCATTACCGGATTCAGATATGTTTGAAGAGCCAGGACTAGAACCACCAGGTCGGGGAACAGCTGAGGGGGGTGCCCATCTTATTGTATTGATGGATCGCTGATGTCCGTTCAAAGAAGCAACTGGACCACCAGGCATGCGAATATCAAGGAGGTGAACATCGTTTGCATCTGAAGCTAAAATCGCAAGACTATTAGAATCCCTGGGATTTGCTTCGATTTTCAATAACGGCACTGGGTTTGAAGGATCATAAATAATTGTGGAATGATCTAAAGCGCGCTGGTCAAACATTCTTACTGATCCATCGGCACCAACAGAACCAAATATATTAGTAGAGTTATAGACAAAAGCAACGTCATAGACTTCACTATCGTGAGCGATAAGTTGTGTTCTTGCTGTTGAAGAGGCTATATCCCAAATAGTGCATGTAGTGTCAATAGAACTAGTGATCACAATTGAAGGATCCACAGAATTCCAATCAAAATTTGTAATAGGGGGCATGTAACTTGATTTTGCTTTATTGACTAAAGCACAGCGTTGTGAAAGTTGTCTGGTATCAGTATTATAATTCCAAAGCCTTAGACAATCACCAGTAGTAATAAGAGGCATTGATGACGACGAGGCCACATAAGATGAAGGCGCCCATGCAAGTCGTGTGCAAGGATAAGGTACTGAAAACTCTACTGGAGGAAAAAAATCAAGTGATTTGGGAAGAACAAGTCCCGTACTAGGTTGAACAGAAGGTGATGCTTGCACTATTTGAATTTTATTAGTGATATCTTCCGAATAAGTACTGACGGCAATGATATTTAAATCTGTAGGTCCACAATGAGCCCAATCTACCGAATATAGGGGCCAATGTGATTCGAAATGCCCTTTAAAAGACGTAGATTGATTTAAATTAATAGGGGGCAACTGTGGCGGCTGGTTCTGTAGTGTTTGTGACAACTGTTGTTGCTGTGTTGACTGAGAATATTGATAGGGATACTGGGAATAGCCAGGAGATGAAGATGCTGATTTTGTTCCATTTGTGGGAATAGTTTGATTATGTTGAGATTGTGATGACTGTTGTGTTTGGTTTTCTGAAGGGTAAACCTGGGGTGGGCCATATGAAGATGAAAAAGAATTTCCACCTCCAAAATGTAATTGATCTTCATTAGTTTGGTTCTGTGAAGAGGTATTCATTGGCCTTTGTCTTTGTCTTTGTCTTTGTCTTTGTCTTTGGTATTGATTTTGATTTTGATTTTGATTTTGATGAGGTTGAAAAATCTGATGTGAATGCAAAGGAATGTGGTCTGGGGGTTGAGCTTGTTTTTGATATTGAGTTGAAGACGGTAAAACTTGCTGCTGATGTGATCGATGAAGAGACAATTGCAACGTTTGCTGATTTATAAATTGATGATTCTGCTTTTCCTGCTCTTGTTGTTGATAGTGGCGATTCAATTCTTCGGTTTGCCTATATTGAGAAAAGTTTGAAAAAGAACAACGTTTCGGGTTTTGCATTACACTAAATTAATTAATGGAGAGGTTGTATTAAATTCTTATTTCCTCTTTAACTATTATTCACTTTTCTACTCGAGTTCTTGAATTTGGGTTTCATTAAAGGAACTAAGACAGATTGAGAAGTACTACTATAACAGTAAATATTAATCAAAACTTACAAATCATTACTAATGAACGCGTACTTGATTATTTTATAATTTCTTAGATGTTGATTATTCATTTATTTTTTTTTCCATACCACCATTAATTTCATATTTAATATTGATTAATAGATATATTTTTCACCATGGTTGGACCAAGAGGTAATAGCTCCCCTTATAACAAACGCATTGGAAATGTTGGCAGGGTTGTTAAACAATCATATGGCTATCCTTCAATGAGCTCTCAACAACATGCGGCGATTGCTACCTCATATCAGAACCAAGTCCAGCAGCAACCTTCGTCCAATAATTCACCACACCCACATTCAGATGCTGCAGCCTCTAGTACCGGAGGAAAATATGGTGATGATATAGAAGAATTAGGAGGATCCCGTGATTTTATTGATGTTGTTTCTTTCCGTGATACAGCAATGGTCCGCTATATTCGATACCATGAATGGATGGAATTAATATTAGGAACTGCTGTTGATACTAAACAGTACGTTAATGGTGCTAAGTCAACGACTGACATTGAAGCTCGCGCAAAATCTACATACCTCGATAAAGTTTCTCGTGATGATGAATCAATTTTTGAAAAAACAGAAGAAACCAGAAAAGCAAAAACCGCTTTTTTTCGTAAGGCAACAGATACTTTAAAAGATGAGTTTGGATCTTTATCAACTGTAACACTTGGGGATAAAAAACGTACCACAACAGAGAAATCGCTTGAAAAGGAACTTCGTGAAGACTATGGAATTGTGATTGTTGAAAACGCTCGTGTTAGGCCAGTCCGAGCGGATATGGACATCCCTGAAACCTTAACAAAAGAATCAGTTGAAGCTAAATACTCCGATGCCACTTCTAAATCATCAGAAAACCCTTCGAATTCTGGGGAAATAGCAAATGAATCTTCAGCAATTGCTGCTTCTGTTCCTTTAAGTGATATACCTACTACACTTCCTTTGGATCCAAGCCAACAAGATATATCGGAAAACGTTCCAGAAAATATTCCTACCTCTGTGACAACAGTAACTGAATCTGTAAACAGTGGTACGATTCCTGCTTCAAACATTTTGTTACCATCTAAAGACACAATTATACCTCCAGCTAGTGGAACGGAACCAAGTTTGAGTTCAGCAATAGACACAAACTCCGCTTCCTTAGAATCTAATTTGACAAAAAATGACACGGAAAATATTCCGCAACCAAAACTTAATGAAGTTGGAGAAGCTGCATCAAATATAACTAACGAGCCACCGAATTCAACTGATACAGAAATGCCCGATGTAATCACAAACCCTTAACATAAATATGAATCTTATCAAGTTTATATATGAAAAAAAATAGACGATATTTTGTTTATTGAGAAAACACACATTTTACAATTGTCACAAGTACAGCTATATAGCTTATCATTAAAAAAATCAAACATTTTAAAGCTAGTGTTTTTTCTTACGCAATTTTCTTTCGCGTTCATATTTATTCTTTTCGGTACCTTCTTCAGTGGCAACTGTCCGAATAAGCTTATCAAGTTTTTCATGATACTCCTTATCCTGTTGTTTGCGTTCTCTAAGCTTTTCTCTGGCAATGAAATGCGAGTCCTTGCGTAATTCACGAAGTGCACCTTTACGTTCCTTCTTAACCGCAGCAAGCAATTTCTTGTGTTCCCTTCGAGTAACATCAGGGTCGTAGGATTTTTTATCAACTGAATAATTCTCTTCAAACTTAGGTATCTTTGTAGCAATAGGAACAGGTTTATGAGATTGAAGTGCTAAGGGAACTCTTGACTTTTGAGAAAATTTTAATCGCTTAGTAAGTTTTTCAAAAGTAGCAGAATGATCTTTAACAAGAGTCAAAAACGGAGAAAAAATTTCAATAAATGCCGTATCATCAGTCCAAAGTGACATATAAGAATCTAAAACTAGTAGAGTTTTAACAAAAAGGTGATTATAAACATTTTGTAAATCTTCTTTAGATGATTTCTCCAAAACATTAAGATGTCTTAACATAAGTGGTGACTCATATTTTTTGAAATCAATATTGATTTCAGCTGGAAATCTTGACTCAACAACGCCCAAAAAAATGTCGTGAGGAATCTCATTAGAAGATGGCTCGGATGGACAAAGAATGTATAATGCTCGAGCCAAAAAAATAGGAATTTCGGGTATGTATCTTTTTGCTAAGCGCTGATATGTTAAGGCAGTGGATGCAACATAAAGACCAGCCTGAATATCACTGGGTGAAAGAAGCCTGATTTGCGATAAATGAAGGCCTAATAATAAAGATGCAGGTGTGACAATTTGATTAAAATGATCTGAAGTAGAAAATATAATAGCAATTAGAGTGAAAAGAAAAAGATGAGAAGGATTTTCTGTGACTTGCTTATTTTTGCTTTTTGAAATTGCTGACTGTAAACGAGCTTCGGCTTTGTTAAGTTGTTCGCGAAAAAATTCAGCTAGTGACTCCGAATGTTTTTCCGCCAGTCTCCTTAAAATATTAATAAGCTTATCAAGAACCGGTGCAACATCTTCTTCAGGGGTTTCAGGAACAAGATCAGCGCTTGCTATTAAATACTCAGCAAAAATGTTGGTGAAAGAAGATATTTTCTCTTTGTTATTTGGATGAAGACGAGGGTCGTATAAAGTTAAAATTCGTTCAACTATCACAGGTTGTTCTTTTGCTGGGTGGCAAGAAAAAATATCCAATAATTCGGCGACATTTTCAGGCATTTCAAATGTATACGCAACTTTGGCGTTCTTTTCAGAAATAGTTTTTGAAATCTTTGCTTCCCTAGAATTTTTGTTTATTTTTTTTTTGTTTTTGGAAATATTTTCGTCAACATCACTGTCAAATTCCTGAAATTCATCATCAATAACCATGTTTCCAGCTAAATCATCATCATCAAACTCAGTTCGATCATGATCATTATCTTGACTTTCATTTTTTTTTCTTTTCTGAAGGTCTAAAACCGGCTTTAACCCGAACTCTGTTGCATCATTGATGTCATCATTGTCGTCAACATTAGTACCATTTTGCACATTTCCATCTTCATCGTCATCAATATCGCTTTGCTCTTCATCGCTATTAAATTCTCCATTCATTCGAGCAAGTCTTTGGGCTTCTAATTTTTTTAATTTTTCAGCCTTTTCTTCCGCAATCTCCTGTTCAGTCTTGGTTCTGTCAGCTGCTTGTGCTCTTCGTTCAAATGCAAGTTCCCGAACCCGCCGTTCATAATCTTCATCGTCATTTCCCTCATTATTCTTTTGATCAGCAGCAAACTCAGTGGTAGGAATGAGTTTCTTTTCTTTGGTAAAACTGCCAGCATCTCGTAGTTCACCTAACAATGCTTCCACATTTTGCTTTTGATCCATCACATCAATGACCATTTCATCTTTTTCTTTAGCCATTTGACGCTCAAACTTATAAAATTTTGATTTTGCAATCACTTCTTTCATAACTTCTTGTTTACTTTTTTTTTTGAGTGGACCTTCATCATTTTCGTTTTCCTCTTCGCCATCTAATTTGATACCAGCTTCACGAGCCATCATCTTTCTCTTTCTGCGCATCTCTCGAATTTCACGGGTTTCATCATCATCACCAGACTGATCTGAACCATCAATATCATTTTCCTCAAAATCATCGTTATATGATAAAGACTGGCCATAATGTGTAAGCTGAAAGTCTTCCTCGTCAGAGTCTTCAAGATTAAACAAAGAAGATTTTGATGCTCGAATCTATAGTAAAAAAAACTTGATTAGATAAAAACCATTATGATATTAATAATAATATAACGATAAATGCTCACCTGCTTTTCTTTGGCAAATCTCTCAAGCATTTTCATTTCGGGGTTCATGGTTGGGTCATTTTCACCGAAACGATTATCAGCAATTCCACCGACCTTGCCCTTTTCTTCTTTTTCTTTAAGCAACGTTTTTCTTCTTGCATCTTCACCAGCTTGCTTGCTCACACCTGGTCTACCAACAGATCCGTCGACTTTTCGACCAAGTACATCAATTTTGGGTTTCGATCTTTTAATATCAAAAGGACTAAATGCGTCACGGATGCCTTTCAGAACACGACCCTTCTGATCTCGATCTTTAGAATTTTCATTTCGGGCAGCCTTATTTTTCCCTTTAGCATTAGTTTGGCCTATAAAACCATTCGCCTTGAGTTGATTTTTCAAAGCTTTTAACTGTGAACCACCCATTGTAATACTTGTTAAGGTATATCTAAAAAAAAAAAAAATCGAACATAGATTTACAAAATAAATTTTTTCAAAAAAATTACATAATCAAAACCTAACCTCAAAGCATTTGCATTTTTTTTTAAAAAAATTTCAAAATTCTCTACCATATTATGATTACATAATCATGTAAATTATAATTTAAATAAATTATTTTAATTAACTATTAATTATTAATTATCAATAGTTTAACAAAATGATCCAAGCGAACTTCCATTGGGAAAAAACAGACCGTTGGTTCTACAGCGCTAAATTACCATATTGGTATTGATACCAACAATATTGTTAAAGGCAAAAGGTCTCTTGAGTCCACAAAAAAAGGAGATATTAGTTTAGCATCCCAGTTTAGAAAAAAAAAGTTTGAATCTGGTTTGTCAGGTGAAGTTCAAAAGAAAATTAAAAGGGTTTATAAAGAGAAGGAGAAGGAGAAGATGGAATCTCATTTATATTTTCATTATTTCACAAAAATTGTTTGCATCAAATAGAAAAAGATTTTGATAATACTGGTAATCAAAAATTTATCAAAGAGTCATTAAAAATGAACCTTCCAATGCACCTTTAAAATGATTTGATTTAACTTTCAAAGGCTTATGTATAGAAACCTCATTAACCAATCTTTTACAAAAAAAGGGTTTGTCACTAACTACAAAAATTTAAAGAAATCGCTTTGAATTTTTGTTAACCTCTAGAGTTTATTGTAAGTATGTTGAACAGTATTGATAATAATTTATTTATATAAGCCCAAACAGGTTCTGGTAGAACTTTCGCATACTCTTTACCTATTTCACAAAGACTTTTAAGGCAACTCTTTAGTGAATTGCAATACAAGATTTGGAATTTTTGAAATTATCATTTCTCTAACAAGAAAACTTGCTGCCCAGATTTAATCTTGGCTCGGAAGTTTCTATTTGATTTGGGCCATAAGCCCCTAGTGGCAGAATACCAATTAGTTCGTTACAACGAAATATATCATTGAAATATGAGTGAAGTTTTAACCTGATGATTTCAGTCGCAATATGTTTCTCAACGTAGAACAAATCGAAAAATTAACACAACGTTTAACAAAATCTATAGTGGTTTTTAAAACTAGCAATTTAGGGTTCAAATATTGGCAACAATTTTGCAGAATATCATGATTAGTTTATGCTTTTGAATCATGTGATTGAGCTAAACGCTAAACCTTTAAGCTTTTAAAATCACGTGATTTATATAGATTTTTTCACATTTTTTGCAGAACCCCCAGTAAATAACTTTTTTTTTTTTTGACAGTCATTGATCAAAATCTTTATAAGCATATCACTGTATTATGCTTGGATATTATGCTTTTGTCTCACCGTACATTGAAAATTCTTGAACAAGAACCTATTTGGCATACGTGTCTGGTGTCATTTAAAAGATCGATTCACTTTACTCCATGTTTTTTTCAAATCCAAAACGATGCTCTCCAGTGTGTTCAAAACTCTTTGAAAGATAAAAGTTTGTTAAATTTAAATTGGGACAGAAAAAAAGAGCAATTCATTTTTGCCGATTCAGAGATTTGCTCCACGCAACCGTCTGCCAAAACTCAAAATGACGACATAAATACTTTAAAGAGGCGTAAAAGATCACTTAAATATACAGAAAGGTTTGCAAGAAGCCTAAATAATGAAATTATATCTCAAGATAATAATGAGCGTCTTAATATATTTCTTTCATCTATAAACATGGGTAATATTTTTCATGCCACTAATCTTTTTAAAGAGATGATTGAAAATGACTTGTGGCTTAAAGATCCTAAAGTACCCGAAGACTGCTTACTTCTTTTGGTTTTTACTTATGCCAATATGAAGCTGGAGCCGAGAATTACCAAAATTAAAGAAATATTTTTAGAAAAAATTCCATATCTGCTCTCGTTATACATGAAGAGTGTGAAGGGTAATTTAAATTCACATCCCCCTTATAGAACAATGGCTTATATTTACCATTGTGTTTGTCAGATAACAGATACCGAAGAGAAGATTAACATCATAACCAAATTTAAATATATATGGACTCATACTTTTAAACTTTCTATGAGTCCATTATTTCAACATCATGATATATTGACTGAATCAGATTTACAATTTCTTAGATTGGTAAGTAATATAGCCTTTTATTTTAATAAATTCTAATTATGTTAATTAACTATAGGCATTAGAGATAAAAGACATAAATGATGTAAGATTATTAGAACAAATTGATGTTGACATCACAAAAGATCTTCTACCATGGACTACTCAAGTGTCGATTTCTCTTGACCAAGCTCTAAATACCAGTTCATTTGATATTAAGACTATTTTCGGCAACGAAATTTACGAAAAAAGTTTGCGAAATGGAATTCCAAATTATTTATTTTTATATGACTGTTTATACCAAAAGTTGATTGAATCTGGGGCTGATCCCTTATCTATTTACACCAACCCTCTGCTTTTAAAATTTGAGAGGACTTTTGATAATTTTAACCGCAACCGTCAATATAGAATGGAGACTTTACTTCAAAACTCCATGGCGCAACAAAAACAACTAAATGAAGTAGGCGAAATTAAGGATGCATCTAAATTTAAATTATTGAATAATGCTACAAATTTTGTCTTTTCCCATGGAAATTCGAATCCTTTTGCACAACAACTTTTTATTGATTGGACTTCTTCTTTAGAAAAAAATTTAAATATTATCCTGAATGATAAAAATGTAAAGACAAAATCAGCTACGTATGATTCTAATAAGTCTCAAAGTGATAACATTTTGGAACTACCAGGATATTCTTTTACATCTCTTAAGAAAGAACTTAAACGATTCCACTATATATTTTCTGTGTTGGATGCTAGGAATTTAGCGAGTATTTTAGCATTAGAAATGACGAATTTCACACTTACATCCATTTCAACCAATTCTCATGAGAACAGTTCTTCAACATCTACTCAATCTCTTACAAGTGTTGCCAAGAGTATTGGAGAGTCCATTGAGCGTGCTTTTAGACAAAAACAGATACAAGAAGTTTCTAAGAAGCTAGATACAAAGTCAAATGATTCTGCAAATTCTCAAATTGCTGAAATCTTTTACCGATATTCTTCCCTTTCTCCCGAAACAAAAAAAAGAGTATTTCGAAAATCGTTAACAATGTCACCTGCTGATCGCATCTCATTGGGTGCCACCTTTGTAACTCTTGCATTAAGATTTTGTGATTTCTCTGTAAAACATCCTAATTCAGGGAAAATAGTTCGAAAGCCTGCATTTTGGCATACATACAAGTTTCATAAAACGAAAATGATTGGTGTTATTAAAATTAACGAGTTTTTGGTACTAGAATTTTCTAGAAATCCACCTTCTAATAGCTCTAATTTATTTTCCACATCTATGCTTTCTAAAGCCCCCCCAATGCTTGTTAAACCTCGTCCTTGGACTTCCGGTCTTTCGGGGGGTTATTGGTTTTCACAACTTTCATTTTTAAGTGCAAGTGCAGGTGATGCACCTGAACAATATTCTTACATCAATACAGCAATGAAATATAATTATATGGACAGTTATCTTTCAGCATTTAACGTATTAGGTGAATGCGCATGGGCCATCAATCCAAATATATTGGATGTAATTTTACAGATTTGGAAGTTAGGAATTTCATTTCTTGAAATTCCAGGGCGTCTTGACTTGAAAGAAAATAAAAATATTGAGATGAAAAAACTCTCTAAAGATGATTTCAACCAGTTGTGTGAACGAATATCCTTAGAATATATTGTTAATACAGCAGAGTTATTTGGCAAAAATGGTGATCGATTTTATTTCTCATACAAAATAGATTTTAGAGGCCGGGTTTATCCTCAAACAAACTCTTCATTTTGGCATATGGGTCCTGATCATGTTCGCTCTTTATTCATGTTTTGGTATGGAAAACCTCTCGGTAAAAATGGTCTATATTGGCTAAAAATCCATATTGCAACTTTATTTGGGCTTACAAAATTACGTCATGAGGATCGCATTAAATTTGTTGATGATAATTGGGAAAACATTGTACAATCAGTTCAAAACCCTCTAGATCTTCAAAAAATTAAAACAAATTCTCTTTGGTGGACAAAAGCTGATAAACCTTTTCAAATGCTTGCTGCTTGTTTTGACCTGGTATCTGCTGTAAATTCTGGAAATCCTGAGTCTTATATTTCAAGAATATGTGTAGCACAAGATGGAACATGCAACGGGCTTCAACATTATTCTGCTCTTGGCAGAGATGTTCAAGGGGCTGTGGAAGTTAATGTCATCCCGCAACATAGAATTGACTCTAAAACTACCCCAGAAAATACCTATCCTAGAGACATTTATGGAAAAGTTAAGGAAATTGTTGATGATCTTATTGAAAAAGATACCAAGCTAACTGGAAATGACAAGACTGTCCAAGAAACTAAAGTATTAGCTGAAGAGATTTTTGGAAAGGTTACTCGCAAAGTTGTGAAGAGACCTGTGATGACAAGTGTATATGGCGTTACAAAATATGGAATAGTTCAGCAGGTGCTTGAAGAACTTAAAAAAAATCCGGTTTTAAATGAACATAATTTAAACAGTTATTCTCGTTATATCGGGGATAAAATAACTGAGGCTTACTCTCAACTTTTTTTCAATGCTCAAAAAATACAATCATGGCTGGAAGAATGTGCGGACAGAATATGTGAATCGATCCGCTGGGACAATTTCGAAAACAATGACTTTAAGAGCTCTAATCACAGCTCTAATCATAAATCTGGATTTAATAAAGATTTTTTGAAAAAGTTTTTAACTTCAGTTATTTGGACCACACCACTTGGTCTTCCTGTTGTACAACCATATCGTCAACCTAGTTCTTTATTAGTGAGAACAGGTATTCAAACTCTTTCAATTGTCAACCCTTTTGAAGTGAGCTCTGTTAAAAAAATGAAACAAGTAAATGGTATTGCACCAAACTTCATTCATTCTTTGGATTCAACACACATGTTAATGACAGCACAAGCTATGTCAGGTTCAAGAGACAAAAGCCAAAATCAAATAAAATCATTTGCTGCCGTACATGATTCATTTTGGACACATGCTGCTGATGTCGACGAAATGAACAATGTCATACGTGAAAAATTTGTTGATCTTCACTCGGAAGATTTAATTCAAAACTTATACAATGAATTTTGCATTAGGTATGATGGATATTTACAGCTATGTTATATACTAGCAGACAGTAATGCTGGAAAAGAAATAACCAAAAATAGAACCCAAAACAGCAATTTTACAGTAGATAAAACTGGTTCTCGACTAAATAATGAGCAGCTTTCAAAACTTGAATTGGAAATTGATTACGCAAAAACTACCTTAGCCAATCTCAAAACAAAAGAAGTCGATTTGAAGAATTCAATTAAAATTGAAAAGGATCCTGAAATCAAAAAACAACTGAAATATACTCGAAAGGAACATGAGAAAAATATCAAGGATATCAAATTAAAGATCAAGGATTCAATACACGTACTAAAATTACAAAAAGATATTTTGTCTCGAGAAATAAATGTTCAAATACCTAAAGGTAAGCAGGAAGATGGGCTTCTTTTTCATGAAATGAATCAAGAATATTTCTTATGGTATAAACAAAAAGTCAAAGGACCAGAACTTAATAATGATGAAAGTTCTGAGAAAGTTGTTACCCCTTGGGAAATCATTCAGAAATATAAAGAACCTGTCTATCGATATCCCAATATCAAGTTTCCATATGGTGATAAATACAGTAGAAAAAAAATTATTTCTACAAATGAGCAACACTCAGAATCCATCGGTGACTGTGAGGTGGATAAAGAGGAATTCAATGAGCCTCTTAATTTCCACAGCCCCGATTATGATACAAAAAAATGGATCCGTGTGCTTGTTCCACTACATATACCAAAAATCCCGGAAAGGGGGAATTTTGATATTAATGATGTAAAATATAGCGAGTATTTTTTTAATTAAATGAATCATATGGTTTTAGTTTTCAATATTTTATTAGATCTATTAACAAACTGTCTAGACAGTTTGTTATTACAATTTAAAATAGCTGAAATATTTGGTTAAAATTTAAAATTATATAAAAAAAGCCTAATTAATGATACTATGTGCTTTTCCAATCTTCAAAAGAAGTCTTTGTAATAAATGAAGAACGGAAGTATCTTTTTCCGCTATTGGAATTGCTCGAACAAAAAGAGGATACAAAGTGATTAACGCGCATGTTTCCTTGTCTCTATCATTAGCAGGTATAAATATCGGATTACTGCTTACACCTTCATCAACAACGAGTTTAAGCACAAATAACAACTCTCTGCGCTGAACTTTGGGCATAGGGGCGTGTCCACGAAGGGGATGATCTGTGATATATAAATATAAAACCATGGCTAAACGTAATGTAAGGAGCCGATTTGCTAAGTCACGAACTTCTCTAGGAACAACTATATCGCAGCTTGGAGTTCTGGCAGTTTTAGCAATAACACTTAAACAAGTAAATGCTAGGTTTTGTCTCGGTTTATAAGATAATTGGTCAGTAGACCCAAAAAATGTGTTGCCAAGCAACCATCGAACTTGTTTTGCAGCAAGTGAAGAAACGGTGATATTGCTATTAGAAGTTTCGCTCGAAAAAGAGCACAAAATTGGTTCCAATCTAGGGATGTGATAGATAAGCGAATAAAAAAACAAGGATTGAAGAAGTGTACTCCAAAAGTCAATAGGAGCAGAAATTGATGAATCTTGCTGAAGAGATGGGTTAAAGAACAAAGAGATCAAGGAGTTATAGATAGATAAATCAAACTCTTCATATTTTAATGCTTCGGCTTTTGATAAAGTTGCTTTGTCATCAACACCATACTTTCCAGGAGAAATAACTGCAACAGTACATTTCGCAAACCAATTCCAAATTTTTGATATCTCAATATCTTTATTTGAATTATCTAAAGTAGCAATATAAGGTAAAGACGCCTTGACAATTTCCAAAAACCTGATGTCTGCAAGCTCCCAAAGTTGGTAGTTCTTAGTTCCGCTATTTTTTGTAGGTATTGAAACAAAAGGTGGCCCAAGCTTTGCTTGTACAATGGTATGTAAAGAAATGGTAAGTTTGCACATTGTTCCTTGTCGAATTAGTTGAATGATAAAAGGATTTACCTTTTTCAGGATATTATGCAAAATTTCTAGACAGTTCTGAGAAAGTGAAATAAAAGTTGGAGTTTTGTAAGAAGATTTTTGCATTTTTGAATCATGTTCTAAATCAGACTTCACAAATGCCTGTATAATCAAATCTGAATATAGTAAAATAAGTAAGTTTGCTGTATGAATATTTGTGGAAACATCAATGAGTTGGAGCTGTTTTAAAGCTTCAGCTTGTAATGGTGAAAGATTTTCTCTGTCTGAATAGAATGGAGCCAAAATAGGATACGTTAGACATGACTTCAAAAGTTCAGTAGTTTTGGTAACTCTTTCTTCAGTAAACTGATTATCAGGTGTTAAAGATCGGACATTAGAAAAAATTTCAGCAAGAGATTTATAGCATTCTTGAGCGGCATTAGCATTCGTTCTATTGTCAACAACTGACTGAGAAGTCCAAAATTCCCAAGTGTTAGCAAGTGAAACTGGACTCATTGCTAATTCATTTTTTATAAAACCGCTTAACACCAAATTGAACGATTTGTAGACAGAGTTCATAACAGTAAGGTTACCAGAAGAGGAAAAGGTTTGAAAATAAGATAGCATTCTTTTCCAAAATTGATCAAAAAGCTTTTCATCTTTAATAAACAAATGAAGAAAAGTGAAATAAATATTTCCAATACTTGAAAAAATCAAAGACATTGATTCGCCCCATTGTGTTATTTCCTCGGGTGAAAGCTGCTTCTTAGTTATATCGAAAGGGTTATTTTCCATAACCTTTTCCAAAACTATAGACTGGCAAGCTTTCCAAACACGTGGGGGAAGTTGAGAACCAGTGGCATCAAATATCCTAAATAGGATTTGAATAGCTCCATTTCGGACCTGTGGTCTGGGGTCATAAGAAATTGCTGCCAGCCTTAATAAAGATATCATCCATATAGAATTCGCTGTATCAGGATCGTTAATAGTCCCGGTTGATGAAAGCTCTGAAAGTTGTTTAGTATTAGAAATTTCAATTTTCAAATCCTGAGATATTTTTTCTCCCAAAGATTTTCGAAGATAATCAGAAATAATCCAAAAAAAAGACAATGAAGTGAAAGAAATATTTAAATCACCCTCTTGGTGACAAAAGTTATAAAGAGTATCAATTAAGCGAATGATACAATTTGCCGGTAAAGACTCCAGAAAATCATTACAAATAAGTTGTAAAGATTCAAAGCCAGATTTTAGCAATTGAATAGATCTGTCAATTAGATATCGTTTGTTTTGAGACTCTAAATCACGGGGACCTTCAGATAACCAGTTAAAAACAGTATCAATAATATCAAAAACAATATTCCAGGCTTGAGTCAAAGACCCGCCACAGTTATCTAAAAGCTTGTTTAAATAATCTATTCCGGCAACATGAATTTTAGCTTCTGTTGAATATATAGAAATGGAAACATCGGATGGCAATTTTAGAGAAACAATACTCTTCACTTTTTCTAAAAGAGAATTGAAAACAATTGACTGAGCAGAAATAACTTTGGCGCTAAGTAGCCCTTCAGATTTCTCCAGAGCTAAATATTCTAAGCTGTTTTGGCGAATAATTTCATTATGAACTTGTGAAGCTCTAATTCTTGAACTTGGTGCTACTATTCTGGAAATTTCAACTGAAATTAAAAACTTCGAAATAATACCCCATGAAGCTAAGTCTTGAGATTCCATTGAAATGAACCGGTTACAATTTCTGTAGCAAAGTGATCCTAATAAATCAAGTAAAAAGGCTGGATCACATTCCGCTGCATTTCCAATTCCTGCAAGGTTATGATATTTATTGTTTCTATCGATAGGAAGTCCAACAACACGAGAAGAAACACCAGCTATCGACGATACCATATCGTCAAATGCGAAAGAAGGGTAATCTTTAGTTGAATCAATTAACCGACGAATAGAGTTTTCGACAGTGACAAAATCAGAGCCCATTCCCGAAAAAGGGGGAGGAGAATTTTCAATATTATATTCATACTGTATCTTTGAAGATGATGAACCACGTCGTCGATCATTAAGAAAGCTTCCATAGACAAGAAAATCGACATACTGAATTGTCTCAAAAATTATGTTCCACCCAGAGCCTAAAGTTGGACCCAATGCAATGCCTAGGTTTAATAATGCTCTAAAAGACAAAATATTTCGAGAAGTTAGTTTTGGTCGATTGATAATATTTGCTGAGGTTTGAGATGAAGAGGGCTGAGCAATCTGAGTATTTCCAGAACCAAACGTAGAAGAACGGCTATTTTCCCTAGTCATTGTAGGACTTAAAGAACCAACTAATCCTTCCATGCTTAAAATTCCGTGTTTAGCAGATGATTGTTTTTCATCTATCTCTGGCAAAGAAACACTATAGCGGCCAAGCAAAGTCAAATAAGCATCCCTCGGTTGAAGAATCAATAATACTCCCGATGCATGAGTAAATTTTTGAGCAGAGCGAACAAGAGTGTGATACATTTCTGAATCCATAGTAGCACGAAAAAAAGTGTCGAAAGATGAAAGAAGTTCAGGCCAAATAGACTCTAATAATGAACTGACAAGAGAAAGGTGCTCCGTCAATCCATCACCTTTGCTTTTGTTGCTAGTACTGGTTCTTCTTGGGGAAGAAGATCGTGATCTATTTTTAAGTAATTCCTGGTTTAATTCGGTTTGTGAAGGTGACTTAGTAAGTGTAGGATGTTTATGATGTTTTTTCCTACTAGCAGTAGTTTCCGAAGTAGCAGATAAAACTGCTCTGGCGACCCCTTCAGAAATAGAGTTAACGCAAGAAAGTGCCATGTAGTACAAGTAACTTGGTGGTAGATTTGGTGGTTCTGTTTTATCCAAAAGATCTATACATGAAGACCGAACAAGAGAAGTTTTAGAAGACAGTCCAACCATTTGTGAGAGATCAGTTATAGGTCCTGGTGAATTATTGGAAGAATCCGATGAGCTATTATTTTGACGGGACAAATCTGGTATATCCATTGGTGTAGAAGTATTTCCTAATCCAATGACGTTGGGTTTTTCGCTAGACATTTTATCTAATGCCGCTACCCATCCTTTAATTATAGGTCTGCGCCCATCTTTGGCATCAAACTCTAAATATATGTTTTCAATCAAAGAAAATTCCAATGATACACCTTGAAATACCTCCATGCATAAAACACGCTTCCAATATGGAGCAGAGTCTTGATCAAGCATATGAATAAGCATAGACAAAATTACTTCACATTCAACGTTAAGAACGGGAAGCAAGCGTCGAATTATCAGATATAAAATTCTGGTTACACGAACAGTTACTGGGAAATCACTTTTTTCGGAAAAAGTCCGGAGAAGAAGAGGGACAGCACGAGTACGTATGACATAACGAAACTCAGAATGTGAAGAAAATATCTCACTATGAGAAGTGAGAATACTTTCAATTAACTCAAGACTAACAGTCTCTGGTAAATGACCAAATTTTAAAAATACAGGTTTTTGTCTCTCAATGAGGCTGCAAATATCAAAAAAAACTCGTAGTGCGTCATAAGCTGCTGGGCTAACTAATACTTTATCATTGTTTTCAATTGGGACTTCAAATGTTTTGGGTAAAGGAGAAGTTGCTGAGTCTTCTTTGGCGACTTTGTCAAAAACTGAAATTATAAGTTGTTGCAGAGTTGCCAACGCTGTATTTACAACAACAGGTATTTTATTTCCACCTTGAAGAATGTAACATATGAGAAGAAGCTCAGCAATTAAATCATTCGAAAGATAATCGCCATAGTTTTGTATCAAAGAAGGGAGCGATTGTAAAATTTTCAAATGTATTTCCACACCAAGATGTGTAGCTTCTTTAAGCGCTTCTAAAACCTCCACTAATCTGTTTGGTGGCAATCCTTCAAAATTGATAAGAGTATGAAGACATTGAACTGCAGTCGCGCTATATTTTGCATTTCTTGTAGAACAGGCAATAAGAAAAGGTGAGATAAAATCTGGATATTTTGAAAGACCTATTCATTGTTAGTAATTTCAATGGATGATTCGTGTAATGCTAAAATTACCTTTCAAAAACGCAGCTTCATCAGTGTTTGAAGCATATTTTTTCAAAATTGCATGACTGTTTTCTGCAGCCTGAAATTTTCATCATTAGTTAATTGTACACTTAAAAAAAAATTATCATACCTGGCGTAGCTCATTATTTCGGCGCTTGGTTTGAGAAATGAGATTACTCAATTCAGTTGAAATTTGATGAACCGTAGACATAACTTTAAAATATGGTGTAACTTTCCATTGATATCAGATTTTGTCAATTGAAAATGTAGAGTTAAAAGTGTTTAAAAATTATTAAAAAAAAATATTGAATATTGAATAAATATGCTTAGATGAAGGAACAAAAAGTACTATTTGGAAGCTAATAACTCTGTCTTAGTTAAATAATAATAATAAATGCAATGTTGAGAATCGCTCGACGTGTCTCTTACAAAAACAGATTATATCACATGATATATAACATATGACCTAGAATACTAAGTGTTGAGCATTAAAATTGCCAGCCACTCAGGCGGCTCCATTTGAAACGAGAAAAGTTGTGACACTCACCACCAAAAAAATTTTTTCTGAAGCTTATTATTTTTCCTTTCCCTTCTCTTGACAACAGTATCGCCCATAAACTCGCCTTCACATATCTCGATAGATAAAAATGCTATCAAAACAAGCACTAGCTTTGAGGCTTTCAACGGCTTCAAAGCTTGCTCTTAAAACGCCTATCAACTCTTCTGCTCGCCAACTCTCATCCTTATCCACCCCTTCTTCTTCCCCCGTTTCTCAGTATGGCAGCTCCAACTCTTCTGCAATCACCCAGCACCGACGTCGTAACTCTTTTTCATTATCTATGAAGCTGGCTCATACTGGTGATGCCCTTCGTCATAACTCGTCTTCAGCCCCTCCTGCTTCTTCTAATAAAAAGATTCTCCCAACATCAACTAGATTTTTTGAGAAGAACTCGGTTCCAAAGGAAATGTCTGAAGAAGGTATGTTTTGATTTGTGTTTTTTTTTAATCTCCATTTACTAATTTTAACATTTTTTTATTCAGATATTGCTCTCGATATGTTTTTTTCAGGCTATAGACCACTTTTTGTTTTTGATCACTTTCGTCAGAATGCCCAGCGGGCCACTACTGAAGAAGAAAACCAAGAATACTTGCCATGGGATGTTTCTGTTTCTGGGTTATCGATTAATCCAGAAATGAAAAACATTCCACGCAAAATTGTTCGCAACCTTGTTCCTTACAACCTCCCTCCCACAGAAAAGGAGGCTGATGAAATTGAGGCTGTCCGTCAAGAAAGAATGGAACGTCGCATTGAAAGTATGAAACTTGAACGTCAACGCCTTTTGGGTTCTACCGGTGGTCTTCTAGATGACGACGTCAAAGTTATCAGTGTGGAGATCAAATCTAATAATGGAGAAAACAAAATTTTTGGTGATGATACTGAGGTTTCTCTTTATGTTGATGGAGAGCTTTCATCTGACCCTGAGGTACTTAGATATCTCGATAGATTTAAGGGTGTTTTGCAAGGTGCTGAGGAAGCCTTTTCCGCCTCTTCAGTTGAACTGGAGGAAACACCATATATCACTGAATCCCCGGCTTCTAAATCATATGGCCGAATCATCTACGCGACTAGCGTGAAAAGAAAGAGAAAACTTAAAATGAACAAGCACAAGTTGAGAAAGAGACGGAAATTGCAGCGCGCTCAAATGAGAAGACTCAAGCGATAAAAATGAACATTGCTAATACCAATAATTAATATCATGGAAGAGGATTTTGTTTTGCTTTTTTTAACGTCATTAACTGTGTATTGGAAGACTTAAATTGTTATTGAATTACTACCAATATGCTTTTTTGTGTAATAACCTAATAAAAATAACCTCAAAGCAGTTTTTCTTTCATTTTTCCCCATTTTTTGTAAATAGTTTTTAAAATATATTTAGTAAATTACTTGAGTCACTTTTTCTTTTAAAACAATTCATACAAATCGCCCTCCCTTAAAAACTGACATTACTGGTAACCCATGTTCAATAATAGGCATTGTATCATGGGGGAATGACGAGGAATTTCAATTGCCCCTTTCTTTGTGTAGCTTGCCATTTGAGTTTAAGTATATAAATTAGGTAAGCTTGTATTACAACTTATTTTGTAACAAGCTGAAGTATTTTTAAAAAAATTAACATCTCACTAGCTTAGCTAAGCTAATTAATATTATGTCTTTTAAAACATGGCTTGTGCCCAAGATCAGCTTGACATCATCTATTTCAATCACTACCACCATTTGGACGGCATACTAAGATAACCCAAGAAGAAATCAAGATCAAGGTGAGAGGGGAAACGAATTGAGCCGAAAGGAAAGTTTAATTTCATCATATATTAACTATTCCCTTAGTTCAATACCTTCTTATTATAATTAAATCACCTAAAAAAACGCCGGAAATATTAAATCAATTACCCAACTGACCCTTAGATATATATTTTTTAAAAAAAAATAAAAAGCATAGCTTTTTAAGTAATTGAAAATGCCTAAGTTAAGTTTAGAAACCCGTCCAGAAAAGCCGGCTGCTTTGAGGCGTCCAAAACAATTACTTGCGTACTCTATTGATAAATCAGGAGAACAGCACATTGACGATTACCGATCTCTTCGTTATTTTTATTATCCCGATACTTCATTAGCGGGACGTCCACAGCTTTCTTCAGGTTTTTCAAATTTTGTTAAACGCGATGAAAGTGTACCAAAACATTTAAATGAACTCTTACGTGCCCTGACCCATTATGAGAAAGTGCATAATGATGGCAAAAAAGTAAAGGTTGATATTATAACATACCGTGGGGTTATGACAAAATTACTCGTCCTTGCACAAGTTTTGAAAAACAGATTTGGAGATGAAGATGTAACAATAAATGCTACGTATTTTGATGGATCTTTGTTAATGGAGTTGGATGCGACAGTTGAACAAGAGAAAAATCTAAGTCGTCAAGTTAATAAAAACGATCAAGATAAAGAACGAGATCAACAAATGACATATTGGGGATATAAATTCGAGTCATTAGCAACTTTAACAAAGCCATGGACTCAGTGCACACGGGAGGAGATTGAGAGTCGTGATAAAATAGTTGTAGACAATATTTCTGAATATTGTTGTTTGGTACGAACTGGCGTTGGAAAAGTTAAAATGATTCTTGGTGCAGAAGTTGATGCAATTTATGACTATAACCCATATGATAAATTTGATCTGTCTGGAGAAAATAATAAACCTTCTGAACAACTCTTTAATGAAGATGACAAAGAAAAAGATATTCTTCCACATTATGTCGAGCTCAAAACAACAAAGGTTATTCTTAATCCAAGAGTGGCATCGACGTTTTTATTGAAACTTCTTCGCACATGGGCGCAATGTTTCCTCATAGGTGTCCCAAAAGTAGTATACGGATTTCGAGACGATAATGGATATCTAAAATCTGTCGAAGAGTATGACACAGAAGATTTACCAAAGCTTATTGCATCCGCTCAATACGTGGAAGATAACAAGAAATGGAACGGAAATGAGTGTATCGCATTTTACGCCGCTGCAGTTGAATGGATAAAAAATAATATTCCTAAAGAAGAAGGCCAAGTCTGGAGAATTCAGTATCGGAAAGGAGATAAAGATCTTAAGCTTGTCAGAGTTTCAGATTTCGAGGAAGAGCAAAGACTTGTGGAAGCTATAGTGGAAAAAGATTTTAAAAATTGGAGACAGTCTTTGGGTGATCAATAATAAAATAGCGAATAAATAATTTTTTTTTAATTTTAGTATAAAAGTACGTTAGTATAATAAAAGATAGACGATTTGAAATATATATTAAAGGTCTTGATGGTTTGTAAAAAGACTATAGAAAAATTTCCGTTCTTCTAATATACCAAAATAATTTTTAAAATATCATATTTCAAAAATAGTACATCTTTTTTAGAAAATGGTTGATACATTGATCTAACTATGGTGTAAATTTGGTCATAAAATAATACAGTTAATAAAATAAGTGTTGGTTGGCACATTTCTGTATTAAATGGATTAGAGAATGTCTATTTGTTGGGAGTTAAAACAGATAATTCAGTCGCATCATCTGCATCAACCATCGCTTCTTCATCATATAACGCATTTTGGATTTGATCATAATCATCGTTCTTTTTTGATAACGATAATGTTTGTCTAATCTTTGGTTGGACACCTTGATACTTAAAAAACTGATGCAAAAGTTTAATAATAATAGGAAGTTTAAATAAAACCAAAAAAAATAGGGACAATGGCTCAGTTATTTCGTATAATTTATGTTTGTAGATAGCCTTGGATGTCAAGGAAGCAAAAAGAAGTACTATTGAAGCTAACTCTACTGCAATTAGATTTAAACTTAACCCGTTAGCTTCTCCCATGACAAAATTTACAGAGATCTGAGGCATATATTTAAACCACTCGCATACTTCTGCAACCGCTTCCAGAAAGTAAACAAAATCTAACCATTTGAGACCACAAAATCCGTACTCTGAGTCGGGGTAATTTTTCATTGATAAAGCTATGATTAGAATGCCGCATCCACCAAGAAAATAACACAATATCTGAGAAAAAACTGAAAAATCCTGAGCCATAACCTCCTGTGTTTCTCGGTATCTTTTTTTAAGTTGATACATGCCACATATTAAACCCCAAAAAACGAATGAATGTAAGGAAAAAAAAAACTCTATTAATGAAGAGCCTGGTGGGTAAAGTGCAGGGTATCCTTCGAGTGTAATAAAAAGCGACTCTGGTATTGGGGAAGTGGGAAATCGTTCCGCATACTGATGTCGTGTAAAAGAATGCCATCGAAGAAATGATATGTGGAACAGTTTTAGGATAGGTGCAATTGATGCCCATATAACAAAATCAAACGAAAGACCTCGAATAGAGTGTCGTTTATGATTATGCCAAATTTGACAATAGCAGGCAATAATCTGAAAAATGATATGTCAGAGAATCAGTAAAAATTAAAATTAAAAAAGTATCCATACCCGACAACAATTATATAAAAAATAAAACATAATTAAATAACTACATAACTTATCACCAGAGATTGATAAAACACTAGGATTCAAGAAGTTATGTGAAAAAAATATTAAAAGGGGTTCACCAGGTTGTGAATTTATTTGACGTGTAATTTTTATTGCGTCAGCAGAAACTTTAGGAACAATCGCTCCGACAACGGGATTTTTAATGGACTGAGTTCAAGTTCTGTTTAAAATACAATGGGTTAGGGTTGATTACAACAGAATCAAAATGTTCTTTGTAGCGCATCATCAATTTTGATAATTTTTTAAAAGGAATCATTTACGTTTTTCAAATACATGCTTCTAGACTTATACATGTCGAAGAAAAAGTGATAGAAACATATTTAAAAAGTTACTATATAGTCTCTATTTTTTTTCTTGCAGTTAATTTATTGATAATAAGAATATTATAATATTCTTATTATTTAATATTAAATTATTTGAGATGATTTGACATAAATTGGGATCCTTAAAGTAGGGTAAGAGTGTAATAGAAGTATATATAATAAAGCTTTTAATAGTATGCATTGTGAATCTAATAGCTGGACTGTTATACAATATTTAATCTTCATAAATTCGCAAGTTAAAGGATGGGGCTTTTAACAATAATACGAAAACAGAGGCTTAAAGATCGAGAAATGAGAATTCTCATGTTGTACGTTATTTTTATGTAAATTCAACTCACAGAAGTTTTAACCATTATTAGGGGACTCGACAACGCAGGTAAAACAACAATAGTTAAAGCTCTTTTAGGAGAAGATGTAAAAACCATTAGTCCCACTTTAGGCTTTAATATTCGAACATTAGAGCATGGGAAGTATGTCATTCATTTAACCATTTAAAATTCAGATTTGAAAATTGACAAACGTATAGATATAAAGTAAACATTTGGGACGCTGGAGGACAGCGTACTCTTAGACCGTTTTGGAAAAATTACTATGAAGATACAGACGGTTTAATATGGGTTGTTGATGCTACAGCATTAGATAGACTAGAAGACTGTCGAGTTGAACTTCAAAAAGTCTTGACTGAGGATCGACTAGCAGGTGCTTGCTTGTTGATAATGGTAAATAAACTTGACGCAATAGGTGATGAAATTTTAAAGAAAAAAGTGGTTCAACAAGTTGAAAAGGTCTTAATGCTAGGTAAAGTTGACTCTACTCATTCTTGGAAAGTTATTGGTTGTAGCGCTTACGATGGAACCAATCTTCAAGAAGGGTTGGATTGGGTTGTTGATGAAATTAAAAGTCGACTATTTCTTTTGGATGATTGACCCAACTTGTGTAAGGTATTTAGTTTACATAATCTTTTTGGAGCATGCAAGCTTGTTCTGCTTTGAAATTTTCACCACCAAAAAAAATAATAAATAATAAATAAAACAATAACAATATCATCGCGTTTATTTATAAATAATTATTTATCAATTATTACACTTGCTCGAAAGACTATATCAAAACATTCACACCATGTCACGATATGAATTTGATGATGACAATGATGATGATAATGATGACCTTTTTGAAGATGCTTTAGATTCAACTCCGGTACCTAATATCCTACAGCAACAACTCAAGCCTGAAGAAGAGGAGGATGACGAAGACGATGACGAAGAGGAGGATGACGAAGACGATGAGGACGAAGACGATGAAGAAGAGGAAGACGATGATGAAGAAGATGAGGAAGAAGATCAAGGTCATCGAACCGCTCAAAAAACACGTCCCCAGCCTTTTGGAACTTCAGTTGGCTATAAAACTCGACCATTACAAAACATGGCTATGAATACCGAAATAGAAGAAGAGTCAGACGAAGACGAAGATGATGAAAAAAGTACTTCAACCCAATTAAATGTTTCCCAACAATTTCAACAATCATCGTATTACAATTCATCAAAAAAAACAGTTCCTAGCTCCGAAGCTTCAGTGAACGGCCAAGTAGCTGATAAACGTGTTAGATTTTCAACTGGAACAAGCGGAGTTACGGTGAGCAATAATGACGATGATGAAGTAGAAAGTGTTGAAGATGATGACGAAGATGAAGAAATACAACCTCAACAATCTATATATCCATTTCCTTCTTCCGGTAAAACAAAACCTGGAAACAAAGCAACACCTTCTAAACGACCTGCACCAACAACAGAAGTTTCCCGAATCCAGGAAAAAGCAGAAATAGTTGATGAAAAAAACAATCTACTTGAGACTGATGACGGGCTTATACATCCAGCAAAAAAGATAAAACCTGAATCACAAATAGAAGAAACGTCATTGGCACCAAACGACATAGTCGAACATACATCAAATCACAAACTAAAGGAAGAAGATGACATCAATATTTTTCATTCCGAAAGCCATACTACCGTAAATGAATTAGAATCTAATGATTTCGAAACTGGTAATGATGAAGAAAAGGGGAAACCAGAAGAAAGTCCTATACAAGATCAACAATACCGATCACCGTCTCCACCAAAATTTGTCAGCTTTAAGATGAGATATCCTATTACAATGTCTGATGCAATAAGGAATTGTACAACTTATGATATTGTTCCATATGTTGCAGCTATTCATGCGTGTCCTGTACACTGTGTTGACTTTTCTTGGGGATTAAAATGGATGTTTACTGGAGGTGAAGATGGCTTCATAAGAAGATACAATTTTTTTGATTCTGTTAATGGAAAGCTTCCTTTGACTGTGGCACAAAAACACCCATTTGTTGATAGCATTACTAAATCAGCAGTAATTGTATCTTATTGGGAAAACGAGCAACCAGTTACACGAAAAGAAGCCAAATTTGGTAAAGATGGCTTTTATGAGCCAAAAGTTTCTCCAGTATATGCATTAGCAGTTCAATCTGAATCAATATGGATGCTTGCAGGCCTAAAATCTGGGGGTATTACTCTTCAAAGTGTTCGACAAAGCGAAGGTGAAATTCAAGCTTATTATGATAAACATAAAAATGCTGTTTCAGTCTTAAAACTTGATGATGATGAACGTACAGCTTTAAGTGGCTCATGGGACAAAACCGTGATTGAATGGGATTTGGAAACATGCAAACCCACAAGAACATTTTTGGGTTCATCAGGCCAAATTAGTAGCATAGATTGGCAGCCTTTGGGTGGGTCGCTGATACCAAGAGAAATGGCAGAAGCATCATTAACACAAAGAACCACTAATATCAAGAAAGAAACAAAGAATGATAGTGATGACGAAATGGATGATGACGACGATGATAAATCTCTTGGTTCATTGTTTGGAGATGATGATGAAGATGGTGATGTCGAGATGGAAGATAATGAAGAAGAAAAAGAAGATAATGAACCCATTTCAAAACAACCACCTCCAGAAACTAAAAATAGGCACAGCCGCTCTGTGTTTTTGACTTCATCAATGGATGGAAACATTGATATATGGGATCGGCGACAAGAAAAACGGGTTGCCAGAATCCATGTTACTGACGGCGTTCCTCCCTGGGCCACTAGTGCTTGCTGGTCTACTGATGGCGATAGAATCTACGTTGGTCGTCGTAATAGTTGTGTTGAAGAATATCATATAGCATCCAGCCTGACTCCAAGCCGAACATTTAGATTTCCTTCAATTTCCGGGGCTGTCACTGCACTAACACCTATGCCATCTGGACGACATTTACTCTGTGGTTCTTACGACAATATTCGCCTTTATGATCTTTATTCTAGTATTGAAGGAGATATGCCAGGACTAAGCTCTCTAAATGATGACCTGAAAGTCGGTGGTATTGCTAAGGCTGCAACACCATTTTACATTATTCCGGGTCACCATGGTGGTGTTGTTTCAAGCATATATGTTGATCCTAGCTGTCAGTACATGGTAACGACTAGCGGAGACCGGGGATGGTCTGGATCATCGACAGATGTTGCGTTGATTTACGACATTTCAGGAATTCCGTGATTCAAGCACCGGATTTATGTAATTTAAATGACTAATATATTTGTCATATTCATGACTAATTTATGTAATTTTTTTTCTCATACAGGTCAGTCAACTGCTTATCTTTTTCAGACTACACAACCTTTAAGTCCTCTTTCTTTCTAAATTATCAATTTTTTATCAACCTGTGATTTTACAAGGACGTTGCCATTTATTTTCAGAGATTTAATTTAAAGAAAGTAAATTGAATTTTGATTTTTGTGATATTCACTTTAGTCACCTGAAATTATAATGGCAAGAGCTTCCCCAAACTCTTTCGACACTACAGAAATTAATACGGCTATTAAATCCAATTTCCCCACACTCGAAAATACAGCCACAACTACCAAAAACATTAATACTGCTAATATTCAAATGAGTACTTCTACAAATGAATGCTCATCTTTTCAAGATGAGAAGGAAGAAGATTTCCTTTATGAATCTTGGAATAGACCTAGCAAAAAAACATTGGAAAACTCTTCTCTTTCTGATGGAAGCTTAGCAAACTCATTTTCGCAAACGTCCAGCCCCAAATCACCATCGGTGGAATATTGGAATAAAACATATTTATCTTCATTTTCTGCAGTAAAAAGACGATCTCGTCGTCGATCCAGTCTTTGCTACTCGGAGACTTTAGATGACCTACCTCCAGAGCCAGTAGCAACTCCATCTATTCATTCAAGTTCAAAAACTGATAAATTAAATAAAGAATCAGCTCAACAGACTTACCCTAAATCACAGGCGCCCTTTTCAGAGAATCACAACAATACTTTTAATAAGTCCAAGTCTTTTAAAAATCGTCCATCGTTTATTCTTTGTGGTTCTTGTGACACCAAAATTAGAACAAGAAAAATTAGTAATGGATCTGATATGATATCACGCACTACAAATTTTAACAGCGATCTTTTCGATAGATCCTCTTTATATGGTTCTTTATCCTCGTCTTTGTCTTTGAATTTACCTTTACCTTTACCTTTGTCTTCGTCTTCGTCTTCGTCTTCGTTTTCCACTTTCTCTAGTTTATCGCCGTATATAGGACCGTCATCTCCTGTGTCATCTTCACAATCCCCACTTTTGTCTCCTAATACTTTATCTCCATCTTCAAGTATACGATCGTCACCTATTAATGGATTAAGCAAATCATCTTCCAAAATTTTATCATCACGAATTCATGGAGGGAATCATCACCACAATAAAGAATCCCTTCTTGGATCATATGAAGAGAGTTTACTATCTGGTCGAATGTCAACTCCATGTTCTCCACCAGTTCCATTTTATATGAAACTTGGTGTTTTTGGTCAGCAACTGACTGATACATCTCTTAAAGAGTCACTTAAATTCCCAAAGCATATAACAACACAATTCAATGCTGTTTTCTATGATTATGATTTACATGAAACTGGTATTCCTGGAAAAGGTAGTCCATATGTTGGCTCAGTAGATCTTGAGCAATTTTATGTAAACCAATATCTCAAAAGTGGAAAAGTATTGCGGGACGATATATTAACCAAAACTCTATGCCAGAAACAAAATCCAACTGTTTCAAATAATAATTCAACATTAACAAAAATTCAGAAAAAAAATAAAGAGAGATCTCAGCTTCCATTTCCGGGTTATAGAATTCCACCAACTGGTAAAATTCAAATTATCATTTCTAATCCACAAAAAACAGCAGTAAAACTTTTTCTAGTCCCATATGATGTGTCAACTCTTGAGTACAAACAAAAAACCTTCATCAGGCATAAAGTCTTTATTCGGTCTTCTTTGCCATCATCGCAACTAAAAACTTCTAACCTTGGGTCTACTCGTACATCTAATCACGAAGAGAAAATGAGTTTGCTACAAACCGTTCATTTACAAATAGCACGCCCGTCCAAAAACAAATATTACCTTTATGGTGATTTGCGTGTCATTTTTCATAATAGGGAAGAGTCAAATTTCCCTGAAAAAGAATCTAAGCCTTTAGGTTTGATGCTTGCAGTTAAAGATTCTTCATTATCAAAAATTGAAACAGTTACTAGTGGAAACAATCCTTTGAGATACAACTTAGAAGAGGTTTTTATGCAACATGTTAACAAGGCAGTGGAAAAAGATCAAAATGATTTCGACGAAAAATTGAATAACAAACCTTGGGAGTCCATTACTGTTTTTGATGAAGAAGAAGACCAAGATATTGAAGAAATTGATATTAGTACTGAAATGATACATTGCGATTGCTGCAATAAACCTATACCTACTAATTCATCAGAATATTCTGTTTCTGATAAGACGGCGGACGGAGTAAAGAACATAAGAGGCATACCTCAAACACCTATTAAGGAAACTTTAGCAGCCAATGGTAAATCTACTATTGATGGAGCGGATCAAAAGTACAATGATTTAACCAATTTTAGAAAGCTGGACACACGAGAGGACCTTGATGAAAAGTTGATGTCTGATATGAAGGCAGCTTCTAAACGAAGTTATTCTCATGCGCCTGGGATGCTTTAACGTAAAAAAATTGGTAGAATATATTATTATTAATTAATTAATTATTAATTAAATATATATATTTTAAACATAATATTATTTAGAAAAAAAGTATTACAACAAATCCCCCATCATTAAATAGGCAAATGTCATAAAAGCCGCAGCAATCCTTTATAGGATAAACATATACCTTATATGTTAAGTCTCAGAAAATAGATATATAGGTTAAATCTCAGAAAATATAGATATATTTATATAGGTTATTAATTAAATCTGAAAATATAGAGTAAATCTCAAAATATTATCCTGGATATATTTGGATATAAATCTTAGAATATATTCATATAATATATATTTTCAAAAAATAACAAACAGGACCCCCATGCATTGATAATATACCAGCTCAAGACAGGTAAAGATAAAAATTGGAAAAGTATTTCTATAACCATCAATAACATAATAAAATTTTAAACTTATAATTTATGCTCACTATGTATTCAAATTAATATTTAATTACATATGAATACCATTTGAATTAACATAAATACACATATTGAACAAAATTCTTAAATAATTAAAACAAACATTTCACATTTCACATTTCACATTTCACTTAATAATGAAATCAAAGTTACAAATGATCATATTTATGATCAACAATAACTTACAAACCAATAAACCAAGAATCTGACTTAATAATGAAATTATAAAAATCAAATCACGTTCAAAATAACAAAATTCTCTATTCACATACTCATTAATAATGCCTAAACCATTAAAGCAAACATGTCATAAAAAAAAACCAATTATATTTAAAAAAACAAAATATCCTATTTACATACCAATTGGTATGACATTGCAATGTCTTCAATTTTTTTTTTGTTAAGGTATACAAAAATAAAATAAAAAAATTAAAAAAAAATCAAAACATTTTATAAAACAGACAACATTGACAATATATCAAATATATATATATATATATATATATATATATATATATATATATTTAATAAAATTGCCTCTAGGGGCAATGAACTGGAATCTCTGTTTACATATATTGCAGGATTTAATAAAATTTATATAATAAGGTAATGATTATCAATATTATCAAAAAAATAGTTTGAAAAACAATCGATATATATGTACATCAATGAAATTATAAAAAAAAAATTACAACGTACTCATTTTTCATTATATTCTGACATTAACATTGACATTGACATTGACATTGACATTAAATATCAAAAATAAACCATAACCAATATTACAATCATTTAATTAAATTACTTTAAATGTAACAATACAATATTAAAATTACATTTGATTTTTGATTTCAATCTACAAAACAAAAATTCAACTGAATAATAATATTTGAAATTAATATTATATTATAATATAATTAGATATATTACAAATTATATCTCAAAATAACAAAAACATTGATATTCTTTGCAATACAGAAAAAACACAAAACAAAATTTCTTCCACAATAATCAAGTGCATCAGAAATATATATTTAAAATTTTCTGTATTTGTATTTTACAATCAATAATAATATTTATTTATAATACTCTCAGAAAATACTTCCCAACAGAATTAAAAATGTAGATAATGTAATTTTTCAAGAAATTGACAATGATATTTAAACCATTATTGTACTACGGATATAAATTTAACTAATGATAACATCACAAGATCCTGTCACAAAGATTACAAGATCCCGTTACAAAGATTACAACTCTCCATCAAAACATGTTTTGCAATGACAATCAATAAAATACAAGGTAAATTATTGTCACGCCTTGACATATATTTCACTAATCATTCTTTTGTTCATTTTCAAGCATATTTCGCATTTTCGCAAATCACAAATCTCAATCAACTTGATTTTCTCCCAAAAAATCACTATACTATTTTCCCAAATATCATGTATGAAACTGTCACCAAACATTTCAGTATATCTTCTTCGCCCGAGTTTAATTTCACTCAATCCAATAAATTAGATAAATCTAAGTTATATCAAAATCAAGAATGTCAACCCCCAATGCATCCAATTATATGTAATAATAATATCAATCTTATTTACACTAATTCCAATAATCGTTGCATTAAAGACATAGATGATAAATCTATTAATGACTACAATGATGAATCTAATAGCAATTACTTTGAATTAAATGAACAAAAACTAAAATTTTTAAATAATATAAATTTAAAAATTATTTAATAAATTACATTAACTTTTATATAATTATATAATTCTATTTCTTATAAATTTCATTTAATTAATTTTTAAATATTATAATCAGTATATATATGACTATATTACATTACAATTAAATATGACATAATCCATTTGACATAATCCATTTGTCATAAAACATTTTCATAATCCATAAACCATTTCAGCGAACGCTAGCGGTAACGCTAGTATATATATATAACAAAGAATGAATTAATTTGAATTATTATTGCCATAAAAAATGTCATTTATCACCCTTGTCTTTGTAAATTCACCTTCGGAATCAATAATTAGCCAACAAAATACTGAGTTCTTGTCCGTCAATACATACATATTATTGACCTTTTTTTTTTTTTTTTTTTTTTTGATTAATTTATATGCAGGCAGTATTTTTGAAAAGTATGTTTAAAGAATTGTGTATCCTCCATCAACAATTAAATCACTTCCAGTCATAAAAGAACTAGCATCTGAAGCCAAAAAAACCATAGGCCAAGCCAACTCTTCTGGATCAGCTAACCGACCCATAGGAGTTCTCTTTTTCCACTCTTCACCTATAGACACAACAGATGGGACCAATTTTTTTTGATTATTGTGAAGCTCGGCCTTTTCTCTTTCATCTCGTTCCAAAATTTCTTTTGTCATAGGTGTCAATATATATCCAGGAGACAAACTATTAACACGGATATTGTGGTTAACCCATTCTGATGCTAATGATTTGGAAAGATGAATGACACCAGCCTTTGTCATATTATAAGGTGCCTGGGGCTGAGGATAATTTACAATTGATCCCGACATAGAAGCTGTCAATACTATGGAAGCCGGATAATGACGGATTTCATAAAAGCGAGATTTAATAACTTGCTTGGCAAATTCTCTAGCAACTAACATTGATCCCAAAAGATTAATATCCATTACTCTTGTAATATTTTCTTGTGGATAATCAATTGCTGATATATTTTCACAAATTCCTGCCATATTAATTAGTGAACATGATGAATAGTTAGATTCTTCTTTATATAAGCCTTTTTTATCCTTTTCAAAGATTTCTTCCATTAAGTCTTCAACTTTAGAGCTTTCAGTAATATCACATTGAAAGCTTGCAATTCTAAATCCACCAGGATTTGAAGTTTTCCAACAAAGATCCTTTAATTCTTTTTCCAACTTTTGTAGTTTTGATTTTGACCCAGGTCCATTATCCACAAGAGCCACTCTGGAAGCGCCAGAATAGACAACTGCGCGACTAACTGCTTTTCCCAAGCCCCCTGTTGCACCAATTAAGATAACCAATCTATTGGCCAAGGAAAAGGGGTTCTTAATACCGTTGTTCATAATCCAAATAAAAAATGACTAAAAGTTGCCACCGATTCTATATCGGGGGAAAAAACTAAAATTTAGAAAGATAGTTTTTATAAAAAGAGGGGAAAGAGCTTTTTATATTTATTAAAAAAAGTTTAACACTTTATAAAAAAAGTTGAAAAAAATACTACTAAACACAGAGTTCATTATTTTAATATTCATTGCGCATTTAAAGAAAGTAAAAGTGTATTAGGAAAATAGCACAAAAGACAAAAGATAATATTTAAGTATTTCGTCAACCTGTGTTGTTCTATCATAAAGTGAATATATAATTATATAGCATAAGTTCTAATGATAAGAAAGTTGACAAGAAGCCCAAGCAATTTAACATTGCCACCTTGAGATTACCATGAATTGCACAATAATTGAGAACTACAATAATTCTGTCAATTTACTTAAAAATTAAAATTGGTTATATCATGAAAGAACTTATTTTTTTTCTTTGAATAGCAACATTAAACCTAGTGTGAAGTTTTTTTATTCCACTATGCGCAAATCTTGATAATCAATACCATCATTAAGTACTTGGGAATTGTGGAATTGATCTTTATGTTCTTCAAAAAGATCCTTTAAACTTTGAACATAAATACGGTGATAATCAGCAATCTGTTCTGAAGTTGGGGCTTCTATATGTGGAATTTCAATTGGCTTTCCCACAACAATGTTGATAGGTCTTCGGTAAGGAATGATTCCAAAATCATAATTAAAAATTCCTCGAGCATGCATCAATGGAAGAGTGAACCCCAAAGTATTTTTTAAGTAAGTTTGAATATTGAAAAGCCATGAGTTTGGATCGTTTTGAACTTGGTCATATAGATTATTTTCTCCAAAGGCAATAATAGGAATTACGCTAGTTCCTGGAATTCTCATGGCAAGCTTAATAAATCCCTGACGTTTGTTAAGCACGAGATCCATGTAACCAGGCCTGGCCAATAGACTTTCCTGAGCACCACCCAATAAAATGCAAATTGATTGCCCTCGTTTCAATAGGTTTAAACAACTTCTTTTCGAAACGCATGCAAGACCTAATGATAAAAGATATTCCCTATATAAAGGGAGTTGAAACTGGTTAACTAAAGTAAGCGTAGTCACTGGAACGCCAGGAAATAATTTAGACCAGTGTGCGCCTAAAGTTGTTAGTCTTTTATTTCAAAGTCTTTGAGAGTGCAAAAAATAATTTACTTACCTTCTGTTGCAATTCCTCCAACTGCTCCCATACCAATAATCCCATGAGGATGATAACCAAATATGTATTGTTTGCCGGTGCGTGTATTTTGACAAGGCTCACGTTTGATGCTGATAACAGCCCAAAGCCAGCGAAAAATGTCTATGAAAAACCTTCGCACACCCAGAAGTCTATGACTGTTTCTCCCTATATCATCTTCATCAAACTTACTCGATGAAGCAAGGATATTTGCTGTATGTGGTCTGTTAATAGTTTCAAGATAAAGATGGTCACCATTCTCGTCTCGAATAGTCACATGAGAACATTGGTTGTTATCTTCTTCATCATCGAGATACGCTGTATTATCGTCATTTTTGTCGACAGATGACAGGCAATTGTGGTTATTCGCTACCAGCTCAGCTTGTTGAAGTTGAGGTTCCTGACGAAAGCTCATATCTTCATCCTGTGAAAAACTGACATCATCTTGATCTAACTGACGAGAATAATCCTGTTCTTCTTTGTTTATGACAAAAGCAGGTTCAAGCTCACAAGTTTTGTGAAGAACAATTGGAAAATAGTTTGCAAAATATTTCCAGACAGGACTTGCTCTTAATAATATAGAAGATCTATCTGGAGCAGACCCGTTTTCAGAGCCTTTGTCAATAAAAAAGTATATCTAGTTTAACAAAAAAAAGTTAGTTTCAAACTTGAGTTTTTGGAAACCGCTCTGAAGTTTGCTCAGGCATTAAAATATACGAGCAATTAATAAAACCTTACCAAATATACTGAAACTACTGGCCAAAGCGGGGGGAATGCGCAGCACAATAAAAATAGTGAAAGGATTACTGGAATAGAGTATACATGCCAGGCTACAGCTAGTACTTCCAAAGTTTTATTTATTGGTGGTGAAGAAAAAGATGATGATGAAGGCAAAGGAGAAGAAACCGTGGGTTGAGAATCAACTTGATTTTTAGAAAATGGAAAGTTTTTCTGCTTACGCAAAGTTTCAGGGTCTGGTGAAGTGTTGTCAGAATTTAAAATGGTGGAAGTAGTGTCAAATTGGGACTCAGGCGAGTTATTGATGAAAACTGCTGTTGATATTCCCACAGGTTCATCACCTGGTAATGATTGGGTCATTTGAAATAAAGAAAAAAGTCAATACTTATGATATGAAGAAAGTTTATTATAATTATCAACTCAAGGCATTGTTTTATGAGGTTGATATGCCTTGTTTTTCTGTAATGTGGGTTTACATAGTGTGTCATATATTACATAAGACATGATTTAACAAAAGAGAAAAATTCTGTAAATTATTTATGCATATCCAAGCGAAGCCAATCTTTGGTATGCGATTTAGCAATGACAAAAGAAGATCTTGAAGAAGAGATTGAGGCCATTGAAGCTATTTACCCTGGAGCTTTGCAACAAAAGGGATCAATATACCAGCTTGATGTCCCAGACTTAAATATTTCTATCCAGCTCTCTTTTCCGTCTTCATATCCTACAGAACCACCTCATATTCTTTCGGTGTTGCAAGGCCCTGATAAATCATTAATTGATAGTATAATTCAAAACATTTTCATCCCCGAACAAGTTTGTCTTTTTGATTTGATTGAATCAATTAGAGAAACGTTTGAAGATATACAAAACGAAGACAGCTTTGAAGAAGAAGAAGAAACAAAAGAAAATGTGTCATCTATTGGCGTTAAGTTGTCAAAAGAAGATCTTGCTAAAGAAATTTTTTCTCACTGGGTAGCCGGATCTTCTATAGTGGATCGAAAATCAGTATTTATAGGTTTCGCTTGTAAAGTAAAATCGGCTCAAGAAGTTGAAGATATGGTCAGTCTTTTAAAACAAGATAAACATATTGCACGGGCTACACATAATATGATAGCGTACAGAATCAAAGGACAAAATGGTGTTGTCATACAAGACAATGACGAAGATGGTGAAACTGCCGCAGGGGGGAGGCTACAACATTTACTAGAGGTATTTTAAACATTTTATTTTTATTATCTATTGAAGTATTAACTTTTTCTTAGTTAATTAATGTATGGGACGTCTGTGTTTGTGTTTCAAGATGGTATGGTGGTATTCATCTTGGCCCTGATAGGTAAGTGAAAAGTAAGGTACAATTACTATATTCTAACACCATTAAAGGTTTAAACATATCAACTCGGCTGCTCGTGACGTTTTAGTCCAGGGTGGATTTATCACTGAAGACAATAAGAAAAAGTCAAAGCGATAGTACGTGTCTTAATGGTATAAATTGGACAAGTTTTTTTTAGGGTATCAGTCCTTATTACTTCTTTTGTCATAACCGTACTTTCTTTTTTTCTTCTTATCTGATGAACTGCTTTTAGCTGATGAAGCGCCTCCAGATATACTCTTAAGTCCTCGAAGAACTTGAAAATCACGTCGTTTGGCATATCGCTCTTGATCTTCTATCGATTGTGAACCTTCTCTCTTTTTGTTGTTTTTATTTGTTCTATCCAAAAGATTGTCGATGTCAAAGTCTTCGTCCTTATTCCGTAAATCTTCTTCAACTGCTTCTTTACTTTCATCCTGTGCCTAAAATATATAATTAGATTATTACCAAACAATGAAAAAAATATAACAAAATAACTCACTGTTTTTTCAAAATTTCCAAAAGCTCTTCTACCTTGTTGAGAACTATTTGTTTTCTTTGAGTCCTGTCCATAAATATCTTCGAAACTTGCTGTTTCTAACACAATTTTCTTGGGAGTATTAGTAGTTTCTTGGCTTTTGATTCCTATCGACGAAAAGCTGTTTTTTGGTATTTTACGAAGTGTCCATCTAGAAGAATCTTCTAATTGTCGCTTTTTTAATTTTTCATCTTCTTCTTTTTTGAGTGCTTCGCCTTGTCTCATGAACTTGTCTTAATGGTTAATAAAACGGTTTGTCTTTTTGGTTTAACCAGTATCACCGACTTACCTTCATTGCCATGAGTGCACTAGACATTTTAGGTTTACTTTCTGGTGCCATCTTTGTATCTATTATAAGTTTTTTTCTGGTTAAGTAATATATCTTTTTGTTACTTAAATATTCTTCTATTATTTTGACACAGACTTTCGAGATTTCAAGATGGTCGATGAATTTAAGAAAGTGTGGTTGTGGGTTTTAATTCAACGTAGATGGATGGAAAGGCTGAACACCATCAAAAAAATGAAAACTCTATCACCAAAAAAAATTTTTCTTTACCCCAAAAAAATTTTTTTTCTAACCTTCAAGCTCAAATAAAGAAGAATTTTTAACAACCATAGCTTACAATTATGAAACTTGATTATAAGGTATGACTTTTATTGGATTTATTGAAAATATTTTTTCTGACTTTGTAAATAATAATAGCTTTCCAATATATTTGGTACTGTTTATCGACAGGGAAATATCTTTTTTACTCCCGAAGGCACTGCTCTATTAAGTCCTGTTGGAAATCGTGTCAGTTTTTTTGACCTTGCCAAGTGAGTTTATTAGTTGAACATTCTTTATTTATTAATTCATTCATTCTGACTATTGTTTCCTTAGTAACAAATCATTTACATTTCCTTATGAACACCGCAAAAACATTCAATGCGTAGCTCTAAATCCACAAGCTACGCTCTTATTATCAGTCGACGTTGACGGCCGAGCTATTCTCGTCAACTTTGTTCGCCGTACAGTGATTCATCATTTTAATTTAAAAGAAAATGTTCATGACCTTAAGTTTTCACCCGATGGAAAATTCTTCGCTGTTGCAGCTGGTCGTGAAGTTCAAGTTTGGAAAACACCTGATCAAACTGAAGAAAAGCAATTTGCACCCTTTGTTCGACACAGAATATACACTGGACATTACGCCGAAGTAACTACAATCACTTGGTCTGATGATTCGCGGTTTTTCCTTGCCGGCTCTAAAGATCTTACTACTCGCATTTATTCGTTAAACTCGGAAGATAGTTCTGCTGCTGGAGTACTTGCAGGACATAAGGATTCCGTTATTGCATCTTTTTTTTCTGAGGATCAAGAGACAATTTTCACAGTTTCAAAAGATGGAGCTATTTTTGAATGGAAGTATTTGGGTGAAAGTGATTTTGAAGATGGTGAAAAAGAAGAAGAAGAGGAAGAGGATAGTGACGAGGAAGAAGAAGAAGAAGATCCTACCCGCCGATGGCGAATTGTTAATAAAAACTTTTTCAACCAAAATAACACGCATGTTACAACTTGTGATTTTCATCCTGCATCTAATCTTTTAGTTGTTGGATTTTCTAGTGGCTTGTTTGCATTGTACGAACTCCCAGATTTCACTATGATTCAAACACTTAGTATTTCACAAAATGCAATCGATTATGTCACCATCAACAAAACAGGAGAGTGGTTGGCTTTTGGGTCATCTAAACTTGGCCAACTTTTAGTATGGGAATGGCAATCTGAGTCCTACGTCATTAAGCAGCAGGGTCATTTTGACTCTTTAAATTCTATTGTTTATTCGCCTGATGGATCTAAGATTGTCACCGCTTCTGATGACGGGAAAATCAAAGTTTGGGATGCATACAGTGGATTCAGTATTGTCACATTTACTGAACACACTTCAGGAATCACTGCACTTGAGTTTTCCAAGCGAGGAAATGTTTTGTTTTCAGCTTCGCTTGATGGTTCTATCCGAGCATGGGATTTGATTAGATACCGAAATTTCAGAACCTTTACAGCACCTACAAGAATACAATTTTCAAGTTTAGCAGTTGACCCAAGTGGTGAAGTGGTTTGTGCTGGATCATTAGATGATTTCGATATTCATTTATGGTCTGTTCAGACGGGTCAGCTTTTAGACCGTTTACAGGGCCATGATGGTCCAGTTTCAGCACTTTCTTTTGGTAATGAGGGTGGTTTATTAGCAAGTACCAGTTGGGACAAAACTGTTCGTGTTTGGAGTATTTTTGGAAGACATACCCATGTTGAGCCTTGGACTATGACATCTGATGTTCTATCTGTTGCTATGCGTCCTGATTCCAAACAAGTCGCAGTTTCTACTTTAGACGGCAACTTGTCTTTTTGGGATATTGAGCAGGGTAAACAGGTTGGTGAAGTAGATGGCAAGTTTGATGTTTCTGGAGGAAGATATACAACTGATAAGTTCACTTCTGAGCACTCCAAGAGATCAAAGTATTTTACCACATTATGCTACAGTTCTGATGGTACAACTATTTTAGCTGGAGGCAATAGCAAACATATTTGTCTTTATGATGTTTCAAATGAGGTGCTGTTACGAAAGTACGTTGTGTCAAAAAATATGGCATTGGAGGGTACACTTGACATGCTTAACAGTAAAAATATGACTGAAGCTGGTCCTTTAGATCTGATCGACACTACTGGTGAGGCTTCTGATTTGGAAGACAGATTAGATATTTCTCTTCCAGGTGCAAGCCGGGGTGACTTATCAGCACGCAAAATGAGACCTGAGATTCGGGTTGCCAGTATTAGATTTTCGCCAACAGGTCAATCATTTGGTGCTGCCTCTACTGAAGGGTTGCTCTTGTACTCCCAGGATGATTCCCTTTTATTTGATCCTTTAGATCTTGATATTGATGTGACCGTTAAGACAACAATAAGCACTCTTGAAGAGAAGAAATACTTGACAGCACTTATCATGTCATTCAGACTAAACGAGCGAGCAGTTATTCAGCGTGTTTACGAGAACATTCCAGTTGGAGAAATTAATTTGATTGCAAACGAGTTTCCTCGAGTTTACCTTGAACGATTTTTCAAGTTTTTGGCAGGCGTTATTGAAGACTCGCCTCATGTGGAATATCATCTTATTTGGATTAAGGCATTAATTAATGCCCATGGCTCTTTCATGATGACTAAAAAGCATGTGTTTGCCAGTGTGATTAGATCTATCAGTAAATATGTTCGCCGGATCAACAAGGATATTAACAAATTATCCAGTGACAACATATACACCGTTCAATTTTTGATGGGGAAGAATAGAAGATATGTTGATGATCTGCCACAAAATTTTGGATTACCAAAGTCATCTGAAAAAGATGATTCTGATGCTGATATGAAAGATTCAGACTCGGAGAAAGAAAATGAAAGTGAAGAAGAAAATGAAGAAAATAATAGCGATGATGAAGAAGGTTGGTTTGGGCCTGAGTCAAAGAATGATATTGCCTTTTCTTCGTTCCCTGATGATGATGACGAGGACGAAGATGATGAATAAGAGCATTAATCTTAAGGATAATTAAAATTTCTATTTACAATGGGGAGGAAATAAATCTATAGACTTGATAAATAAATAAAAGTGTGTTAGTAATATTTAAACTTTATGGGTTTGATTTTGTTAGTGTAAGGGGTTTATTGTTTTCAGCTTTGGATTGATTTTCTGTATGCTGTACTGACGAAGTACCAATTTCAGTGTGAACAACCTTGAGTTCATCTTGTTGTTCACCATCTAAATTTTTGTGTTCTACCCCCTCTAAATCATTATTTTCATTTTCATTTTCATTTTCATGTTCATGTTCATGTTCATATTCTTCAGCTTCCTCTACCTCTATCTCTTCGTTTATGTTATCTTCAGAGTTTCCATTAAGAAGGGATTCTCTCATAGCAGCTTCTCTTGCTGCATACTTCTTTTTTGATTTACTTTTCTTTTTCCTAGCCTTGTTTTTTTTGTACTCTGCAATTATAGCTGTTCGTGATTCGCCTGGAGGTGCAGAAAGCTCTTCAATTTTAAGAGCCAAAATTTCCCGAGCCTTTTTCCGATTTTGTTCCCGGGATCGAGAAAATTGAGAAGAAACAACAATTCCTGTAGGAATGTGCTTTAGCTGGACTTTACTATTTGTTTTATTGATCTTGAATAATAGGGGGTTAATAAAAAAAAATTTAATTTAAACGCCTTAATTACAACCAAAACTCACTTTTTGACCTCCCTTACCACTAATGACTAATTAGTATTTAAAATTTTGAAGAAAAAACATAATCATACATACCCTCCTTTGATGAAAACTTCTTCTATATCATCTTCATCGATTTTTGGTCTTGGTGGGAACTGCGTTTTTTTTAAGAGACAAGAAGAAGTCAAACTTAGACATCTGGAAGATATTATTTGCTGAAGAGGAAATCGAACCTGCTTTAAACAAAAAACTTTCAACAATGTATTTGTGCTCATCTGAAGACTTATTTTATCCTGTGTTGACCAAAAGATGAAAGACCATTTGGACTGACAACTTAAAATTTAGTATATTTTATCACGTGACTTGATACGAAAAAAAAAAGTGTGACAACCGTTAAATTATTTTTTTTATATTATTTTTATTTTACTTATTATAATAATAATAACATCTTATAACATCAAGGTTATGGTATGGATAACCAATTAATTATAAGTATGTGGTCCAGATGGTTTTGGCTATGTTAGATCCGAGCATATGTAACCCTATCCACTCTCGTCACTCGGCTCTGCTAGTTTTTTTATTCTGAGAGATAAAATACCATCAGCATCAAAATCATCTTTTTGTTCCTACTATATGACTTTCCGTTTCCACAATAAACTCTTAATTTAACTTCAACATTGCATCTCTAGCAGCTGGATAATAAGTCTTGATACCAATCTACAAGGAACAATATCAAACTCCAATACATACCCAACTTATTTCAACTTCCTTTCATAGAAGCGTTGATTTAATTTCTTAACCATTCAAAACAGAAATAAACCTTACAATTTCTTGCAAGCCAATTAGACTGCATAAGAAAGTCGGCATGTCCTTAACTGAATAAAATTGATTCAATTCTATTCTCCCTTCTTCCAGAAAAAGACACTCAACCAAAACATGTTTAATTGTTCCCAGCTCGCCACACTTATAGTTATTACAATCTTCTAAATACCAAATTGTCGAACCCATGTGCCAAAGTTTCAATGGCTTGTGGGAAACTGAATGATAGTGCTCAAGATCCTTCAACAATATTCTTCATTGTCACATCTATGGTCATTTTAGAAAGCTTGTCAGAAATTTCAATTACACTGTGAGATACAGAACTTCTATGGTGTTCATTTTTCTTTATTTTATTTTATTTTATTTTTATTCAAGGGTACACAGGAATCGTGGTTTGTTTGTTTGTTTGTTTTTATTCAAGGGTTATAGAATTATATAACATCAGCATCTGCGCTTTCCTTCTTGTTCATACTATATATCTTTTCATTTTCATAATAAACTTTTAATTTTGGCTTCAACATTGCATCTCCAACAGCCCGAAAATAAGTCCTGATGCCAGCTTACAAGGAACAGGGGGTTAAAAATAACCAAACCTTCCCAACTTATCTCCACTTGTCTTCATCAACGCTGTAATTGTATTTCTTAATCCCTCCAAGCAGAGATAAAGCTTACAATCTCTTGTAAGCCAGTTAAACTGTTTAAGAGAGTCGACATGTCCATCTCTGGAGATATCCGTTTGAGTCCTTTTTTTTCCTCTTTAACAGGAATCGTGGTGGCAACCTGAGATCCTGAGCTTAATCGTAATATCTGTTAAAAATGGTATTAAAACTCTAAAATTTTAGGGGAGCACTGGAGTTAGCCCAGTGGTCAATGCTCTACTTTATAGCATTGATAGCAACCAAACTCAAGCCGCTAACGTGATTGTGGGTTCGATTCTCTGCAATCACACTAAAAATTGACTCTCCCTGAACCACCGGCTAGCTGGCCAATACATTACGTTGACCCAAGCCCGACCACAGCAAGTTTTGGCTGGTTTTGTTGAGTGTATAAGTTTTCGCGTTTTCTCTAAACATTCCAGCATAATCGTGCCACTAGGCGCATGTGGACTAGACCAATCCAGATATGAATCCGTCCCGGAAATAACCAGAACACCCAACCGACCTTAATAAGGATAATTGTCGTAATGTGACAAAAAACGTTTTTTTATCATTTTTACAAAAGAAAAAATAGCAAGGTTTAAATACTTTTTCACATTATATTGTGATCAGGTCACTATTGAAAAATAATAATTTCAAAAACAATATACAACACAGTCAAAATTTTCACTTGGAGCTGCACTATTGAAAAGGAGGTTTTATAAATAAATATAAATATATACGCCCACATTCAATGCGTCTGTTGGTTTATGATATTAAAATCATCTATCTCCCTTGTTTGTTTAAAATATTTTTTAAATACCCATAGCATTGGAAAAATGAAAAGAACGAAACAACAAAAAAACGGACACTTACCTTTCCACATCAAACTTTGTTTTATTTAACTTCATTTATTTCTTTATTTAGCTTTAAGTGAATTAATATTTATTTATTTCTATTTAATTATTGTGGTCTCACTGAGATGCCGGGGAGACAACCCTCAAACACGATCCTTCCTAATCACAGCCAGAAAAAGACTAAAAGAAACTATAATCTCATCGAAGAGAAAGAATTGGATCACATTCCTAGCCAAAGCTGCCGGCAACGACATCTATAAAGCCCGAAATTACACATTCCGACCACCGAATCGCACAACACTCCCTGCGATGAGGAACCCACTCACAAACAGTATCACAAAAACAGTTGAGGAAAGATTTGACGTGCTCGCTGCTACATTTTTCCCTCAAGTCCCCCCACTCACTACCCACACAAGACCACTCATCACTGACGAAGACCATATTGAACTCATGTCAGCAGCGGATGTACGCCGCGCTGTACTCGAGTTCAACCCAAACAAGGCCCCAGGCCCGGATGGAATCTTCTCTAAAACAATCCAAGCCCTCTACAAATCTGACAACCCCCTTTTCCGTGACCGCCTGAATTCCCTCTTCCAGGCATGCCAGCACAAAGGCTACCACCCAACAGAATGGAAAACAAGCCACACAGTGATCATCCCGAAACCACACAAAAAAGACAAAGCCTCACTCAAATCTTACAGACCAATTGCTCTCTTAAACACCATGGGAAAAATGCTTGAAAGGGTCTTCTGCAATTCCATCACCGCCTTCATCGACAGAAGCAGCATACTAAACGAATACCAATTTGGCTGCCGTAAAGGGTACTCTGCCCCAGACGCATTGCTCAAGCTGATCAACGACATCAAATCCAAGCAAGAAACCAACCCCAAGACCAGAACCTCAGCAATAATGGTAGATATTAAAGGAGCATTTGACAATGTTGACCATAAGCATCTGTTAGAGACCCTTGATAAGAAAAATTTCCCACAAGGCACCATCGAATGGATAAGCAGCTTCATCACTAACCGCAGCACTGCTATCATCACGGATGGCATTGTTGACAAAACCAGACCAACAACCAAAGGAATACCACAGGGATCCCCGCTCTCCCCCATTCTCTTCAACATTTACACAACAGGACTATATCATAGACTCTCTGAAATACCGGGTATCAAATTCGCAGGATTTGTAGATGACGTCACAATTTATTGTCACGACTCCCAAGCCAGAGCCACCAACTCACTAGGGCTAGCCCTCAAAGCCTGCGTTGAATGGGCAACCAAGGCGCACACCGAGATCGACCTAGGGGACAAACTAAACTTCATTCACTTTGGCAACAAGACCGCAAACCCGCCAAGACTCCCTGTACCCTGCCAACAAACGCTTCGTGAACCGCAAGACGAGGCCAAAGTACTAGGAGTCATACTAGACCGCAAGCTCAACTTTAAACCCCACATATCACTCAAAAAAGAACAAGCCATCCAAGCCATTAATTTCATCACCCGTCTGGGAGGTACAACGGATGGCCTCACGGGATTCGCTTTCAAGCTCCTCTACAACTCATGTATAGTACCCATTATCTCCTATGGGTGGGGTATGGGGTAACAAACCCAACACCGTCAAAAAATGGGCAACTCCATCCAACTAACCCAAAACATCGCACTACGGAGAATGCTTGGTGCATACCGCACCACCCCAATCTACATACTTCACAGAGAAGCAGGTGTCCTCCCTCTGCACATTAAACTCGAAGATCTGGCGAGAAGGGCGGCACACCGCCTCTCGGACCCCACAAGAACACACAGGGACAACCCCACCAAAGCTCAACTCCTAAGCGGAAGCGTAGCTGCTGAAGCCAACAGCAGACTAAACAGCATCAACCGCATCATCAGCGTCAACCGACCTAGAATCAGCCCAGCCCAGGCATCCAAGCGCAGGGCCCTCATCCAGTGGCAACATGAACACGCCATTGCAACTACCAAGGCATCTAATAGCCCCCACCAACCATGGTACAAGGGAACTTACCCGAACAACAAAGTAGAAACTAACAACAACAAACTACAACTCAGAAGAGCCATGGAAGGCCCCAGACACATTCTGTCAGGAGCCATCCAACTCAAGACAGGACATGGTAGATTCGCCAAGTACATTGCAGAACGCACCAAGAACGAAGAAAACATACAAAACAAGTGCCCGCTCTGTGAAGCGGAACCGGAAACCCCCAAACACATACTCACAGCATGCCCATGCTATGACTTCATCCCAACTTCCCTTCGCATCGGGAACCCCTTTCACCTTTTCACGAACGACCTTTATGACATAATCTCACAAGTCGTCCAGACTGCAAAACTTGACACCCAAGACAGATTTTATTAAACGCCGAGTTGCCGTTGGGATTTCCTCCACGTTTAATAACTCTATCTTGGCCAAAGTTCTGGCAGACCAAAAACCAACTCCAAAACCACTCGCAAGCAACCACGCGCCTTCACAGCTGGCATAATAAATTAGGGAAAATTAAAGATATTAAATTTTTTTGTAATATATTTTGTAGTACAGTAGAAACAAGGCAGAAATAAATAGATTATGTAAAAAAAAAAAAAAAAAAAATATTTTACTTTCAAGAAGCTGATTAAGGAAAAAAAAAACGGGTTTCTCTCGATCTGGATTTCTTTTTTTCTTTTTTTTCTTCTTTCTTTCTTTTTGCCATCTTATTTATTTCTTTTGTTATCCATACGACAAAAAATGTCAAGTCACCCTAGTGCTCAGCAAGATACACTTAAATCTTTAAGGGATGTTTTAGGTTTATTAAAATCTGACAAGGAACTTTCAGAACTTGAACCAGGTTATATCTCTAATGACCTGTTAGGTTACATCAGAGAGAGTGGCTCTGCAAGTTTATTTCGGTGCGTGGCGTTATTAAGCTTTACATTTATTGTTCTACTAACCACAAACTGTGAATTATATTTAAAATAGAAAGGCAGTAGCTGGTTCCACCGAAGTTTGGTCTTTATTAACTGAATGCTACAAATTAGGCCAAACTCGTCTTTTAGAATATCCCAATATTATTCGAACTTTCAACGGTATTGCATTACTTGGACGAAACCTAGTTAGTGTTGACAATGTGGCATTTTTTGCCTGGGACTCTGGAGCTGTAAACTCAATGTTTGATTTGCTTCAGTATCTTATTGTTGACACACAACAAGAAGGAAATTTATCGATTAAGGGAGTCATGACTAGTGATTGCAGCGAAAACTCGTTGTTTTATGAAAAATTTGTAATGTCATGCATCCAGTTTTTTGCAAATCTAAGTGTACAAGCTAGTCAAGACAAGACCCTTTCTAGCAACGTTTTAAGTCTTTTTATTTATAATATACCCACGGAAACTTTTGCTTCGTTACTGAATTCGTTTACTTCTGAAAACAGCTTGCCTATATTGATTCTGTTGGAAGGTCTTATTAGAAATACACCGGTAAATGCTTTACGATTATATGAAGAACCAAATGGTCAATTATTTATCAAGTTTATTGCTAAGCATGCAGATGCCTGGGTTAGCAACAAGAACGACATGTGCACCAATCTTGCAGTTGAAATCATGATGCATCTTTTGTCTTTTGGACTAATGCCTAATTTCTTGGAGAAGTTTTTTTTAAATCCGGATTTTATAGAACCCGAAAAGACTTTTGATTTTGTTACATTACTAATAATTAGCATTCCTTCAGCGTTAGAATCTTGGACTGGAGGTGATTCTGAGAACTTTGCAAATGATTTAGGGAAGCAAAAAAGTTTCTTTGATACTGCATTTTTCATTTTTAAGTCAATCAAAGAAGAGGCCAAACCATTAATTGAAACGTACAGCACACGAGATCGAAGTAAGGACAATAAACAGTATTTGAATGGCATTTGGGAGACATTGGTTCTTTTTTTGGATTTATTTGATAATTTCCTCTCTTCAGTTTTCCGTCAATATGAAAAAAATACAAGGGAAACTAGTACCAATTCAGGTAATCTGTTTAGTTATATTATTGAAGATACCGACTTTTTAGAAAGCATTATTGGGTTACTTCACGCAGCCGAATCAAATCTACCGAAAAAGAGTAAACTTTCTGAATTACAGCGTAATGATACCAATTATGGAGATGATGAGTTGAATCAATCTGTGAAAACAAAAGAGTTACTGTATGACAGTTCTGAGTTCCCGTTAATAAAGAGTAAGATCATTTTCTTGTTAGGGATTTTAACAAAAGACAATACTTTTGTACAGAATGAGATTCGACGGTTGCATGCGTTAGAACTGATTTTGTCTAATATGATTATTGATCAAAACAATCCTTACATTAAAGAACATTCAATTTTAACACTGTCATATGTGTTGAAAAACAATCAGGAAAATCAAGATTTTATTTCCAAATTGGAGGCGCAGGAAGTTGTCACCACTAAGGAAATTGAAGATGCAGGGTTAGAAGTGAAGCTTGTTGATGGTAAAGTTAGGCTTAACAAGAAGGATTAATGTTTGCATAATAGAATGTAATTTTTTTTTAAAAAAAAAAAAAAAAATTAAAGTAAATATTTTTAAAAATATAAAAAATGAAAAAATATCGTCACGAACAGGATTCGAACCTGCGCAGGTAAAACCCAATGCCTAAACTACTAGTGTATAGCAGGGCATCGCCTTAACCACTCGGCCATCGTAACAATGAAAATTGATAGTATATTATACCTAAACTTGCTATATAAAGATAATTAAAGTTGTGATTATGTAATATTAATTAAAATTTATTTTGTTACTTGAATAAAAACAAACAAACAAATTTATTTTGTTAGGAGATAAGTTGGGAAGGTTTGGTTATTTTTAACCCCCTGTTCCTTGTAAGCTGGCATCAGGACTTATTTTCGGGCTGTTGGAGATGCAATGTTGAAGCCAAAATTAAAAGTTTATTATGAAAATGAAAAGATATATAGTATGGACAAGAAGGATAGCGCAGATGCTGATGTTATATAGTTCTATAACCCTTGAATAAAAACAAACATCTACTTTAAAAAAAAAAAAAAGGTATATCTTTTATGTAAATAACCCTTTAATAAAAAAGAAAAAAATTTTTCAAATAATACATTTTAAAGAGTTTCATTTTTTTAAATAAACATCCAATGAAAAGCTTCCACATAACTAGTTAATTCAATGAATTTATTTTTTTCATTATAATTACAATCAAATATTTGATGGATTAATGAAGTTTATATATATACATATATTCGTTACCAGACTATTATATATATATATATATATACAATTAATAAATACAAAAAAAAAAAAATCCTTCCGATATCAATTCCGGTAATTGACGGTGAATTACTTATAAAGAATTGAAAGGCGGGGTGGGAAATTTTTTTTTTTTTTTTTTGGTCTCCACAAATCTCTTTCTTTTGTCTCCCCCCGCCAAAAAAATAAATAAATAAATAAAAATAAAAAATTCCCATTAAAGTCTTAACTTGATAATAAATTTTTATTTTTTTTAATTATTATTATTATATATATATATATATATATTGACAATGGTGATGATAACAAAGTAATTACTTTGTAATCGGCTTGTTCTAATGGTTGGTCCGATGAGACTCTTACATGTTTCTAAGAGATGAGCGATTAGGGTTCCTGCTTGTTATTAATTTTTTTTTTTTTTTTATATACAAATAATTGGTTTGCTGTAACTGATTAGATAGGCAGCCCAACAACTAAAACGCGATAACCGGCTGTCTTGCGCTGCTCCCCTCATTTTAAGCCGACCTCCCCTCACACGCTAATAATTTATATATAAATATAAATAAAAAGCTCTTTTTTTTTCTTTCGCCATATAAAAAGTCCTCCAAATTCTCTCTCTTTAATTTTTTTTTTAATCTTTCCTTGTTTCCTTACTCTTTTCAATTTCTCATTTTTATTTTTATTTTTTTTGTTTGTTTGTTTGCTAACCCCTCCTCTTCCTATCTCTAACTCTATCTAAATATTATCATATATATCAATAATGGCGTCGTCTCTACGAACAGCTGCATCCCTTGTGCTAATTACTCCATCCTCCCATGTCCTTTTTATGCTACGTCCAGCTTCTGGCTCCTTCCCCTCTACCCACGTATTCCCCGGTGGAGTGGTAGAACCTTCCGACCCTAGCTTGTCATACACTGCGTTTCGCGAAACATATGAAGAAACAGGCCTACTTCTTGGGCCTCGAGATATTACCAAGCCAGTAGTCCATGCTGTTGGAGAATATCCATCTTACGATAGCGCCTTTAAACATGTTTTTGGACTAGAAACACCACCCAAGTCTGATGCCTCGGAACCAGATAAATCTACAGGAACTTGGAAATCATGGTGGACCCCAGAAAATGAAAAGTCTAAGTTGGACCTCGACCGCTTTTCCAACTGGACTACCCCAGAACATCTCCCCAAACGCTTTGCCACCCAGTTTTACCTTTACAGAGTCCCACAAGCCTTCCAATTCCCTGAACTGCCACCCTTGTCAAGTGCTCCTGTAAGCATAGAAGAGCGCGCAAAAGAACCAGGGAATGGTGTGCTGGGCACTGCACGAGAAGTGGAAAAACTTGAATGGCTGACACCTTGGGAAGCCTTAACACAGTTCCAAAAGGGCAAGATTAAGCTTATGCCACCACAATATTACCTCATGAACCTGCTATTTGAAGAAGGCATCGATAAGGCAATTGAAAAGGTTCATGACCGTGTCATTACTCCTAAGATTGTCGAAAAACTGCCAGATGGTAAAGTAAAGATGGATTGGGGCCGTGGAGAGTTTGGACTTATCAAGTTTGGCAAAAAGAATGTGGTTGACGAAATTGAAATACTTCGAACCAAGCTTTAACCAATTTGGAAAACACCTTTTAAACATGGCATATAGATTACTTTTCTTTTCTCTCTCTTTTTCCCTCTTTTTTTTTTTTTTTTTTTGTGTTTTTCTGCAGACATATTACCATTACATACTAATAATAGCTAAGAAAAAAGGTCATTCAAAATCGAGTTCCCCCCGTTATTCCGAGAAGCCTCAAAGGTAAGTGCCAGTCCTGTTCGATAAGTCACAGTAATGCGGTACTTTGTAATGTCATGCGGATTTACAGTCCTTGGGTTTTGGTCGCTTCTGTACACTGGTACAGCCAAAACTCCAGTAACTACCAAGTCATTATAATCCATATCTTGTGAGTGAATCTCATGTTGTGCAGAAAGCATTTCATGCACAGGGAAAACATACTCCTGGCGCAATGAAAATACCTTCTTGTGGGCAACAAGCCTCATTAGTGAAATTGCCCCAAGCGGCGTTGCCACTAATATGGCATTGATACCTGGAAGTAACACAGAGATGGACAATCGGTCATACATGGAGAGACTTGACATGAGATACGTTTCCCTCTTAAATACATCGCCCTGGGCAGCATTGCACCATAACGACTCAGCGCGACATAGATGCAAGCTCTTTTTACTCGTTAAAATCACAAACTTGTTATCGAAAGGAGGTTTGCGTAGTAGCTCTTGAGAAAATGGAGAAGCAAGATCTCCCGCAGTACGTTTCATCACGTACCAGTCCCTGTGTTGCTTTCGGTGAACATCGAAATAAGTGTCCAAGTGCCCTTGATGTCCAGAGCCTGCTTCCCCAGAATTGTCTTCCCACCAAGATACTTGTCTAAACCCACCCCAACTTGGAGCGCTTGATAACGTTGTAGTCGTAAAAGTCGTCGGTTCCTCTCTCGATGTCCTTCTAGACCAGCTATGGGGACTTACAGGCCGGCTAACCCGTGAAGAAGACTGAGGAGCCGTTGTTGCTGTAGAAGTAGTATTTGTTGTTGTTGGTGGTGTTGGCAATACTTGCGATGGAGAAGTATTTTGTGGAGACCTATTATTGTCTAGTGGAAGTCCAGTAGTCGGTGTTATTTCACTGGTATTGCGGATATACCGTTCAAACGGAGTAACAACTCGAAGAATGGCAGAGTTTAAAAATGTAACATTTCGTGGACGTCTAACACGCTCAGCTGCTGGATCATCCTCATCTTCTTCACCTGCCCATTCGTCCTCATTATCACTTTCACATTTATCCCAAGTGTCGGCAAACTTTTGAATAGCTTTAGTATAAATGACAAAGTAAGATAATCGCATGGCAAAATCAATAAACTCCTGTGACAATGGAATCACATCACTATTAACTCCAAGCGCATGGCTCCCAGGACTATTAGTATTTTCACCATCTTCCTTTTTGATCTTCCGATTCAGACCTGGAATGGCATACTGCTTATGAATGGAAGATGACTGTTGCTTAAAAATATTGGCGTCATTGTACCACTGATTTCCAGAAAGTTCATACAGACTCCCAACTTGCAAAAAATCACGCTCTGATGCCCCCTTTATTGTCCAGCCATCTTGTTTTAATTGATCAATGCTCATCCATCTGCCACCTTCAAATGGAATATGTAGGTATAAAGGATCAATATCTTCTGTAGGGAAATCCGTACGCCAATGTTCCAATAATGATACTTGAGGTTGCTCTTCTTCAACTGGTGGTGCTTGTTCAAAGTCATCGTCTGTAAAATCTTCTTCTTCTTCTTGCATAGCTGGGAGAGTCGGGCTCTCTGATATAAATTCCATCAAGTCACTTAATGATATAGCTGAATTGTTTCTCTGGGTACGGCGACCCACGTTTCCAGTATAAAGACTTGTTTGTCTAGGTCTCTGCGCAGGTTGTGTATGGCTATGAAAATGTGCAGGATGTTGCTGTGATGGTGTTTGGTACTGTTGCTTTTCCCTAGCAACTTCGCGCGAAATTATATTTGCGTCAATTAAGTTAATCATATCCATTTTTTCTTGAACCAAATTAGAAAACACTTCAAGTCGCTCATTCATGAAAAACTCCCACATGGCAACATGTCCTGAAATGGATGTGGCCATGACGTAAAAGGCATCCTTGTAGTAAAGTCCTCGTGAGACATCTTCAGGCTCGGTATCTATAAACTCCACATCAGGAATATTATGTGGCAAAAACGGTGAGATTGCCAATGGAGCAGTCTTAATTGTTTTTCTTCTTCTTCTTCTTCTTCTTCTTCTTCTTCTTCTTCTTCTTCTTCTTCTTCTTCTTCTTCTTCTTCTTCTTTGTCTTTGTCTTTTTCTTTTTCTTTGGGATTAAAAATTCGGTCTAGCGAGTAGATGTAAACGCGACCTTCGTTGCATGAAACAGCGAGCAGGTTAAACCGCTTATGGATAGCCAACCCCCATGCTGATTTGGGGAGCTGATAAATTACCGAAGGTTTCAGTTTCTTTAAAATGATCATGTCTCGACTCAAGGGTGTTTGTTTTTTCTTACGGAAAAAAAGCAGACTTGCCTTAAATTTTTCATAGAGATCATAAGTATCCCAAACCAAGGCGCGGCCATTATCGCATGCCGCCACAAGAACCTCGCGCTCATTATCGCGCAAAAAGCCTAGTGTCATGTGGGTGATATTGTGGGGTTGGCCTGGTATATTTGCAGCCTCGCGCATAAGGTCTGTTGTTTCTGCGGGCCGAGTATCAAACTGGAAAACAGGAACCGGCTCAAGAACTCCCGTGGGTCCGTCCCAGCCATGGACTTTTATACTAGAACGGTCTGCTATAAAAACCATTGGGTAAAGGTTGGATGCTGAGGCAATGTTGTTCATGAAAGGTGGATGACTATCTGTTGATAATTTCTGAGCACCTTTAAACACTAACGATAATGAACTGTTGTATGCAAAAGCAGGCTGGACCTCGATTTTAATGTCCTCCTTGTGGTATATGTCCTTGAGATCGTCAATCAAAGTTCGTAAACTGAGCGGATCAATTTTAGAAAAACAGAAATTGATACGCTCAGTGGTTTCTCCTTCGCTACTGTTTGAGTGGCGTTGAATAATTTCGTTGAGCGGCCGTCCCAAAAAACTTTCTGAGCGAATTCCCACGTTGTAAGAGAAGTGGTCGAGCTCTTCTGACATGGCCAGAGGCCCTGTAAAAGCACTAAATTCGGACGCGTCAAGCTGTGGAGACTCAGGATCAGAATCCGAGTAGTAGTAAGTATATGAATCATTGAAATCACTGGTTCCAGCCCATGTCGGTTCCTGGGGATCCGGAGCAGGCTGTTGTGTGTGGTGCTGGATAGTTGCGCTCATTGCTTACAGGTGATGTTGTCTTTAGAAGTCATTTGGTTTTAGTTTTAGTTTTAGTTTTATAATTTTGGTAGAAAAGCTGCAAAAACAAAAAAAAAAAAAAAAAATCCAAAGCGGCTGCTTATCTGTTGGTTTCTCTCAACTCTCCCACGTGACAACAAGCCTTCTACTGGCACGTCCGCGCGAACCCCCGGGAAAAAAAAGTGGCTTTCACCAAACGTTTTTTTTTTCTGCTTCTTTTCAATCCCTCCCCTCTTTCTCTATCTCGTTCCGCTCTTCAAACAAACCCTTCTTCTAAGACCTTTCAAATGTCTCACCGGCTTGTCCGCCTGGCTTCCAAGACCCTTAAAACCACGTTTGTGGGGCTCCAGAATTCGGTACTTGGCGTCGACCAGTTTCGCGGCATCCAGTTTGGCGAAATCCACCGCCGTTGGACTGATCCACGACTTGTAACAACTTATCCAACCCCAACCTACGATGCAACCCGGTACGGTCCCATTGCACCACAGCCGCCAGAGGATGTCCACGGGTACTATGCAGTCGAAAGCTCCGTAGCACTTCCCTTTGAAGAATTTAAAATTCAAGATGAGTTTAAGCTTTTGAACCTTACAATTACTCGTCCCACAACGGCGGCAGGGAACGAAAAAAAGCTACCAGTGGCTGTGTTTATTCATGGCGGATCTAACGCAACAGGTTCCGCAGCAAACCCACTATATGATCCTTCCAAACTTGTTGCGAGGTCAATAGAAATTGGCGAGCCCATCATTGTCGTGAGTCTGCAGTACCGGCTAGGTGCATTAGGGTTTCTTTACATTAATGGGCAGGGCAATTGGGGGCTCAAGGACCAGCGTGTTGGGTTGGAATGGGTGAATCGATTTATTTCCGAATTTGGCGGAGATACTGAAAACATTTCTGTTTATGGGTTGTCTGCAGGTGCTTGCGACGTGTATTACCAAACGCTTATTTCGGCCATGGCACCTAAAGACCAAAAGCCTCTGTTCCACCGGGTCGGCATGATGAGCGGTGTGGGAAACACAATGCGGTTACTTTCGATAGAGCGTCAGAAAAAAAACACCTTGGAAATGTACAAGCACTTGATCGGGCCTTCTAAAGATGAAAAGTCTGTAGATTTAGAGCTGCTGGAAAAGTTACCTGTGGAAAAGATTGTTGAATACGGGCTTGACCATAATGGGATCATCAAAGTTTGGTTTGGAACCGCTGATGGAGATTTATTCCCCACAGATATGGATCTTATCCCAGATACCGCAACCGCGTTCCCGGAATCAGTTCTGGTCAGTGATACCAAAGATGAAGGGTTGCTCATTAAGGAGTTTGTCGATACAATTGACAAGGACAAGCTGCACTCGACACTTAAAAGTTTAGATCCTGTAGGCCCCAAAATTGCAGCAACTTATGGCATCAGCAACGATATGCACGATGGAGTCATGAGTTTTTACGCGGATCACTTGTTTAGCTACCCGATCCACCAGTTTGCCGAGTACTTGTCAAACAATACGAAATCAGCAGTGTACCGCACCTGCTTCGATACCTTGAACCCGTTCAATGAAATATTTGGTGCCCAGCACGGTGTAGATATCTTGTACCTGTGCGGAACCTATGTCGGGCTTCATCCAAATACTCACACAAAAGCGCGTGCCGTGTCACAACAACTCCAGGATACATGGATTCGGTTTTTTAATACGGGTCGTGCGTGGCAAGATGCCACTAAAGTATGCCATTTTAAACAAGACTATACAAAGGAGTATTTAGATGTTGCAGGGTTAGAGAAAACACGTCGGCTCGGACACTTTGAGGTCCATGACAAGGTCGGCTACAAGGGCATGGCCCATGCTCTTGGAAACATTTTCAAGTTATAATTATAGATTTGACATTTTATTTGCAAAGAAAATATTGATAAAAAAAACACCCCTCTCCTTTCAACTACGAGTATAAGACCGTCGTCGCTCTTCAACCTCAAGTTTCATTCTATTTTCCATTTCTTTGCGCAATTGAGTCAAAGTCCGTAGACGTTTTTCCACAATCCTACGACGCATCGCAACACCCAGCCACACACGAATTGTTAGGGCACAGCCTGACGACAAAACAAGCTGGGACAGAGGGAGAGTTCCAAACAGATACTGGAGCGCAATTCCAGGCCAGCGAACACGGGCAGTAATGTGAGAAACAGGAGGGTGCAGAGAAGCGAAATAACACCGACATGCACGGGTCCATAGCGTGGCGCGCACCAGGTACTGTATGACAAATGGGAGACTTGCGAGAACGACACAACCTTCAAATACAAGGTACAATGGGAGGCCAAGGAAAGTTGGAGAACAAGTTTTGTTTTCTTCGTCTTCGTCTTCTTGGGAAAAAAGTGAATGGGAATCAGAAAGTTTGGGAGAAAGAGCAGACGCAGGGACCTCGCATGAAGGAGTGGTAACAATCTCCTCGCCAATTTGGAAAACACGAACACCCAATATAGCAAACAGAAACAGACACAGTAACTTTGCCGTCGAACATAGCGTGTATGTGTTTTCCCATAGAGGACGTAGGGTACAGCCATAGGTTGTACGCGGTGCCAAGGAATCAAAAGAGTCCCCCACGCACGACCACATCTCGGCCACAGTTTCGGCTACAAGCTCATCAAAACGAGACGACAAGCCGTGCGTGAGCATGATACGGGCCCGTGGAATTGTGCGGTCTGCACAAAGAATCCTTGTACCAGCAGCATCAACCACGACGCAATGGGTCCCCGAGAAGTAAATGGTGAACGCTGGGCGTGGCCATTGCTCTAAGTCCAAGGCACGGTCAAGTTGCGACCAAAGGTCTGTAGAGTTGTGCAGTTGAGAAGTCGATTGCCAATGAATAGTGGTGGTAGTGGTGATGGTATGAGGTTGCACTAATCTTGTGGAAGAATTTGTATCTGGTGCTGGGAGCAGCGCAGATGCAAACAGTGTGTATGCAGCGCGGTCCATTGCCGGGACTGAAACTCGGAACGTTGTTGAAAGTACACGAATTCGAGTGCCCGAGGATTTTGCCGCGTAATTGTAGGCAAACGCAGCGGCGGCCAGGGTTGTTAGAGATAGTGCAGTGAGGAGAGCGAGTTTTGCAAGCAGGAGTGGGTTACGAAGGTTGCGCCGGGTTCGTGTCCAAACCCTCGAGGGAAGCGACCTTTTGCAAGGGTGGTGGGCACCGTAGGTAATTGCAATATCTGCGTCTGCGAACGGGTGTGAGACTAGGGAAAAAAAGGATCCCAGAGTTCTCAAAAGGTGCATTTGGAGAGAGGCAAGAAGGGAAACAAGAAGTACTTGAGAGGTGTGGTAAAAATATTCCTCAAATATTCAACTTTTTTTTTTTTTTTTTTTTTTTTCTAGGAGGGGGTTTCATTTCAAGGCAAGTCTTTCACCATTTATACAACAAATCCATCAATATTAAGCATGATTTGCATAAACTACGTTTTTTTCTTTTTTTATTTTTTTGTAAAAATACATTCATCTAAAATATTTGCATGAATTCAAGGTGTTTTTCTATTTTTATAGCTTGGCCTAAACTTTGGCTCCTATTTCAGTTTCTGTGTTTTTTCCACTTCTCGGCGAACAAGTTCTGCGGCTTCCGCCATCATGTCGTCGCCCACACGCCACATGCGTAAAACGACTCCTGGAGGTAACCGAGCACGCGCGCTGTGCACACGTGCCTTCCAGCTTTCAATTCGTCGGTCGAGCAGATCATAAAAGTCGTCTTGGGCAGAAGACATTACCACAGGGTTAGTCACGCTTGTGCTACGCCTAGAAATGGGTGTCGGAGGTGCCAGAGAAGAAGACGATGATGATTGCGATGATGATATAGGAAGGTTTCTGTGGGAAGGTCCTGCAAATGTTGCACTTCGAGTTCCCCGTGAAAGTGGAGGAGGTGGAGGAAGGTTGCTAGAGTCAATGATACCACGGGATTTGCTGTTGACGACAAGATTTGTGTCTGGACGTTTAGGCAACGGTGGCGGGACATCTCCAGCAGGTTTGGAAATAGTAGATTTGGAATCATCAAGTTTAAGGTCTAGAGCAGGTTTTTTGGCATCAGAGTGGAGTTTATTTTCGGTCCGAAGTTTCTCAGGTTTGGGAGGGATTTTAGGTGGTTTTCTAGGGGCTCGGAGAGTTGATGCTGGAGCCGAAGCCAAAATAGGTTCAGAGGATGCAGGAGTTGAGGTTTGAACTGAGTCTTCAAGATCAATCAAAGGTGGAGTGGGGGCCTTGGATCTAGGAGGCAAAGGTGGTGGTACATCTTGGCATTGAAGTACTTCTTTTTCTTTTTCTTTTTCTTTTTCTTCTTCTTTAGAAATAACATCGTGTTTTTTAAATCTCGGTGGATCGTATCGGTCAATTTCTGAAGGTCTTGGAACAAAATTTCTTTTAAAGAGTTCAACGTCACTGTCACGTTTGGCAATGTGGGTTGTGTCATCTTCAGGAAGCGTTATATCGCGGATAAAGATGCCCATGATTTGGTCCGGGAAGTGGGAGGTGACATCAATGTACGCTTCAAGATCGCCTTCACCAGAGTCGCCAATCAAAATAAACCGGCGGTGGGGGAAATCGCTTAGAATCTTATGCAGGTTCTGCTTCTTTTTTTCAGCGGCAGCTTCAAAAATCCCGCCAATAAAGCCTGTGTAAGTTTTAAGATGGAAAGAACCTTGAGGGAAGCCCGAAGAGTTGATAAATTCCTTGATTGTTGGGAACAGTTGCCAGGGAGAGTTGGAGACATAGTGGAACGAAGCGCCAAGTTGACTTAAGCGCTGGTAGCACTCAAGGACTCCTGGGATTTGAATTTTCTTGTAGTCGTAAACAAAGACGTTTCTAAAAATGTCACGTTTGCCGCCGAGAATGCCTGTAATCTTGATGGTATCGTCAATATCGGAGATGACACTGACACCTGTTGGTGGGTATACTGGGACATCAATTTCAGCATGCTTGATGCCGCCAGAAATAACACGTGCGTAGACTGGTTGGAAGTCTAGCCGGATACGGGTGGTAAAGCGGCCGGCATTGTTTGTTGTTGTAGAATGGTCGTTGGAGACCTGTCCAGAGGCGGAGTATGCCTCAATTTCAATTTCGCGATTAGGGACGGAACGTGCGAGAAATGGTCTCATACGGACATCGAGGGGATCACTGAGGCGATGGTTGGACGATAGTTTAGTGTAGTCTACTGAAGAAGATATTGATTCGGATTCCGTGCGGACGGTTTCCAGATCGTTAGTCAGGTTATCTAGAGTTGCTGAGGAAGATAACGAGGAATTGAGTGAAGATGTTGACGAATGGTCTTGGGATTCGTAAAATCTAAAGTTTGCAGCAGATGAAGTTGCTGGCTGTGTACGAACGCCTGCGATTTTGCGTGCGGTGGACATGAGGATTTTAGTTCTATTGTTTTGGAGAGGTGGTAAGGACACGCAGCCTCTGACATCGAGCTCGAAATCGCCATCTTCAGTTTGACGGCAGTATGACGGGTAAATAAGCAGAGATTCATCTTCAGAGGGTTCTATATATTTTGAAGAGGAAGATGAAGATGATGAAGATGATGATAAAACACCTCCAGGGAGCTCACGCGATGTGGCGTGACCTGCAGAAATGATGCGTGATATTTGGCGAGAAAAGGAGGCATTTGCGTGTTTGGTGGCAAAGTTATTGACTACAGATTCAGCTCGTGATTTCCAACCTGAAAGCGAGGAAGGTTTATTTGATGACGAAGGTAGTGAGGGTTCTTCATATTGGTCTGGAGGATAGTCTTGTGAAGGTATTGAAGAGGGTTCTGAGGTTAGTGCAGAAGTCACCGATTGATTACGAGAGCGAGGTGGAGGAGGAGGGGGGGGAGGAGGAGGGGTAGCAGCGTTTTGGGAACGTCTTGGCGGCGGCGGTACAGGTGGTGCTGCTTGCTGAGCAGATGGTACAGGGGAAGAAGAGTCCCGGTGCAGAGTGTCCTGGTCAAAATCACGCGAATTAGTAGCTTCGACGTAGTGGTTGAGAGACATTTGAGAGTTTGCAAAAGCGGTGGGTGTACGGAAAATTCGGCGGAGGGAACGAGCACGGCGGGGGGTTGAAGACTGTGATGAAGGTGGTGGTGAAGGTGGTGGTGGTGAAGGTGAAGGCTGTTGTGAAGGCTGTTGTGAAAGTGGTAGGTGAGGGTGGTGGGTTGTATGGGCAGGTGGTATAAAATGGTGCGTGGTAGATGACGGTGCGTGATGGTGGGGATGGTTTTGAATGGAAGAAGACAAAGATATATAGGACCCAGGTTCAAGAGCTGGTGACGATGAAGATGATGGTGATGGTGAGGGTGACGATGACGGAGCTTTAGAAGATGGTATTTTAGAAGATGGTGCTTTGAAAGATGGTGCTTTGAAAGATGGTGCTTTCCGAGCAGCTGCTGCGATTTGGGATGCTGGTGGCGGGAGGATTCCAGTACGTCTTAGTCGAGAAAAAACAGCGTTGAAGCGCCAAAACCAATGGACGGGTGTTGGATTTGAGCTATGGAAAAACCGAAGATGAGAGTTATTGTTATAGTAAAGCAAGACCGGGACCCGGGACTTGAATGATTTGCTTGAGACTTTGACAAGCATTTGTTTAAGGTTGAAGAATAGTAAAAAAAAAAAAAAAAAAAGAAAGTTGATTGAAAGAAGGTGTTTTTTATTATTATTGAGAGAAATTATTTAAAAGAAATAAAAGATTTAGATTTTCAAGTCAATTTAAAATAAAATAAAATATAAAAAAAAGAAGCCAGTCTTTTTATTTTATTTTAAACCAAAATTAATTGATTGATTTTATTTGATTTGATTCGATGAATTTTAAAACTAAAAAAAAAAAAAAAAAAAAAAGAGAAATAAATAAACAGCAGCTCTTTTTTGCTTATGAAAAAAAAAATCCGCGCTTTTTAGATTCCAAAAAACTTCTCCTTGATGTTAGAAATGTTTGATTTTGATTTGATTGAAAAGTGAAGACAAAATGAATGCCCTTCAGAAGAACCTCAGAGGCTTTAAGGCACACGCACGTGGGTAACTTTACCAGCAATGGTATGTGTCTGTGTGAGTGTGTCTGTGGAGATGGAATCAAGTAAAGTAAAATGTAAAGTGGGAAGCAAAGCAAAGCAAAGAAAAGCAAATCTACTCAATTAACAACAATTAAGAAAATTAAAAGACCGGGACTCAAAACTCGGGACTCGGAACTTTTAAAAAAAAAATATACAAATTATTAATAAAAAAAAAAAGTCACACACAAATCGCTTTTACAAAATAACAAGTTTAAATCATTAAGAAAGAAAGAAAGGGGGGGAAAAAATGAAAAAAAAAATGCTCTAGTGAGTGAATGAAACTCCCCTCCTGTCTCACTCATCCGCAGACGACCGGCGCCGCATAAAACTCAAAAACGACTTCTTCTTCTTCAACTTATCTCCATCTCTCTCCCTACTACCACTCCTATCCTTACTACTCGTATTAGAAGGAACTGACAATAACCCATGTCCTATACCACTACCAGGGCTTCCTCCACGAGATAAAGACAATGTGTTGGAAATAGACCGTGACAAAGAATGGCCACTGCGGGACCGTATCCGAGATCTATTGTCCGACACAATTGGAACAACAGGATCATATCCTTCAGGTGCTTCTTGATCACTATTATCATCATCATCATTATCACCATTGCTAGATCCATTTTTGCGCGGAGTCACCTTCATGCTATATGTTTCCGAAACAGTAGTATTGGTGCCGCTCATACTAACGCCGTTTGTCATTTCCTTAGATTGAGCTTGTTCGGTTGAAACTTTATTTTTATTATTATTATCATCATCAAACAATGATTTGTAGTTCTGACGCATATCCTTCTCATCGTCAATAAACTCGTTAACGTTAATGTCGGGTCTTGACGTTAGATACGTCATGAAGTTATAATCGCCAAGAGTTGTGTTAGCACTGCTGCGCCTCCGCAGCCCAAATCCAATCACTGTGTCTTCTTCTACATCACCAGCCTTATCATCAATCTCCTTTTCACCTTCGCCAGTGATGGTGATTACTGGGGCTTGACAAGTATCCTTCTCTGGGGATTTGATTTCAACCCCAACTGTTTCTTCATTTGTTGTAGTCACAGTCAAAAGAGGGGTGGCTTCAGGAGCTTTCACAGTAGTTGTAGAGGTTGCTTTTGCTGCACCTGTTTCTCCAGTTGCTGTTGCTGTGGCTGCTGCTGCTGCGGATTCCATTGCAGCTGCCTTTCTCTTCTTTTGCTCATTAAATGTTGTTTCAAACAACGGACTCAATTCACCCAACCGAACAATGGGAGTCTCGACCAAATGTGGATTCTTATCAAGCATTTCCTGCACAAGCACAATGACCGGCACAGGCGAGTGGTTAATTAAAAAGTTGGACAGTGTATTCTTTTTAGAAACGTAGCGCATGACATTATGGTACTGCTTGATGGAAGTGCCCACAACCACAATTGCTGGCTGGTAAAGCAACATTGCTTGGCGCACAATATGCTTAACACTACCAACAGATAGTTCCACAATGACATTAATTTTCTTGACACTAGAGTCAACCACCGTGTGGACAATAGAAGTCAGGAGTTCTTCGGCATGTGTGCGGTAAAAGGTTTCCGGATCTTTGGGATTGGACTCCTTTTCAACCTTGAGGCAAAGCAACTCGTCACCATCCTCCATCAGGTGGTCTACTAGCCACTGAAGGGCTTTACGGGATGCAGACACCGAAGAAAGAGCACATAAAAACGTGCGAGAACCATAAGTTTCTTGAAAATCCTCATGTTTAGAAGATAGAGAAAAAGACTGTAATTGTTGCTCGTCTGCAGGCGCATCCCCATTAGCAGAATTGGAAGTGGAGCCATGTGCTGCGGCTGCAGCCATCAAGGCGGTTGAGAACGAAGGTCTAGAAAACCAGTTGTACGATTGTGGAGGATTATAATATTCGACATTGATGGTATCAAAGGCAACTCTTCTAAAAAATGGAGTGTCTTCTAAAGCCTCTTCTTCTCTATCCTCGTCCGTTTCGTCGCCATCATCATCATCATCTTCAATTGCACTTTCATCTGCAACAGCAGCTGCGGCTTTAGTTTCGTCAGAAACCCCCGAGGGACTGTTTTTGGATGATGACCTGCGGCTGGAATTGGACCACGTTTTGCTGAGCTTGCGTGAGGGGTCCGAGCTATTTGCGCGCGACATGCTACTGGAACGGCTATTTGCAGCCGAGATGCGACGACGGGATGAGTTGCGTGACCGGTCAAGGCCTGCTCCGGCACCATCTGGGGAGTGCATTTCTGTGTCTTCTGAGCGACGGCGAAATAAAAGGGAATTGGATGCTGTATTAGAAAGAGTTCGTTCATAGGTGGATTGACGAGAAACTTTAGGATTTGGAGTAGGAGGTTGTTGAGGAAGAGGTGGGACTGTTGTGGAAGTTGAAGGAAGTTGGCCGGGAGGATTTGATTCGACGGTGGTAGAGTCTAGCATAGACCCGACGGATGCGACGGGAGTAGCTAGTGCAGCCGAGGCCGATGTGGCTGGAGGAATAGGTGTTGAAGAAGAGGAAGAAGAGGAAGAAGCTGGGGTTGCGGGTACAGCAGTAAGGGTAGCTGTGGTAGTAATTAGGGGGTCTACATTTGGAGATGAATATTCTGGAGATCCGGTTGAGTCAATGATTGCACTTGAAGAATCAGAAGGTTGATGTTGTTGTTGGTGCTGGAGCTGTTTGCGGAGCTTTTCAATATTTGGTTCGAGAAAAGACACCGACATGGTATAAGTAATTGTGATTATTTAGATGAGAGTGGGTTTTTTTTTTATATTTTTTTTTTTAATAATAGTATTTTATATAGATGTCAAGTTTTTTTTTTTAGTTTTATTTTTATAGAAATTTATTGATTATAAAATATAAAAAAAAATAAAAATAAAAGGTCAAAGTAGCATTTTTGTAATTTAATTAAAATTCTGGAATCTTTTTTTTTTTTTTTTTGGAAGGACAGGGTGGAGTATTTATATTGTTTTTTTTTTTTTAATAAATGTGTCGAGTGCAGAAAGTCGGTTTCCCAGATGAGTTAATTAGGCTGTGAATAGAAAATTAATTATTAGCCCACACATTTTGTTTGTCCATATAAGTATATAATAAATATGAATATATTTAATGAACATATGAACATATGAATTTTATATGAATTTTATATAATAATAATTTAAATCTTATTATTTTTATTATTTTTATTGTGTGGCAGCGGCAGCGGCAGCGGCATCATCAGCCTTATGTTATGTAAATGCTGACTCATATTTTCTGTGGGGCTTGGCGACAACGTACCATAACAACCACCACCTGAAGAACAAAAAAAAACAAAAAAACAAAAAAACAAAAAAAAAATCTACGCAGCACCCACAAAAGCGGCTGCCTGCACGTGCCACCACAGTTAAAGTCACACTTTAAATCAAAGATAAAAACGAGGTAACTTAAGAGTTTTTGTTGATTTTTTTGTTATATATATTTCTATTATTTTTATTATTAAAACCTACAAATTATTATAAAAATAAAATGCGGGGAAAAAGTTTTAAAGAGAATTTTTTTTTTTGTTAAAACTCACTTTGAAAAATAGAACCTATTATTATTTTAAGATAAAAAAAAAATAAAATAAAATTTAAATAAAATTAAATTAAAAAGAATAAAGTAGTTTTCTTTTATCAAAAGAGGGGAAATTTTGTATGTCAAAGGAGGGGCTCTCAGGGGTGGCTTTTTTTTTTTTTTATTTTTTATTTTCTAAAATATATCAAAGTTATTCTAAATAAAATAATTAACTTACCAGGTAATTAATTTAATTATTCTTTTTGAATTTATTTTTTTATTATTTTGTTTTGAATTTCTCCACAAAAAAAAAAAAAAAAATCTACACAGAAATGCTGAAAATCCTCATTTTAAATAATAATTATATTAAATAAACAGGCCATTTATCTAATCAAAATAAAAAAAAATAAAATCTTTGTTTTGTTTAAAAAAAAAAAGCACGTTTTATTATTATTATTATTATTTTTTTTTTGTACTTCTCTAATTTTAAAATCTCCCATTGATGAAATAATCGGATTCAATCACTTCATTATTTTTACTTTTTAATTTATTTTTATTTTCTTTTTTTGTAATAAGGTCTTTCTGGTATTTTGTATATATATAATAATATAGTGTCTTAGTAATAATATTTAGATAACACAATTTTTTTTTTTTAGTATTGAACATTATTATTATTATTATTATTATTATTATTGGTAACAAACATCAATTCCGGATTTCTGGCTTTTTTTTTTATTTTTGAAGGGAAATTTTCCCGGTTGGCTTGCTTCTTCTTTTTCTTCTTCTTTTTCTTATCATCATCTTGGAAAATAAAAAAATTAAATTAAATAAAAAAAATGGTTCATTGACTCGAGACACTTTGAGTCTTGGCTATATACATGTATATATATATATTTTTTTAGGGCTTCAGTCGCTAAGTTTGCCGTGGAAACATACCAAGAAAAGCCCATTCTTTAGAGAACAATAGTATTTGGTATTTGTGTGGTAGTAGTAGTATTGGTAGTAGTAGACACCTCTTTTATTTTATTTTATTTTTTTGGAGGAATTTTTCCGTAGTCATATCACTCAATGCTAATAATAATAAAAAATGAGATTAATGGAACTTCAATCTTGATCACCATTTAATAATAATAATCAAACCAATAAAAAAAAAGGAATAATTCTAAACTTTTAAACTCGTGTCATTGCCTAGACACTTGAAAATGTAAAGTCTGCCACTTTATAGTAATTCTACAAAAAAAAAAAGAAAAATCTTATTATCCTTCGGAAATGCCCTCTCTCTCTCTCATAAAATCTAATAACTTACCAATCCAAGTAACTCTTTTTTCACAAAACACTCGTACCCGTAACCATGGTGATAATCGCCACAAAACATAGCCACTCCTATGGCTCTCTTCTACTTCCTCCTAATTTCTCTGTTCCAAACACCAAATTCTACCATCTCCTGTTCTATTCTTCTTCTTCTTTTTTTTTCTATTTTCTAAAATAAAGAATAATAAAAAAAAATTATATATATATATATATATATATAAATATATAATATAGTAATAATCATCCCATTTAATCATTACAACTTCTCTCAAATACCCAATTTAAAACTCATTTAGTCCAATGCATCATCATCATCATCATCATCACTAACTACCATTAAATGGCATGCGAATCTCCAAAGGGGTCCTCCTCATCTTCATCAGCAGGTCTACGGCTCTTACCCTTGCTACTATGACCCCCGCCACTGCTAGAGCTACCGCCACCTCCACCTCCCTCTTTCAAATTCATCCGAGCCATTCTATCGCTCTCCACCTTCCAGTCATCTTCCTCATAATCACTATCCGCAGACCCATCTGAATCTGAATCATAATCTGCTGGTCGACTCATCTTATCATATTCCTGCAGTGCCCCAACAAGCTCATCATTGGCATGAATCAGCGGGCCAATAAATTCCTCACTTTCAATCGAGTGAATGTATCTCAAAACATGCTTACGCAATGCACGGCACTTGTTAAAGCATTCCGTTGCCTTCGGATTCTGAGTCGAAAGCTCCTTCTCCCAATTGATCAACTGCAATGCATTATTCAGGTTGGTTGCTGCAGATCCAGACTCAGCAAGAACTTTTTGAATCTTAGGCCGCTCAGTCGTCAAATTGATTTTTCTCACAGTTTGCTTCTTAGACTGAGAATGGTGGGATGTGGTATGAGAAACAGGTTTAGGCTTTGAAGAGCTCGGTGGAATCGGAGGTGCCCGCAAAGATGAAGAAGACGACCCATAGCTTCTATCATCATCATTATCATCGTTATCATCGTTATTATTATTATTATTATTATAATCATTGTCCTTCCCATTTCTATCATAAGTCTCTCCACGTCTTCTTGCATCCCGCTCCTCTTCCTCATCTCCATAATCCTCCTCAAGATCCCGAGGATCGTTTGATAGATACTTAGGTTGTGGTCGTGGTTTGCGCACTCTCATGGGAACTTGCTTGTGTAAAGCCACTAGCCGCTCACATTCGCGCCGTCCACGCAAATCTTGTGCCCACACAGCAAACATGCCTTGTGCTCGCACCTTGACTTTCTTTGGAGTTGACTGATCAGTCACGAGCAACCGCAGCCGTTCTAGCAGGTACTCATCACAGTACAGTGGGGTCAATGATTTGCCGCCATTTTGAATCAGTGCATCAAGTAACTATTAAAAAATTTTATATTGTCAGTTTCAATTTTTTTTTTATTTTTTTTTTCGTTTTTTATGCATTAAATTGAATTTTAATACTTACAATAAGAGCTCGAAGTTGCTCATGAACATTGCCGTATTTTAATTTTTTGCGAATAGCACGTGCAGCCTCCGTTGGTCTATTAAAGCAAATAATAAATAGTGGTGTTTGCGCGCGGTTAGATAAGGAGGGGAAACAAACACAGTTTTAATATACTAACCCAGTAGACTGAATGCTAATAATTTCAACAAGCTCAACAATCTCTGCAACATCATCTTCAGGGTAATTCTGAGATGTTAAGCGGTCAATCGTTGCTGTAACGGCCGTGTAAGGTTTATCAGATAAAAAGCCCATTGTTTGGGGGTAATAGTGGTGGTGATGATAGTATATAAGTTTTTAAGTTTTATGGTGGTGGTGGTGGTGGTAAAGAAAAAAAAGGGGGGAAATTGGAATGGCGCAATTTTATATGAAACAAAAAACCAAATTTTCAAAAAGAAAGAAATTAAAATGAAAATAAAAATAAAAAAATAAAAAAATTCAATAAATAGGAGAACTTTATCTAAACTCACTTCCTTAGAAATGGTTATAGATTTATTTCAAACTTCAAAAATCTATAAAAGATGATGATAGCAAGAAGAAAAAGAAGAGGGAAAAGGAATGTGGAAAACGTAGTAGCCACCAAAACAAAAACACAAAAAATTTTTGATAGAAGCCAAGTTAATCTTTGTTTGCGAGAGTTAAATAGACTGGTATTACAAAAACAAGTAAACTAAGCCGGGTAATGTTAGTATCAATTCAAAAGAACCTTGAAGTCTTTTCTTCTATTCAAACAGTTGAAATACACCAGTCTTTCAATCAAAAATCAAAAATCAAAAATCAAATATCAAATATCAAATATAAATTATATAGAACTTAAACTATGTTTCAATGTTTAATATTTTTTTTCTTTTATTTAACATTATTAATTTTTTTTTTAAATAAATTTACAAATAACTTAAAGAATGAAAAAAAAATGAAAACGTCCCCGATCCAGACAATTGTACACTTAAATGTCATTATCGTTAAGAGTTAATCTTTACCCCTTTTTTTTTTTTTTTTTTTTTTACAAGATTTGACGAGCAATACCGGCACCTCCCAAAGTCGAACTAGTCATAAACTCTTGGCCCTTAATTGCTGCCAAACCGTAACATAAACTCGCCAACGTAAACATGATTGCAATCGCCAGTAACGATGTGACCATAGCAGCACACGACACATACTGAATAGCTGCCATTCTAAATATACATTTGAAATAATCTTTTGTTAGAAAAGTGTGTATTTCTAGTCACGTTCACATCAAAATCATGACAAAAAAAGAAAATATGCCAGTTATATAGCATATAAAATTTTGACAAAAAAAAAATACTTACAAAAGGTAGAAACCAGCTCGAGGCAAGTTTTGGTTAAAGCCTTTTATAAAATTGATGAATCGATCTGTCAGGGGACAAATCTTTAAAAGGAAAGGAATTTCCACAAATATGACCACAAGACCTTGAACTCTAGATTAAATTATTAGTATACCCCAGATCAATAATTAATAATAACCAAAAAAAAAAAAAAACATTGTTTTGTTGTAGCAATCACTTACATGGCCACAATTGAAAAGGCAATGACCCAGTTGACATGGAAAATATTGGCAATCCCCAGCGCAATGCACAAGATAATATTGATAATGGCAATCCTCAATCACATCCACAAGCCGGTTAGAACAAATGTTTTGATAAAAAAAAAACACGGGTTTAACGCGATATTTGACAAAGATTAAACTTACCATTGGCCATAGATACTATAATACACGTGTTAAAACTGTAATATATATATATATATATAGAAAAATAACCTAACAACACAAATCACCATTTTTTTTTCCAAAATACTTACCTGAAATTTCGCGTCTGTAGTTCTTCTTTAAGAGTCATTGTTGCTGAATACTAATGTCTTGACGTGTTTTTAACAGAAAATACAAGAATAGTGGTAGAGAAGGAGGACAAAATTAAAAAGGGGATCGCTGGTGGGGAAGCCACTAACTACAGCGACTACGCAGTGTGTTATTGTGGCACGTATGCCACAGGGTTAGGTTTTGATTACAACCTGGTTTGATTTGAATTTTCAAACCTCGATTTGGAAATGAGAATGGGTTTATAAATTTGAAACTTTGGAAAATTAGAACAAACTTTTTGTTTTTTTTATTTATTAAAAATTTATTATTATTTTCATTATTATTATTATTATTAAGTCATTACATGGTTGGTCATTAAAAGTCAGAGAGATCTTCATCAGGAAGCGTCTCAATCATAACTGTGCTCTTCTTCTTAGGAGAAGGCTTAGGAGCTGTGGCATTAGCAGAACTAGTGGAAGGCTTAGTCACAGGCTTGAGCAAAGTCTTCAGCTCAGAAACCAAAGCCTCCACCTTGTCTGCATAATTCACAGCCCTGCCAGTCAGCTGGGCCTTGAATCGCTTGCACTCAGGATCTTCAATTCTCAATCCGTCCAGCTGCTCGTACAACTTCTCGAGCTCCATCTGGGCACGTTGCAAGACATTCAATCGTGAGTTCATGCGATTGTATTCCTCACTATCTGATAGTTCCTCAGAGGAGACTGATCCGGAAGCCTTGTGGATGCGGTCATAAACATCCACATTGTGCTGGATCTTCTTGTTGATTGTTTCCAAAGTGGATTTAAAGTTCTTGACTGGCTGTTCAGCAACTTTAACTGGAGATTCAGTCTCAACAAGTTTAGTTTCAGCTGGGGTTGTCTCAACTGACTTGGTTTCGACTGGTGCAGCAAAAGGAACAGCTTCCTCTTCTTCCGTCAGATCTTCATCCTCTTCTTCACTGACGTCATCTTCATTTTCAGTCTCAGAGTCCTGAGCAAGGGAGTGCATTATAACATCTTCCTGCCTCTCTACTTCCTCAGGCTGTTGCTGAACTTGTTCTTGTTCTTGTTCTTGCTCTTCTTCTTCACTTTCAAATTGATCATAAGGAAAGCCAAAGAACTGGTCAAAGAAAGATGCAGGAACACGGTTGTTTGTGCGTTGGCAAGCAAACGGCGATGCTTGAATGCGAGTGTTAGGTGACTTGCGAACCTGCTGTGTCTTCTTCTTCTGTTGTTGCTCAAAGTAAATTTTGCGAGCACGCTCTTGTTGTCTTTGAAGAGCAATGGAGCGTTGGCGAGCTTCAACCTCAGCGCGGGCTCTAGCTTGAGCTTGAGCTTGAGCTTCAGCCTTGGCACGGGCCTCAGCTCTAGCTTGGGCTTCTGCACGAGCTCTGGACTCAGCTGCAGCAGCCTGTTGCTGGCGGTAGTAGTATTGTTCTCGTGCCAACTGCTGTTGTCTTGCGTACTGTTGTCTAGCATACTCAGCCTCGTAGGGGTCCTGGAAGAAGGGCGACGACGAGCACTGGCGTCTAGGATTGTAGTAGCTGTAAGGAGAAACGAACTGCATTATTAAATAGTTGTTTGTTTGATTAATTGGTTGATAGATGATTGTTTGAAATGATTGTTTGAAATAATTGTTTTTGATGATGATGAGAAAGAAGAAAGGAAAAAAAAAAAATTTCAACTTGGTGGACCTTTGGTCTTCCTTATATAGGCAAGGAAAGACCTTGATATCGAAGGTAGTTCATGAAGATTGTGGAGTATTCGAGAACACGGAAAATTCCACAAAGTTGTGGCAACTTCTAGAACGTTCTTTGTGGTTCTGGCATAAGGCTGACTAAAAGTTGAACGTTGCAGAACATTTCTGTCAAGTCTGAGCTCAGGGGGAAAAAAAAAAAATTGAAATAGTCTATATGATTCTATTCTTACTAAGCAATTTTGCAACAGATTATTGCAACAGAATATGCTCAAGCAACAAGCTCAGACGGTGCAACCGAATTTTTCAATCTGCACAAACAACATGGAAAAAACAACATTACCTTGATCTGTCGAAATACACCGAACCCACAACATATTCGGACTCCGCAACAATTCCTAAAGATCAAAGCTCCGATCGAGGATCTTCTTGTAACATAAGATTGTAACAGACAAGCCTCAAAAAAAAATAAAATAGAAAGAAATTTTACAGTACGGCCAGCGCACATGTCAGCATGTTCAAACTTAGTCACAATCAGGAAAAAAAAAAAAAAGGACCGCGCGCTTAATCTCTCTATCTCGTCCTTTCCACTCCTCCTCCCTCTTTTTTTTTTTTATTTTTATTTTTTTATCACTAATTTGATCTCCATCAAACATCAAATCAAATAGATTTTTTTTAAACCAGATTGGAACCAAAATCATGGCTCAAGAAGAAGAACTACCATATCCTACTGTTAAATCTGTGCTTTCCATTCAATCACATGTTGTACATGGATACGTGGGAAACCGCACATCGACATTTCCTCTCCAAGTTTTGGGGTGGGACGCAGATGTACTCAACACGGTGCAACTATCAAATCATACAGGCTACGGAAAGATCTTTGGACAAAAGCTGAGTGCTGAAGAGATCTGGACACAGTACGAAGGGTTGCGCAACATTGGCATGCATCTGGAGTATGATGCAGTTTTAACAGGGTATGTTCCCACAGCAGATGGTACAAGAACCGTTGGAAAAATTGCTGCAGATATTGTTAAATCACAAGAAAAAGAAAAAGAAGAGAAGACTCAGGGGGGGAATGGAGAAAAAAAAAAGAGCCAGGCAATTTGGATCCTGGACCCTGTAATTGGAGACAATGGGCGGTATTATGTGGAACAGGACGTGATCCCCGTGTACCGCGAGATTTTACGTAACGGAGGTGTGACAGCCGTAACTCCCAATCAATTTGAAGCCGAGGTACTAACAGGGATTACAATCAAGACGCGTGGGGATGTGATACGGGTGCTTGATGTATTTCACCGGGAGTACCGAGTGCCACATGTTATTTTAACATCGATGAAACTGGATGCAGAAGCAGATACGATTTGGAGTGTGGGGTCTTCATTAGAGTCTTGTGGAGTGGAGGGTAGCGTAGAAGTTCCCCACGTTTTTTACTACGAGTATCCGTCGCTCAAGGCGTACATTACAGGTACGGGGGACTTGTTTGCGGCGTTGCTTGTTGACCGATTGCACAAGTACTTGGAACTGGCTCGGGGGGATGCCAATGGGTTTGCAAAAGTTATTGCAGGGGCAGCAGAAGCAGCAGAAGCAGAAGCAGAAGCAGAAGCAGAAGCAGAAGCAGAAGCAGAAGCAGAGGGGGAACCAGGTAAAGAAGATGCGCGGTATATTCCGTTGGCGTTTGCACTAGGCGAGGTTCTTGGAGTTGTACAAGCTGTGATTCGACGGACTTTGGCAAACCCTGCGTTGAAGACGGTACAAGCGGGAGTATATGGAAATATTGAGTCGATGAAGAATGGGGAGCTTAAGTTGATCCAGTCGCGTGATTTGATACCCGGAACAGCGATTCCCTATCAGGTACGAAAGTTTGAAGTGTAGTTATGGGAAAAACTTATATAAGTTTTACCAAGGGGGAGAGAGTTTTCAATATTAGTAAAACGGTTTTAGAAAGAGAGAGAGAGAGAGAGAGAGAGAGAGAGAGAAAAAAAAAACCCTTTTTATTAAGAGGTAACATAATATATAGACACATTGCATAATGGGAAATTTTTTTTAAATGACAAAAAAAAAATAAATTTAGTGGTAGAATATTTATGTCCTATATTTTTGGTGTCAATAGGGAGGTTTAAAAGAGAGAGAAAAGGACCAGTTGATTTTTATGGCAATCCTCTTTTTTTTTTTTTTTTGATAAAACTATTCTGACAATCTTTTTTTATTTTTATTTTTATTTTTAAGATGGTGACATTTCATTCATCCACTTTTTTTTATTTTTATTTTTAATTTTTATTATTGAAAAAAAAAAAAGAACCTGAAGTTGGTGATAATTGTATAACTATATATTATGTACATTAAAATCCAAACAATCCATTGCTACTTTGGATGGGTGGCCAGAAAAGTACATATAAAAATAATAAGCCATAATGAGAGGTTAATGTTTCAGTCTGCCGCACATTATTTGTTTGACTTTGAAACTGTTTTTTTTTTTTTTTTTTCTTTAAAGCTTTTTCTTTTTTTTCTCTTTTTTATAAGTCCATTTTTTTTTTTTTTTTGTATGTAATACAGACTTTAATTATCTTTTCTTTAGGAATGAAAAGATTTGCGATGTTTTTTTTTTTTTTTTAATTTTTTATTTTGGACGGGTCGTAAAAAAAAAAAATAAAAATAAATAAAAAAATAAAAAAATAAAAAATAAAAAATAAAACACGCCTTGGGAAAAATAAATTGTACATATAAAAATAATAAAAAAATTATCCATTTATATTTATTTAAACCAGCCAGCCGCAGAAGACAACAAGCCATGATGACCAGCCTTCCTTCCAAGCATTTTTTTTTTCCCCTCTACACTATCCAATTCTCCATGTAAAGAGAACAAAAAAAAGAAAAAAAAAATACTTTAAATATTTATATATAAAATTCATTATAACGAAGTCAAGCCGCTAGAAAAAAAATTGATGACCCTTCTGAAAGAAGAAGATGAGAATAAGTTAGTAAGTAAGTAAGTAAGTAAAAACAAGAAGATCTAAGCAGGCTTAGTGTTATAAGCCATTCTTCTTCTTCTTCTTCTTATTCTTATTATTCTCCCTCCCCCACCAGAATTTTTGATTGTTTGTTCTTTGAAAATCAACTTTTAATCTTCTCTCTCTCCTTCTCTTCAATCAAAGCGACTGAAGCATTTCGTCACAAAGAACTTCTTATTTGCTATTTTTTTTCTCTCTCTCTCTCTATTATTCGATATATATTGTATATTTGTATTGTAAATATATATATTCGATATACCTAAATGGTCAATATCGTTATACCGGTGCGCCTGACTATTTAGGTCTACACCATTTGGGTATATACTTTAAATAAATTACTTTTTTTTTTTTTTTTTTTTACTACATCGGTAGGACATATATAATTGAAAAATATATATATTTTTTTTTATATTTAACCAAATCCATTTCCCCCGTATTTCTGTTTTTATTTTATTTTATTTTATTATTTTTCCCTTTTTTTTATTTTTTTTCTCTCTCTTCTTTTCACCATCTTATTCACTCGTTTTTTAAAAAAAAAAATGTCTCCATCGCTCTCAAAAGATTCGCAATTCTCTCCTCAAAATCTACTACCAAACTATTCTTCAAACACAGCGCTTGCTCCATCCAGAACAAGCACCGCATCATCTACAACTTCTCTTTCAACATCTTTATTTTCTGCATCTTCCTCATGCTCCAGCCTAGCATCCAGCCAATATTCATGCGACAGTATTGATGAAAATGAAAATATCTATAATAATAAACAACAGACTTATAACCCCTCAATAAACAGTACTAATAATAGCCAGCAACAAATTTCTTCTGCATCCGCCTTGAAACCCTTTGTTTCTTCTTCCTCTTCTTCTTTCACTACTTCTTCTTTTTCTTCAACAGATAATATTTTCAATCCAATCTATAACAATATGAACAAACCACAAAGTTCCAATTCCATTGATGACAAACTAGTACAAAGGGGGTTGACTAAAATTCGCGCGGACTCTCGCAACAATGCGCCCACTTGCTATTCTACATCTTGCAGTACAGTATCACGAGCTGCAGAACAAGTACCACTGCCTGAAGAAGAAAAAGAAGAAGAAAAAGTTGTACCTACTATTACTAGTAATAATGGCGACTGTGCGGCAGCGGCCACCGGAGCACAGGCCTTGCCCGTGGTCCAGACCCTCTCACTCGCCCACGCTTGCACACAAGTGGGTGGTGACAAAAGTGATATTTATAGTATCAGTACACCTGTTGCTTCCACACTGGTAGATGAAGAAGAAGAAGAAAAAGAAGAAGAAGAAGAAGATCAAATCCGAAAACATGACCATCTCGCAAAACCCTGTTCCGTGCTACTCTCTCAAAGACACCGTAGTAATAGCCCACCTCCTCAGCTTGCTGATTTAAATCTTTCTAGAAATGAAGCCCACTGCGGTCTAGCACAATGGCCTTCACTTGAGGCCCGTCTCTCCAGACTTGTAAGAGCCCACATCAACTCCAAATCACGCAGAACGGTAGACGTCCACACTCTTTTGCTTTGGGCCCGTGATCTCTATGTCCAGCTATACGGACAACCCGGTAGCCATCGGGGCCGTAAGCGACAGCCATCACCAGATTGTGACTCGTATCACCGGTGCTACAATTACAATGTGTACAATTATTATGGATCGACAAACAATGAAGCATCAGGGCATGACGTCAAGCGCATGATACCTCCAGCGGCGTTGGGATCGCTACGTAAGAGCTCTACCATTCCACGCACTCTGGTGTACCTGAGCGATAGTGCATTGTCGGTGCCTTACGTGCGGCGGGCCAGTGCACCAGTAGGTAGCGAAGCGGGACCTCGAGGAGGGGTTGATGATCATTCAGAAGACAATGATGGCACCAAGAATGAAAATTTACGTTATGATAATGACGAGGACTTGAATGCATACCATAATAATAATGACCTTAGCTCGCACCACCCACACCAGCATAAAATTGAGGCGTCGCGGTATAAGGGGTATGTTTTTTTTGATATAGTAGAGGAGGAAGAGGATGATGATGATGATGATGATGAGGACGATGAAACAGAGCTTTTTGAATGCGATGATCTTGAGAGAGTACCGAGCATTACAGAAGCCATGATTATGGAGTTTGCAGCAGCCAATCGAATCATCCTTTCATGAAGAGAGAGAGAGAAAAAAAAAAACAAACAAACCAGTTTGGTCGTTACAATTCCAAATGTATATTTAGCATACCTTCATTCATTCATTTATTCTTTCATACAATTTTTTTTTCTCTCCCCCCCAAAAATATACGAGTTTTTATAATTATTTAATTCATTAATCCATTAATCCATTAATTCACTAATTCATTAATTATTGTAAATAATAGTTTTTATGTATCGGTCTAAGGATGCATTAAAGATACCTTGGCCATTCGGAGAGATAATTCCATCCAATTCTTTCCTCCTCCTTCTCCTTCTCCAACTCTTTGGAATATCTGGTTGGTTGGTCTACAAATTTCATGCAAAAGACGCCATCGGTGGATCGGTTTAGTCGGACAGACTGTATGAAGTAAAAAAAAAAAAAAATAAATGCCCAAGGTCTACACTGGTGATAATTATTATTAAATTAAATTAATAAATCCATATATGTACCTGTTTAAAAAAAAAAAAAAAAAAGGAGAAGACCTGAAAATATGAAAATGCACGTGCTTTTTTTTTTTTTTTTTTTTTTTTTTTACTTTCACACCCTCTCCCTCTCTCTCCCCGATTTTCCTCCCAAAAAGAAACTAGAATTAACGCTTCTTGCCCAAAGTAAATCAACACAAAAAAATTTCACCTCTTTTTATTTTTTTAGATCACTAGCAAAAAAATTTTCAAATATATTGGTGAAACAATGCCAGCTTATAGGTGTAAATACCCTTGATATTTTTTTTTTTAAAAAAAAAAAACAGAAAAAAAAAAGAAATCAACATTTTATATATAATTGGAAAAGCAATTGAACTTTAGATCTCCCAAAATCTTTGATCTGAGATTTTTTTTTTTAACAGAAAAAAGGTTTAACTCTGCATGCGACACACATATACCCGCAAGACATTGACAACAACCCTTCTTTAAAGAAAATAAACAAACAAGATTTAAAGGGTTTGGACTATCCCTTACATAGATTAAACATTTGAATCAATAAGGACTTAAACAGAAAGTTTTTATTTTTTCATTTTTTTTTTTTTTTTTTTAAAGTTGGGGAAACTTTTATTTGTCATAGTTTTTTTTCTGTCACAAAAAAATGTTAAATCTTTGAATTCCCTAAATGTAACAAAGCCGCACGCGGCTTATTCTATGTTCTAAATAAAATCCTCTATTCCCTCTATCAAGCATCTTTGAAAAACTTATCATACCCAATCATGGTAAACCGGTAATGAACATCACCCTTTTGCATGCGCTGCCAGGCCTGGCTCAAATTCTCCTCATTCATCTCTAGCGTCTCAACCCAAGGCTTGATGTTATGTTTGCTGGCAAAGTCAAGCATATACTCAATCTCCTCCACAGACCCTAGCAGCGAGCCTTGCACGGAAATGCCGCGCACAAGCAGGTCTACAGGACGCAAGTTTAAGCGCTCAGATAAAGGCGGGAAAGTAATAAATGTAAATTTGCCGCGGGCCTTGAGCAATGGGAACAGGTGATCCACAGCTGATTCTGAGAAACTGGAGCCCGTGTTTACAATCAAATCGAGCGAGTGCTTATGGGCAGCCACAGCTTCCTCATCGTTGGTTGCAAGATAATGATCAGCCCCAAGCTTTTCAGCATCTGCTTCCTTAGACTTTGATCGCGAAATGGCAGTAACCTCGCACCCAAGCGCTTTGGCAAATAAAATGGTCATGTGTCCAATACCTCCAATACCAACTACTCCTACACGGTCTCCTTTCTTGACACCGGCTTGTAACAGCGGAGCAAACCCAGTGATACCACCGCACAGCAATGGTGCTGCATGTTGGGTGTCGATATTATCTGGGATCTTAAAAACCAAGGACGAGTTAACACGTACATGGGACGCATTGCCGCCAATTGTACCTTGCTTTGATTCGATTGTTTGCGCAAAGTATGTGCCCACCGAGTTGTCGCAGTAGTTTTCCATACCAGCCTTGCATGCGCCGCACGTGTGGTCACAGTCGCACTGTGCGCCCACGCCAACCCGATCTCCCAGCTTGAGCGAAGCTTTTGCTTTAGGTCCGATCTTGATAATGGTGCCAATGATTTCGTGGCCAACTGCTACGGGTGCATATGGCCGCCCCCAGTTACCACTCACGGCATGAACGTCGGAACCACAAACACCACAAGCTTCGATCTTGATGTCAACGTCAAAGTCGCGGAACTCCTGGGGGGTGTATTCAAAGACTTTAGGATGGAGATAATCGTCAAAATCAATGACACCGAGAGCGGTGAAAGTTTCAGGGTATACCATGTTGATTTACTTTTTTTTTTTTTAATTGAAGAAACAGAAAAAGAGAGAAAGAAAGAGAGAAAAAAAGTAGAGATTATATGGAAATTGAATTTTTTATGAAATAAATTAATAAATAAAAAAAACAATAGTACTATTCAATTCCTTTTATACTTTTTTTCTTCCGCCTCTACGGGTATTTCGTCTCTTATCAAAATACAATGCTTGCTTTATTAAATATTTTTTTTATTATCGGCGGCAACCTATTGATGCTTTGTTGTAGGTATTATAGGTACTCTATTGAAGAAACACCAGTAGCTCTGTTCGAGCACATACACACTGACACACATATACATCGCGATGCATATCTGCATACTTAGAGACCCACGTTGAAAAGATCTTGGATATGAAAAAGCAGGCCAACTATCAAACGCATATCTGCATCTCGGTTCCCAATCTGGTATCTTAACCCTGAACTTAATTGGAGGGTTCCGGCTGGCATATCCTTTTCAAAGTATTGATAAGAATGTTTCCAAGACCGTTTTTTTTTTATCCTGGAGATATTTTTATAATCTTAAACCTTTAAATACCACTTTGATCCTATTCTTTATTTTTATATTTTTATATTTTTGTATTTTTTTTTTTTTTTTTTTTTTTGCAGTCATACTTACATGTATATCACTCACTCACCGGAATTTTTTTTTTTTTTTTTTTCAAATAGTGGGATGTTTAATAATCAAAAACAAGTCAACCATAGTAACCAGAATTAAGTTACTATGATTAGATTTTAGAATTTTAGTAGGTTTTTTTTTCTTCTCTTTCCAGTTTTCAAATCAATCGAAAAGAAAATGTAATCCCTGGGTAATGAAGAAGAAGAAGAAGAAGAAGAAGAAGAAGTTGTTGTTGTTGTGTGTATAAACAATCTGAGGGTTGTCGGAATGTTATCCGAGATAATGGTGAGGTCATATCATTTTTATTTTTCAAAAAAAAAAAAATAAAAAAAAAAACGTTCAAAGCCAGAGACAACAGCCGTTAAAATTCATTTAAAAATAATGACTTTATTTGCATTTGCATTTGCATTTGCATGGTTTTGAAATATATTCTTCGCCACAGATTAAATGCAGGTCTGTAATACCCAGCCTTCCATTATTTCCATACTCGGGTTCCTCGGATTATTCAAAGGGCTTTTATCTGAAATTTTTTTTTTTTTTCAGTTAGACTTTAAACTTGCTGCATACGCTTTCCAACTTTGGTGTTTTTATATTTTTTTAAAAAAAAAAAATTCAAAATAAAGACAGAAAAGACGGGTTCATGGAACCACAGTCAACCTTAATATTAATATTAAAATCAAAATCAAAATTAAAATAAACATATCTATTTCTTGAAACAGTGAAGAGTGGGTGATAGGAAGGAGAAGAAGAAAAGAAAGTTCAAATGACTGCCAACATATTGTGGTTTAATAATGCTCTAACTTTTCAACTTTGGCCAATTGATGCCGCATTTAGCACAACAAAGAGCTCATTTAATTCCAAATAGAAAAAATAACCACCAATCTTTTACAAATATGATGAGTCTGTTAACACAGTTTGACGGTTTCATAAGACTTGTACCTGTCTGCTTAAGTTAACACTAACCAACTTTTATTTTATTTTATTTATTTATTATTAACAGAATGTTTCGTATACATATTCATGAGGCCCACCAGATTTATGAATTTGGTTAGCGTTGTTTATGCTGCTGACCTGGCCAAAACAACCCAGCAAGCCAAAGGGAATTGACTCCCGGTGGTTTGAGACCCGATATCTTTAAATTCAATTGAACCAAGTTAATGTCGATCTTGGTTTAAGAAAGAAAGAAAGAAAGAAAGCAAAACATTATTGCAATTGTTTTTATAAAAAAAAAAAAAAAGAAAAAGAAAAGGAGGAAGAAAAAGGAAATTTCCTTTTTTTAAAAGTACCTTCTTTTAATAGATAGAAGATGCCTTTTTTTTTATTTTTATTTTTAATCTTCTACTTAAGATGGCTAGTTCTTTGTTTAAAACCGTCTAAATAAAATAAAAAATAAATTCCCATATTAAAAACAAACAAACAACACAACAAACCATTTATTTTTAAACCTCTGAACTATTTACTAAAGAATTAAAATAAATTATTGAGATTTCTTCCTTTACAATCTTTTCCTTCTACTTTTCCCTTCCTTTCAACGATATCCGAAAACTTCTTGAAAAAACCTGAAATTTAATAATATTCGTCTTTAAAGTTTCCTCCAGTTTTTCCCATAATTCATAATAATAATTGCACACAAAAAAAAAAAAAATTTTTTTTTTTTTTTTTTTTGGTAACTCAAATCTCCCGTTCCAAAACAAATCTACACCCCACACACTCAAATGGCCGATCCATCTGAGTTCCCCACAGACCCGGGTCTCGCCACTGCAGTCGCATCAGCAGGTATCACTGAGCGCCGTACCCAGACTTCAAAACAACAACAACAACAACAACAACAACAATCAAACCCTGATACTTCTGTTCCACAACAACCCCCCTCAACTACCTCTTTACCAACAGGCGTGTCCTTTTACACTCCAGATGACCCAGAAACTTATCCATCCTCAGTAGCATCTTCCTACGCAAACAGTCCGAAAATCTCAATCACTCACGACGAAGACCGCAGCCCAGATGAACCTGAAGACTTGGGCCCATATCCCCTCCCAATTTATAACCACAAAAATAACAGTACTAGCAGCAGCAGCAATAGTATCAGCAGCAAGTACTCATCTTCTCGAGGGTCTTTAGTTAATCTACTGCGCCAATTCCTCACCTCAGGCTCCAGCAACAATGGCAGTGGTAGTGGCGGCCATAGAAACAATGCTCCCAAACTTTTCGCAACAGCAACTCCTGCAAAAATTGGATCCACAATCATCCTCATCTTGTTGTGTTTATGGTTTTTTGTCTCAGTGGGCAATGGCGGTAATGCCTCGCGTCCTGCTCACATTATTAATCCCACAAAAAATGCAATTTTCACAGATGACCCTCTTATATACCCGGACCTTACATTCCTAAGTGTCGGGTCCAAAAAAAGCCTTGGAGGTAAGAAAAGCGGCCCTAATAAAGCCCCAGGTGATTATGCTCCAGACTCTAGCGACTCAAACGTCCCTGCAGCAGCCAAAGGTTCCAAAAATGACTTGCAGCCAAAGGATCAAGATAAACCAGAATCTTCCATTGCAGAATCTAAGCTTCAAGCCATCCCCTCTCTCGTTTTCAAGCCCGAAAATCCCCTGGCCCATCTCTTTGATTCTAAAAAACGTTATCCTCCCGTTGTTCTTGTAACTGTCATTAACCCTGACAAGTACCGTAGTGATTATCTTGAAAAAATTATTGCAAACCGCAAAAACTATGCCAAAAAGTTTGGCTACGGCTTGTACGTGCGCTTGGCATCCGACTTTAAGGAATCACAGTGGAGCAACTCGCCAAACCAAAACCCGTCTTGGGCAAAAATTGCTGCAACCCGTGCAGCTCTCCACGCATTCCCCTTATCGCATCACTTTTGGTACGTCGACCAAACCGTAGTGCTCACGGACTTTGATCGCTCCGTTGAAACGCGTCTGATAGAACCAGCTGCTTTACGCGGGCTTATGCTTCGCGGCATCCACGTGCTTAAGAATTTTGAAGTTATCAAAACATACAAGAATACGGGAGCTGATAGTATCAAACTTATCTTAACACAGGATGGCTATGGCGTCGTGACATCCTCCTTCCTCCTGGCCAATGTCAATAATGACGGCCGGTTGTTTGCCTCTTCTCTGTTGGACTACTGGGGTGATCTTGCATATGTTTCGTACAACCAATTCGAGGATCGTGCAGACCAAAATGCGCTTAACCACTTTTTGTTGTGGCACCCGTCGTATCTTTCAAAAACGGCAATTGTGTCGACACACGCCCTTTCAGCGTACTCAGAACTGAAAGGGTCTTCAGCCATTCGCGATATCAAGCTGATAACTAAAACAAAGGACGAAAATGGTAACGAGCAACAAGTTTCGGTGCAAGCACCAGTCAACAAAGAAATGGAGGCTGAATATAAATACTTTAAAGGTGATCTTTCAGTGTTTTTGACCAAGTGTGAGAAGACATCTTCTCTCAATTGTCTTCAGGAAATGTCTGACTATTACAAGGCTTAAATAGTAATAATACAACTTGATTTACTATAAAAAAATATTTCTTAAATATTTCAAATTTCGATTCTAATAATTTAATATTAATTATAGAAATAATAATCTTTTTAAATTTTTTTGTTTGTTTGTTTGTTTATTTGTTTATAAATATTTATTTAAACGTTCCTACTGGGCTGTTTTCAGTTTCTCATCAAGAGCTTTCAGGGCTAGGGCTCTACGCCGATCAGCCTCAATTTCGGCTGCAGAACGAGGCCCTGCTGCAGAAGAGGGTCCCGCACCATTTCCTCCCGCAGACGCCGCAGTATTGCCTGTCGTTCGAATAGATGCACGCAGATTGCCTTGCTCGACCTCGTCTTGAGCAAATGGCGTGCAAATTTTGATTGCTACAAGCGTGCGGAACACCACGGTGGCCAGGCTTTGGATCAGATCGCGGAGTAGCGCGGGGTAAAAGAAATTAGCGAGAGAAAAGACCTCGCTAGCATCACCACGAATGCGAATCTTACCTGGGGCACTTTTAATTGAGACCCCAGAGTCATTGCTGGTGGCTGCAGTAGTTGTTGGCAATACAGGATCCACATATGTATAACGCAGGAAACGCAGGTAGATCCAAGACGCGAAGAACCCAGCCCAGACTTGGGAAATAAAGGGCAAATCGCGGAAGTAAACAATACCAATCAGGGTGTAGAGAACAAGAGTTGGGAACACAAGATGCTTGACCTTGATGGTGAAAAGACCACGGAACAACACAATGGAGTGCTCAGGAACAAGTTGTTTCAGAGCTACTAAAAAGGCCAACTGGAACGCAATGCCACCATTGATGGGCTGTAGCAGGTAAAACTCTTTGCCAACAGGTGTTGATGTGTTTGAGTTATCAGCATTTTTCTCAGCTACAGTGGCAGAGACTAACGCGTATTCGAAAATGGCAGTGGCCCAAGCAGCCACATTGCTACTGACACCCACAATCAACAGAAAACGGGCGAGCTCTTTTGAGTTCCATACACGCTCACAGTACCGGCCACCGTAGAGCAAGGTAGCACCAGTAGCCAAGAAACCGAGGATTGTTGTTTCCACGTAGGTGGTAGTGATGAGGACCCAAGGATAAAAAACAGAAAGGCCAGGGACCAATGTCAAGAAGGGGATTGAGATATCTGCATAAACTGGTTTTGAGGGTTTAGGAACGGGCCTACTGTCTGTTTCTGGTTGGACTTGAGGGCCCTCGGCAATGGCCAAGAGGCGGTTGTAAATATTTAAGCGGAAGAGACATACGACTAGGGAAAAAAGAACTAGCAGCAGAAGAGTCACTTTTGTGACAGGAGGGATCATAAGCCCGCGCATGTTTATTTATTTATTTTTTTTTAAAAAAATGAAATAGAGGGGGAGGTGACGATGTAAATATAAATGAGAGAAGTTTTATAAAAAGTGGTAGTGCGTGTTTGTTTTGTGTTGATTCAAGGGATATTTTTATTTTTTTATTTTTTTTTTTTCTAAATGGTGGGCTGGCAAAAACTTGGGGAAAACGGTAGGGTCATTGAAGGTCAGCTGACTGAAGCTCCGATAGAACCAAAGGTAGTAAGAAAACAAGCAAGTGAAGTTGAGATGGATGATTTCAAAAAAGGATTGAATATGAAATGAATGAAAATATTTGTAAAAGAAAAATGGGGAAAAAAATTGCTCTTTTAATTTATTATATGAATGATTTGATCTACAGTTATTTGCGTACATTTTATACACATTGACACGTTTACTTTGAACTCGGGAAAACTTAAACGTCAGCAAAATAGAAAAAAGACACGGGACACATCGACTAAAAATGATCCAAGTTATTCGGCATCTTTATTGAAACTTTGAAACCAATGTCTTGGTTAGACAGATCAATTTGAAGCTCCGTACATATTTACTTTTTGTTGTCAAGTGCTTCTGTCGGTTCAAACATCTAAATATATATATGTTTTTTGTTTTTTATATTCCATTAATGTAAACAACAACCACAAATTTATCAAAACAATAATATTCTTTCAATAATCATCACCACCATACAAATGTCCCGGCTCTGCAAAAAGTCAAAGATCCGGAAAACAGTCAAGGAAGCTGCTGGCGGCATTCCAGTAACTGAAAAAGCAAGCACTCTGGTAATTAAGAATTAAAATTTTTTTTCATCATTTCTAACTTCTTTTCTTAGATCTACCTCGACTACGTTTTATTTCTTCAGAAAATCCTTCAGGAAGCTGATATGGAAGCTGCGCGTATGGGCGATAAAACCATCACTAGCCGCCACATTGAATCGTGTCTTGAGAAATCTCTTAAATCGTTTCGTGGATAATCATTACCATATATATACAAAAAATTAATATCAATTACAAAGAAAAAACAAAGTATCATTTCCGCTTTAAAAGCTTGACCATATCTATGGCGCCTTGTGAGTTATGTTTATTGTAAACAAACAATCCTTGTAACTGAGCAGTGCTAATAGTAGTGCCCAGATCCAAAACAGATTGCAAGAAATGCTCGCACTTCTCAGTTTCTCCCTCGTAGAACCGCAAAAACATGGCCCGCACTTGGTCTTCCGTCGCATTATCAATCAGTGCCTTATAATCAACGCGTCCTGGTCGGATCAATGCAGGATCAAGTCGCTCAGGGTGGTTTGTTGTCATGAAAATTAGTCTTTCATCAGCACTAGCAACGCCATCCAAAGCATTCAGCAAACCAGAAAATGTCACGCCAGAAAGGTATCCCTGGTCTTCACCAGTCTGCTTGCGCTCATTAAAAGCAGCATCAATATCCTCCAACAACAAAATACTACGCTCAGGAACATGGTTCATCAAATGATTCAGTCGGTCGTCCGTCAAAGTTGCCTCAGATAAGTTCAAAATGCAAATATTATAGTCCAGCTCACCGCAAAGCGCCTGGATAACACTTGACTTTCCGCTTCCTGGAGGGCCATACAACAAGTATCCACGGCGGTAGGGTATCCCGCGGTCATGGTACCATTTGCTCGACTCCAAAAAGTCGCGCACATCTTCAACAAGCTTCTCTTTAAGCCCCTTGGCCAAAATAACTGAATCCAAACTGCGTTTCCGACGCGGCTGACCAAACGGACGCCACTCGGGACCAAATGACGTGTAAATAACAGTCTTGCCCTCCCGCTGCTTAATTGCTCGTTGCTGAGCCTCGTTCAAAAGCTCAGGTAGCAAATGTCTGTCACGATAAAGAGTCGTCAGTGTGATGGTCTCAAATGGAGTCCCGCTTGTCAAATCCATTAATCGTCCGGATCGTTCACGTGCAACAAGCATAAACGCGCCCTTGTACCGAATTAAATGCTTACCAGGACCAGGAACCAAGTTAAATGTCGTCGTCATCGAGCCATTATCATGCTGCTTGACGGTAGTATTAATACTAAGATGACGCGATGATCTCTTAGGGTATTGTGACATCCATTCCAAAAACCAAGTATAAGACTTGTCCTTGGATGCAATCTCAAGATCCACCAGCATTTGTCGGTACACAAAATTGCTTCCCTTTAAGACCGCCTGTCGTAAGATTGCCAGTCCAGCTCCAAGACCCATCAGACCAAACCCCTGTAGACAACGTTAGTTTAGTTAAATGATATATACATTAAACTTACCGCAGCAAAATACGGATTTGAGCTAAGGATCTTGACAAGAGTCGAATCCTCACCCAATGTGTTGACCAAAAGCTCATTAAGAGCATCATTGGGGTTACTTGATTGTGCAGCAGTTGGTTTTTGAGAAAGATTCTCGGGAACCTTTTCTATAGGACTAGGGACCTCAACGACATCCGGAACACTTAGGCTCGGATCATTTTCTGCTTTGCTAAACCAGGCCATTTTTTTTTTCTTTATATATTATGCCAACTCTTTGTTCCCCGAATTTTTTTTTTTTTTGGAGTATTGCTGTTGGAGTACAATTTACGAAGGATCCGGTGAAAAATCTTAGTCAGAATTTGCGTAACCAAAGTCGGTGCCACCCCGTCATTAAAAAACACAAACCCTCCTCCACTTCTCCCATCATCATTACCACCACCATCATCATTTCCCTCTTACAAAAACAATCACACAATCCATTACAATTCATATCCACACACCCCCATAACACATCATAATGAGCGCTTCAAACGCCTCGCCAGTACCTTCGGCACCCCAATCGTTTATAGTCAAGGGTGGCGTTTCCGCTCCTCGTCTTATTGATGATATTCTTCACATAATTACTGGCTCCCGTTACCTTGACAATGATCCCATCACAGCTGCATCAAATCTTGACCTTCGTCGCCAAAACCCTTGGAGCATGGCTGTTGGAGGAGATCCTCGTCTCCCAGAATATTTTACTACTTCTTCTTTTATTGAGTTTTACTCATTACTTTTTTCTCCAGATGATTCTGTCTTCCTCCATCTTCATGCTGAAATCGATCTTGGTGCTGCGCCCCCAGAAAACGAGCTCATGGATTTCCACCTATGTAAATCCTCAGATGATGCTGTTGACCCAGACCAGGAGATTTACAATTACAAGTGTTCAATCACTGCTACCCATCTTAAGCTTATTTTTCATAGACCTGTTTTTACTGAAGAAGACTGGGAAACCTTTCATACAAGCGCCATTGGGGAACGATACAACAAATTCAAGCATCTCTCAACCAATCCTTCCAATACATCGCCTCCATCCCCCCTAAACTGTCTTCATACTCTTTACAAAATTATTTCAAAACCTCTTTTTGACCCTGTTTCATCCCCAATTTATAGAGAACATTTTTCCGTCAATGTTCGTGCCACTCCAGAGTTTCTCATTAAGCACCTTCATTTTACTCTCAAAGATGACGACTTGAAACTTTACCCACCAGATATTTTCGATGTCAATTCCTCTCCAGAACTTAAAGAAATTCATCGTGATTACGTCCGCAAGCTTCATGAGGTTGTCATTTATGCAAACACATTTTTCCCCAGCAATTCACAGTCAGCAATGGCACAATCATTCACTCTTAAAAACTCCCTTCCTATCCTCCGAAGGCTTCTCTTCGACACTGATCCACGCTTGCCTGATTTATCCTATCTTAAAAATCAATCTTTTTACGGAAACAAGTCATATTCCTCGTCATCTAAGCTCCCTTCAAAATTTGATCTTCAAATGTATACCATGCTTGGTGCTACCTACGATTTATCAAACTCGGCAATTTCGAAACGCTACGATCTTCAGGCATTCCAGGATCCAGAAAACAAACCATATTATTTTGAAGCTCTCTTGGGTATTGCAAAGTCCCGTCAAAGTGAAATTCTAGAAACCAAGGCTACGGAACTCTTGTCCTTAGGCGAAACCTCTGCCAGCACTTTGGCTCAAGCTTATGGCCAATATTTACTGAACTTTGATAAAACAATAACTGAATTACCTCTTGATGAGGGCTATCTTATTGACTGCTACAAGCATCGTTCCAAAGAAAATCCCGGAGAGGAACCAGCTCTGAGGAATGCTCTTCTCACTATTGCCAACCACCGAAATAATGCTCGCCTATTATCATTTTTGGAAAGCAAGTCAATGACACTTGCTGATGCCTACCATGAGCTTGGACTTTCAAAAGATAGCAATGAAGAGTACATCCATTTGGCCTACGAAACCAAGATGCAAGAAGCTAGACCTGAAGAGGCCAAACTAGCCAAGCTGGCCTTGAAAACTATTGCTATTGACCGCAAGAGCAAGATGCTGTTAAATCTTTACGAAGCTGCTGTCAAGCATGATCCTGATCATGGAGGAATTGATCAAAATATGACTCTTTTTGAAGCTATTGCCATTTTAGGGGTGCCGCAGGAGCTTGTTGACGAGGCTCGAACAAATAGTGCATCCCACAACCTCATTGTACAACACTTTGAAGCAAACTCTGGAAACGACTCTGATAGAATACTTGAGCAGCGCCAGGCTTTGCGTGTATTATCCAAGCATCTTAAAAGCAAAAAGATTGAAAGCTACCTTAGTGGGGCTCCAGACTCAGACTTTATCCGTAATAGTTTGTGGCCTGTGGGTCTCGAAAACATTGGTAATACTTGTTATCTGAATTCTTTATTGCAATTTTACTTCACCATCACTCCTCTTCGCAATGCAGTCATTGAGTTTTGCGATAACTCTACTAATCAAATTGACCTCAACTACGCCAAGGAGAAACGTGTGGGTGGCAGAGTCGTCACCAAGGGTGAAATTGTCCGTTCGCGCGAATTTGTCTGTTACCTTGGTGAACTCTTTAAGCAACTCATTCATACACCGCTAGCTTCCATTGCACCTAAAAAGGAGCTTGCCTATCTGGCTCTCGTCCAGTCGCAGATTGATCCTCGCATGGAGGAATACGAGTCTCTTGTCAAGACAACTGAAATTGATCCTAATGCAAAGCTTACTACGTCAGTTCAGGGATCTTCTGTAGATTCAACTATCCCTAACATTAGTAAGACTATAAGTCGCTCGGATCCCATCTTTGAAGAAGACGAAAAGCTTCTTTCCGATGACGACGAGAGTATAATCCGCGAGTCGGAAAAGGGTGGTACAGTAATTGTGCATGATATGGATGACAGTTCATCTGTGAAATCCTTTTTTATGGTTGATGCACCTCCTAAACCTTTGGTTGATGAGGATGTGGTTATGGTTGATGCTGCTTCAGTAAGCTCCCCTGAAAGTCCCAAGCGCAATCGTGAAGCTCTTTCTCCTAAGTTTGACTCAAGCTCGCGTAAACGTGATCGCAAAAGCATTGATTCGTTTTCTATTTCTACAGATAATGAATATAGTTCTTCTGATAGAAAGGAGTCGATAGTCACTGTTAGAAGCATTGACCCGCCAAAAACTTCGGAACAAAAGCGCCAGATGGACGACGCGATGGCTATCGGTGGACAACAGGATGTTACTGAGTGCATTGAGAATGTTCTTTTTCAAATTGAGGGTGCATTTGATGCTCTTGGCTACGATGAGGATGGAGAACAACTCGATATGGTCAAGGAGCTCTTTTATGGTGCTACTAAGCAGCTGATTGAAGACCCAGAAACGGGCAAAGTTGGTGAGAGCAAAACAGAGCGGTTTTCTATGCTCATTGTCAATGTAGAAGACAAGCCGCAAAACATGTACGAGGTCATTGATACATACTTTGATGATTCATTTGTTGAACTCGGCAAAAAGCAAGTGATTCGCCATATTACAGCAACCAAGCTCCCACCAATTCTTCAAGTTCAGATTCAACGTGTGCAGTTTGACAAGGTTACTCAGCGCGCCTACAAGTCTAAAGCACCAATCAGACTACTTGATACGATATATCTCGACCGTTACATGGACTCGGATGAGCCAGCCATGGTACAAAAGCGCAAGGAGGTAGTACAATGGAAAACACGTATTGCTAAGCTGCGCAAGGAGGAGGACGAAATGAATGATTTAGTGGTAAGTTTAACAAAAAAAAAGACAAAATTTGCAGCATAATAATAACAACCTTTCTGACTATTTTTAGGGTAATGGAATCACCATTACAGAAGCACTTGAGTCTGCAAAAACCTTTTTGGCTGCACAGAATGCTGCTGCAGCTGAGGGTAAGGAGGCATTGGCCAAGGTGTCGCCTCAGACTATTGAGTTTCTTGAGAAGCATGTTGCACAGCTCAAGTTCAAACTTGAGTCTTTACGAGCTGAGATTGCTGATCTAGAGGACAAGTTGGTGCACCAGTTTGACGATATGCATCACGTAGGCTACAAGCTACACTCTGTCTTTATTCACCGTGGCCAGGCGACGTTTGGCCATTATTGGGTCCATATTCATGACTTCCGGTCCAATATTTATCGCATGTACAACGATAAGACTGTAGCAGAAGTGCCTGCGGATGAAGTTTTGGGCATCCCCCCTCCTGGGTCCACAACGCTCAAGGATGCCGATGCCACGGCATATTATGTGACCTATGTTCGCGAAGACTCGTTGGATCTTGTTGATGCAGTTGTGCGTGACATTGTTGAAGTGGACGAGGATGCTGACAAGGAAGAGCCCAGAAATTCGAATGACGACGATGACGACGAGGTTTTGATTGTTGGTGAAAAAAAGGCCGATGATGACGTGGCTGGATTCTCCACAGCGGCTGCAGCAGTTTCCAATGCGTTGGCAGAAGAGTCGGGTGACAATGGTGATGAGCAGAACACTAATGTTACAGCTGCTAGTGCCAGCTCCACTACAACAACCACCACCACATTAGCTACAATCAGTACTACAAACGAGCCTACAATTATCAAAAGCCCTCAACCTCCTAAATTATCGTTTGCTGAGATTGTGGCTGGCAAAAAGCCTCCTCCTCCTGTGCCCAGCAGAAGCAACAAGAAAAAGGAGGAAGAAGAAAAAGAAAAAGAAGATATTAAGAATAAAGAGGATTTGATTTCGCTTTAGAAGAAAAAAAAGTTTCATTAGTAAATAACGTCTTTTTTCTTTCTTTCTTTTTTTTTTTTTAACAATCCATTTCAAATTTGCTATGATTAAAGCAAAAGTTTTTTTTTTTTAATTTGCTCGCAACAGACGGTCAATGTGTACAATAATTAATAGCTAATATAATGAAAAAAAATAAAATAAACAAATAATTGTATTTTCAAAAGTACACAAAGAAGCAAAAGAATGAAACCGAAAAAAAAGTTATATTTTTTTTTATTATTCGACATTTTTATTATTTTTTTTAAGAATTTTTTGGTTTTTTTTTTTTTTTCTTTCTTTCTTCCATAAGACCGATAATCGAGTTTATGGGCGATTGAAGGAGGGGTAATTTGAAGTCAACGTAGAGTTATTGGTAAGTCAAACAAAAATAAAAAAAAAAAGAAAGAAGAAGATTTTTGCATTCATATTTACAATATGGAATCCAGCTTCGCGTAGACATTTAACCTAAAAACGAAAAGAGTAACAGTTAGTATAGGGGAAATCAAAAAAATCTAACCAGAAACTTACACTGCGGCTATGATTTCAATCTGTAATTCGCGGGATGTGTCGGCGGAAAGTTCCTGAGCAACCTCCTGCGTCAAGTTAGCGCCGGCGCCGCCGGCACCAGCGCCCTGTCTAGCCAAGAAGGGCCACTCGGCGTAGTCGTTAAGAATCTCGTCAGCACGGTTGAAAGCTTGATCACGGGCATCATATGACAGGTTTGTGAGAACGTTTTCAAGAACGTTTGCGGCGTATGCGCCAGCAACAAGAGCAATGGAGCGTAAAAAGCGGAAGGAAATATTGTCTGGAAACAAGACGGTGTTGGGCATAACAATGGTGCGGGCTGTCAAGAAGTTGATGACGCGGCGTTTGATCTCGTCCTTGGTAGACGTGTCTGCAACAGGATGCGTGGCCATGTCAAAGAGGAAGAAGTTGCGCTTTTCCGTTCGGAGCACTCCCTTGTCGACAAGGCCCTTGGCCAGCCGCTCTCGGACTTGCTTAAGTTGGTATGTGATTTTAGTCAGGTTCCATGTTTCGCCCGAGAGATAGTCAATCCAGGTCGACACACTGAGTGGCTCGCTGAACTTCATGATTTTGATTGTTTCGTCCAAAAGAGCTTCGCCCGTAATTTTGTCGTCAATGACCTCAATATAGCGGTCTGAAAGGGGGAACCGGCGCCGGCTAGGGTCGTTCACCATAGCAATCTTACCTCGGAACGCCAACTCCATAATAATGCAGCCACGAAGAGCATATGAAATATTGTCGTTCCAAAATGACAAGTATCCCTAAAAATGCCTTGGTTAGATTGTGTGTATGTATGTATGTGTATGTTTTTCATCAAATTGCCTATTTTAATCGGTTTGGCCAGATACACATTTATGATATAATAATACGCACCTGCTTGTCTTTTAAGCCCAGTAGTAGGACCTCTTCCATGAGAGTCAGTTTAGGCTGCTTGGAATCCTCAACAATGTTTCGCATGTCGTCTGGATCGTAGGCAATTTTGCGGCCGTCTTCTGTATCATAGCCGTTCCGCGTGATGTTGACCGAAGTCCCGGCTTCATTGAACTCTGACGACGAGGCTGGTTCCTCGTTGCTCTGGCCAAATGTGGAGGAAGAAGAGCCTCCAACTCTCCGTCGCTGCAATCCCGAGGACATGATGATTAGTTTGCTGGCACCGTTGTGTCTATGGTGGGTATAAATGTGTGTGTGAGAAAATAGTAGAGAGTTTTTAGGTGGATTATGGTGGTAAGTTTATGGGCTGGTTATGTTTAGAGTATGTTTTTTGTTTTTGTTTTTGTTTTTTAATTTATTTATTTTAATTTATTATTATTTTAATATATTTACTATTATTATTATTTTAATTTTTTGGCAGTCTGTTTGGGCACAAGAGCAAAAAGGGGGTGGTGTTGTGTGTATGTGTCTTGTTGATAAAGAAATCAAAAAAAAAAAAAAAAAATGGCGGATTATTATTTAATAATTATTTTATTATTATTATTTTATTATTATTATTTTATTATTATTATTGTTGTTGTTGTTGTTGTTATTCTAGGCAGGTGGTGGTGACAAGTATGCATGTGGCAGTGGTGGATGGGAAAGCCGTCCGTCGTAATTGAAAGCGTGTTAATTAAAAATCATAAAGGTGCTGATTTTGTTACAATAATAAAAATAATAATGTAATATATAATTCTTATTACAAATTTATTGTTACAAAAGCTATTACAAAAAAATTAAAATTGCAACAAATTGTAATATATATATATGTAATATATGACATAATTTCATTTATATATATATATATATATATAGAAATATTCACAATCAGTTAATAAATGAATACTCAACTTCATGACTTTTGATCAAGTATACTAAATAATTTAAAATCAAAAAAATAAAAATAAAAAAAATAATCACTTGATTCTTTCAAAAAAAAAAAAATATGTTTAAATTAGAATTTCTTAAATAGTTTGATTAACATTTATTTTTTTAAAAAAAAAAGGAATATAATCTTTTTTTTTCTTTTTCTGCGTTTCTATTAGGGTCAAAAACATTAAGTTAATTTTAAGATTTTTCATTTTTTTTATTCAATTTATGTTCAATAAATAGTAAGTAATACCCATAACGGAATTATGTATATTCTTATTTATCTAATTATAATTTTTTTTTTTTAAAAAAAGCATTGTTTTTTAAAGTACTACTTGAGCAATCATTTATATGTCCATTTCCGTACAATAATTTCTTCATTTTCCTCCTCCTCGTTTTGGACTAGACATTGCCTATTATGTCTAAACACCATCTTAATCTTTTATTAATTTCAATTAATTAAGAAAAAAAATATAAAAGAAGAAGAAAATTTTTTTTGGTAACTTTAAACCTGACTTTTACAAGTCTCATAAATACCCACACTCCTTCTATGTACGTTAAAATACGCGATAGAACCTTACGCCGGTCATAAAATTCAAATATGAGTTTAAAAAAAGCACCCATATACTCATAAAAAAACAAAGAAGAGAGCCAACAAAGTGTATATTTACATACACAAGATAACATACGGTAAATTTTAAAATTAGTTTTAAAAGACGATGTGAGGAATAGAGAGAGAGAAAGAAATTGGAAATATAATAAAATGTGAAAAAACAAAGAATTCAAAAAGTTCTAATATGTTGTTGACGACGGATACTGCGAGTGTGTAGCAGTGGGAATAAACCCCGAGGTTGTTGCCCCCATCGAAACAGTATTCACAAGACTCACTGGAGGAAGTACAGCAGACATACCAGTAGGAGGAGGTGCCGAAGTGGTGGGCATACCTGCCGTCCCTGTAATGCCTACCGTTGCAGGCATAGTCACTGCAGAAGTAGCAATTTGAGCTGGCACCGCGGACATAAAACTTGTTGATGGAGAATGAGCAGTTTCTTGGAAATATTGCATTTGATAAACTGGTGTTCCTCCAGCTGCTGTTGTAGTTGTCGTTGCTCCGGAAACAATCCCATGAGGCGGCGCAAGAGTCGGTGATCTTGAGTGCGAAGGATCTGTGGCGGCTGAAATAGGACTCATTTGTTGTGGTGGCTGCTGCTGCTGCTGTTGTTGTTGTTGATGTTGTTGTTGATGTTGTTGTTGATGTTGTTGTTGATGTTGTTGTTGATGTTGTTGTTGATGTTGTTGATGTTGTTGATGTTGTTGAGGTTGTTGAGGTTGTTGAGGTTGTTGAGGTTGTTGAGGTTGTTGTTGATGATGGTGTTGCTGATGATGCTGATGATGCTGATAATGATTCTGTTGTTGCTGCCCCGAATACCCCGCTATGTGCTGTGGAGGCCCGTTACTGTTTGCATATGGAGACTGATGACCGCCCACCATTGGTTGCCCAAACTGCGATGGAGCAACTGCTGACGTCGGGCTACCCTGGTAGTAATAATTGGAGTATCCCATTCCATGGTGTGAAATGGCATGCAGGGGCTGCTGAGAAGGTTGTGACATAGAACCAGGGCTGGCTGCATGAACTGGTTGCTGCTGCGGAGATGGCATCATTGTTTTCACAGCGCTAGCACCAGCTGGAGTAGCAACTATATATCCTGGCTGTGTCACTCCTCGGTAATGCTCACTAGGGGTCCCAGAAATTGGTGTGATGACTGTTGGAGTGCCAGTACCATAAGGAGATGAATAGTACTGTGGGCCAGAAATGGGAACATAAGCTCCTTCTGAAGGAACAATTGCTTTGATTTGGTTTGTTGGCGATTGATGTGTATTAATAGGACCTGGCTGAAATTGATGAAGAGGAGGTGGTTGCTGCTGTTGTCCATGCTTTTTCATGTCATCTTCAAGTTGTCTTTTCCTCATTTGCTCTTCTCGTTCTCTTTGTCGCTGTTGGTTTTCTTCTTTCTTTCTAGCAGCTGCTGACATTATCAGGGCAGTACGTGCATAATTGTTGGGCAGGTAAAGAAGCGTTTTGATATCTGTAACAAATAATGGGTATAGTTTGTCAATGATTTTTTCTTTGCATGCAAACTTGACTGCCCGCTCATATGGTATCCAAACACCTTTAAAATGCATTGCACCTACTTTCACAACGTGCCTATATTTCTCTGCTTTTAAAATCCCATCTCGTCGACCACGAGACATTCCAGAAACGTTTAAAAGTTTAGTCCCATTAATCATATTGTTGTCTTCACGTCTAGCAACACATACCCCCTTGACGTCAACCTGAAAACAAAGTGTGCCTTCATCTTCCCATAAAGTGGTGGTAATACGAGGCTTAATACCAGGAGGTGGATTTTTTAAAGATAGGGCAGAAGGAGAAATATCTGGATTTTGTTGAAGTACTTCTTCTTCATTGATTACATTTGGAGACGTTGGTAGCAGTGGTGGAGGTAAAATGGGGGGTAGTGTTGTTGAGGAAATTGGAGTCATTCCCATTTGTTGATTAGGAAAAGGAATCATAGGAACGTTATTTGGGTCGGAAACATTTGAGGGTCCTGAAGAAGATTGCGGTCTAGATCCTTGAGGAGTTGTAGATGGATTACCTATAAAATTAGGGGGTTGTTGTTGCTGCCGCTCTTGGGGGGATTTAGGTTTTGTGAGAGGTGATCCCGAAGGAATAATAATTTGTGCACCATGCTCACGCTCAAAAGATCTTCCTGCATCGTCTAAAGTAGAAACCTTAAGATGATATTCTTGTGGAGATGGTTCTGGATTAGATATTGTACTATTTAGAGCGCTTATTGATGCTGGAGATGAGGTAGCGATATATTGATTTTTTTCCTCAAGCGAGATGGTAGTAGTTGCATGAGGAGGTGGACCCATGGTATACTGTTGAGATATTGCTTGAGGAATTTGAGTATAAGAGCTACTAGTGGTTCCTATTTCTGTTATACGGTGTTCAGGAGGAGGACCATTAGAATGTGGAGGAGCCCAGTGAGGTTCCGACTTGTAGATCATAGTATTGTTTATAAGACTAGGGTCGGTTGGCGGATGCTGTTGCTGTGGGTTGTATATTTCATTTTTTGACTGATGATTTAGTTCTTGCTGAGAGTCTCTGTTATCAAAATGAGAATGAGGTGGTGGTGGAAGGGGGTGAGAATGAGAAGGTTGCTGAGGCTGATTGCTGTACATTTTCTCTATCAGGGATACTTTTAATTATGGTTTTGTTCTTTTATTTTTTTTTTCTTATGATGCAGGGAAATGGAATGAGGAGGATCTCTTTGGGTTCTTATTCACAGATAGTTTTTTTTGATATAAGCATTTTTTTTTAGAAAAATTCCATTTTCTAAAAAGGATTCAAGATTAAACGCTCTTTCATAAAAGAACTTACTAAAAATGTTTTTTTTTTTAATTTTTTACAGCTTTATCAAAAAAAAAAAATTAAAATGTGAAAAAATTAAGAAATTATTTATTTTTTTGGGGTATAACTGTAAAGAAATATATGAAATCTTAAATGTAAGTGTAGAAGATAGAAGCAAATGTGATTGGTTGTAGTCAGGATGAAAGAAACACACAGAGTATTATGATTATAAGTGAATATCAGTATTTTCTATGTAAAATCAGTACTGATATATATTTTAAAGGAATAAATTAAATGAAAAATAAAAAAAAAAATAGAGACTTTAATAACTAAAAATGAATAAAAACTAAAAAGGAAAAGAAAAAAAGAGAAAAAAAGAACATCAACTAAAACAAACAACAAGCACAGCAAATATAAAATTGTATTAAACGAAAAAAAGTAAAAAGAAGGAATGAAAAAAAGAAGAAAAAAAGGGGGGGAAAGGAAAAATATATAAAAAGAAAAAATGAAAAAAGGAAAAAAAAAACTATTTAAAAGATGATAACATTGAAAAGAATAACATAATTTTTATATACATTAAAATTTGTAACCGAATTTTTGTTATTTTTTTTTACTGTAGCAGATACTCCATGCTTTTTTTTTTAATTTATTTATTTTTAAAAAAAGTTTTTAGTTTCTCTTTTGAAAAAAAGGATCCGAGAAGATTGCCTCATATAAACTTTTATTTAGAAAAAAAAAAGAAGAAGAAGAAGAAGAAGAAGAAGAGTGTGCGCGCAGGCATTCTGTTGGCCACACAAGAGAAAAATGGATGTATCACTTAACGAGGGAAAAGTAAACTTCTGAAGACAAATCTGTAACCAGTCAACAACACTAACACGTCCACAAGCTTCAACCATGTCTGAAAACCTTAAGTATTCTAAGACGCCCAAGTAAATATATGCTAAGCTTTACTGACGAGATAAATTGTATGTGTTTCCTTTTTTGAATACAGGCTTTTGAGGAGAAGTGGGTGGGGACCGAAGAAAAAAAATCATTTCAAATAACTCACTTGTATAGTTTTCTTTTTTTTTTTTTTTTGATCTGAATTCATAGAACCTTTGTTACTTTCCTTTGGCCCTACAGCCTTAAATGACAAATTCCCTATTTTTATCAGTAGTTTGAAACTAGTTGAATAAAATAAGGGGGGCAGTGTATTCAACAAAAATGAAGATATTTTTTTTATTATAGAAATATTTTTTTATTAATTCAGTATTTAAAAAAAATAAAAACCTCTTTTCTTGATTTTATCTTCATTATGGATAAGATGATTGCTAGCCAACTTCATTTGACCCGGGAAGCGATTTTTAAGAAAAGAATGATTGTAAAAAGATAAATCGCAATTGTTACTTCTTGTGTCATTTTTAATAAAAAAAAACTTAGGATAAAAGGTCTGTCTATTTTACCATTTTTAGATAAACCCTTTTTTTTTGATTCTTTTCTTTTAAAAGTTTTTTTTTGCCAAATTTTCAAATTGGTTCTAGGATTGTTTTTTTTTTCTCATATATCTCCTGGTCACTTTATTGTACAAAAAGTAAGGCCTGATAAAGTTACAAATTGTGTTTTCATAATCTCCCTTTTAATATTTTAAGTAATAATAAAATAAATTAATGAATTCTTTTATTGAAATCGTTCTTATGATTTATAATAAATAAATAAGGTCAATAATCATTATAATTATTCTTTATAATAATTATAATAATTATAATAATTATCATATAATGGTTGCAAAGGTATTTTATAAAAACATTTTTCTAAAGAATCTTTATTAATTAAAACTTATTTAAACTTGAAATAATATATTTCTTAAGCTTATCTTCAAAATATTACTCAATTATTTTTCTTTTAACTTTTTAATGTTGGTTTGAGTTCCATCCAAACCAGCGAAAATAAAGTTTTCAAATGTTTTTTAAGGAAAATACTTTGATAAACCGGTCAGCAACAAATCAAGTTTTTTTTTTTTTTGTTTTTTTAATCATGAAAAAAACTGGAATAACATCAGTTGCAGTTTTTTATATATTACTCATGAGCAATGTTGCATTTTTAATGAATCCTTAAAAAATCTAGGATGAAGGTTATTAATCGACCTTTTACTTTTCTTTTTTTGTTGCTTTTGAGCAGAACACAAAACTAGAGTAAAATGAAACAGAAATTCCAAAAACTATCAAAGGGATGGATCAAAAACAAAACTTTGATCTTGTTTATTCTTAAAGAGTATCTGAAATCTGGATGGAAATAGGTTCTAAACACAAAGACTAGCTTAAAAAATGAATCGTTAAACAATCCGTTATGATATGCCGTATTTTATATTATAAAACCTTTAAATTAAATGACCATTAATTCATGAGTATTTTTTTTCTTGCTCTTTTTTATCAGTGCCTTTTAAAAAATCCAACTAAAATATTTAGAGAAGAAAAAAAAATGGTGCCGCTTATTCATTCATGATTTGTTGATATTTCTTTTTTTTTTACCCTTTTTGTCTTTATTTAATAAAATTTCCTTGATTTTGGGGGGGGAAATATAACCCTAATCGTCTAATAGTCTTTTTTTGATGATATTGGATATTGGTAATTTTTAATCGTGAAGGTATGTTTTTTTGGCACTACGATCTAACAAAAAAAGACTTAACTAAACGGCTTTTTTTATTTTATTTTATTTTTCAGTGTTTAATTCTCTTTATTTATATTGTATTTTTAGTTATTTCAACAGACTAATCAAATGAGAGACATTGTGTGTACTTACATAAATCATAGCTTGTCAGTCATTTTTTTAAAAAATGTAATTTTTCCTCTTTTCTTTCTCTCTCCTCCTTTACTCATCTTCCATATATATTGCTTAAATATTTAACTCGGAAACAATGAAATTCTTATTTTTGCTCTTATTCTTGTCTGCAAACTTACATGAACCAGCCCACAATAAACGTAAATGCTTAATACGCACTAATCCCAGTTCTGTTATGATATGAGTAGTTTTTTTCTTTTTTTTCTGGAGATGTTAAGGTGTGTTACTTATCCAGATAATTGGCCCAAAACAATGTATGCGGGCACTCTGCTTGTATTTCTCTTACTAAGAAGCCTCTTTTTAGTTCCTCAGCCGTGTATCGTTAAGCCGCACTGAAATCTGAGTTGTATCCTATTTTTGAGAAAAATTCTAACTGAAAACTAGATGGAATCTTGCATTCATGATTGAATAAAATGAATATTCACTTTTTTTTCAATTGATGTACTCAAAATGTTTTTTTGTATTCCAATTTATTATAAAAATGAGAAAAAAACTATATTTATGATTTTTTAAAAAAATCTTGGAATTTATCTTCAATTTCATCCAACAAGCACAAAGTGGGCAAGATTTAAAACATCCAAATCACTCTAGATAGCATAATCCAGCATGTAAGTTAGAGATTATTTTTTTGATTAAAATATGGGCTAATGTATAAAAACTAAACAAAATTATTTTGAATTACTCAGAAATTTGTAACTAATTGTGGGGATAAGCTAGGTAGTGTTTATTTAGAAATGGGTGAAAAAGACAAAATATTGTATAGTTGGCAAAGAGTTTCAATATCTTTGACGAATTGGAATTCATTTTTTTTTTTAGTTTTTAGGCAGTCTGTCTCAAAAAAAACAATACTTATTTACAGCTATATTATTTCTGGTATGATAAGGATTTAAAATCACTCCATAATTTTTATAGAACCATTTAAGAAACTGTTTTATCTTCTTCAATACTTTAAAAAGTTATTTGCTATTAGAATCTTTTAATAAAAGTTAAAAAAAATTGTGAGATAAAGATCAAGTTTTTTTTAAAGAAATCTGAAATATTTTATATTGTGTCTTTTGAAGTTCCATTATTTTACTGTTTTCAATCATGTGGCTAGATAATTAGTTGTTTTGTCTCATGAAATATGATTGAACAAAACAAAAAAAAGACTCGTCTAACCCAAATTTCATATATTTTTTTAACGATTTTATATCTTTTATTTAGTTTAGCTGGAAATTTCAAATTTTGCAAAAAAATGCTAAAAGAGATTTTCATTATAGTGGCTATTGTTATGTTTGAAAAGTCAAATAACGGTCAATATGCCAAAATTTCAAGTTTAAAAGAACTTCTAGAAAAATATTACTTCTTATTTTTTGTTCAACTTTAAAGATTTTTAGTTCTAAATCACTTAAACATGGAGGATCAAAACAATAAGTGAAATAGATACTTGGCTTTTTTCTATATTTTAACTAGTTAAACTTATACTTCGGCAAAAGAAACTACTTGTCAGTCGTCTTTTTGTTCGTGCTTTTTTTCTCAATTTGAGATTGCAGACCTAATAAAGACTCCAAGTGAGACATTTTTCTTCAAGAGGCAACTTTGAACCGGTGTATTTAATTTTTTAACTAAATAAAAATGAATCACCTGTAAAAAGAGCTTTTACTGAAAAAATTAGGGGTGAAAAAGGTTTAAATGAGATTAGCCGTCCCTCTTTACCAAACATCGTAATGACAGGGATCTTTGAGAATGTAGTAGTATACTATTGACACTGGATTATAAAAAAATGCTTTGTGATAAAACTTCTAGCTATGGGCTTTTTTTTGTCAACTGGTGGAACTAATAACAGCATGAACAAAAACTGTTTTTTTAACAAAAAGCTTAAAAGAGTCTACACTCAGGGAAAATAATATATTTTCAATCTCCCTAGGGTTTAACGGGGATAGCAAGAATAACATAAGTCTGTTTCAGATGATTAAATAAAAGGATTATTATTTTTCTTTTAGAGAGACTTTTTTTTTTCTTGAATTGTGGAGAT